AGCTACCTCGAGAAGGTAGGTAGGTAGGTAGGTAGGTAGAGAGAGAGAGAGAGAGAGAGAGAGGAAGCTGCAGATTGATACACTTCTGCAAGGTAGATAGCAGGATAGATGCTACTGTCAATTACTCATTACTACACGTGATAATAATATTTCTCCGTTTTTCTTTTGGGCCTTCCTCGTCCAATGCGATCAATGCCCGGGGGTATCATAAAAATAAAACAACAAACGCAAGTTCGGTACATAATAGAGAAAAAAAGAAATTCGGATGCAAGTGTGGCATCCCAGTCCCGTTCGTGGTACACATCCCACACCCTCCCGTCCGTATATGATGATGAGCAAAAGGAAAATTGGATGCATAACCTGCACAATCGAGGTCGACGGTCAACGTCGACCTTCGATGCGGTCGCTCTCGTGGTGTCTGCCGTGCAAGTTGCCTCTTGTAGAGCAACTGTAAAAAGGAAAAAAAAAAAAAAAAAAAACAGAGGAAAAGAAAATGAAAAGAAAAAGAAAAAAGAAAGACCCTCCGGTATGAGATTCGTCAAGTAATTAGTCGTCTTAGTAGTGGCGGTCGTAAGAGTGGTGCTTGAGCCTTTTCGCTCAGTACCCGCCGACTTCGATGCCCAGGCCGACGCTGTGCATCGTAGGAGCCGGTGAACCATGCGCACTGGTCGGTGATCCGCCGAGTGCGACGCCAATCGGCGTGCAACTGCGTGGATGTGTTCCTTGCCTGCTGCCGGCGCGACTCGTGGCTCGGCTCGACGGCCGACCTGCAGGAGGAAGTTCCGGCAAAGGCGCGGTAGGTGGAGGTGCAGGTGGTCCCAGACCAACCAGAGAAATGCCACAGTCCATCTCGGGCAGCGAGGCAGAAGCTCTCACTCTACGCTCATGCGAGAGCTTATAAGGAGATTCGCATCTCGTGGGGAGAGGCGTGACTTCGTCTGCCTGTTCTCCAATGAATCTGCGGGTGCTGAAATTGAATGTCTCTCCGGCAGCTCGTGCTGGAGATACACGGCCTGATATGGCGACAGCCGATCGAGAAGGCTTGAGGGATCGTCTGGGAAGCGCCGCGCTGGATCGCGCCCGAGTGTTGGGTGACACGGGAGATAGTCGTGGCGCGGACAGCAATAACGCGACGTCGGTTCGAACCTGGAGAGATGCTGGTCGGCGAAGGGAGCTAGACTGCCGGAATGCTTGCCCAGATGTGGCGCTGATACCTTCAACGGGCGATGCGGATTGTGGTGGCCCTACTGGTGACACGGGTGGAAACAATGATAGCCTGCCAACAGAAGCGCGTCTAGACTGGTCCATGGCTGCAGCTGCTGCAGCCGCGTGCTCTGCGAACGACCTTTGATTCGTGCCGGCTACAGCAGTGGGATCGACCTTGGCAATCAGAGTGGTTGCGGCCGGTATGGGGGAACGTAGGCCAATATCTGTTTCTGTATATTGCGAAACGCGCCTGCGGCTAGGTTGCCGGAGCATGCTGTCGCTGGTGTTGATCCGAAGAGGCAGGCTGAAGGAATGAGAATCTTGCTTCGGCGGCCTCGTCTGGATTGAATGGAGTGTGCGGGACTGCGAAATATCCGGGCTCGACCGAGAGTGCTGCAGACTCAATGTGTATGTACTAGGGTTAGGCAGCTCGGCCAGGAACGATTCGGGTCTGACTTGATCTCCAGGATGCGGAGGACGACCAGAGCTGATCTTGCCTGCCTGCTTGCCCTTCAGCATACTCTGGGCTGAACACAGCGGCTGCTTCAGCGCAGGGAAGCCCCGCGACTTTTCGACCGTCTCGCGCTTGGCCTCGGTTTCTGGGCTCAGAGGCTCCCATATAAGTGGCGCCGACGCTAGCACGGCAGACCGTCGCTTCGAGATCGAGTAGGATGAGAGATTGCGGTATAATCGGTTGACAGTCAGGTCGTCCTGTTGAAGGCTGGGACTCTCTTTCGTAAGCTCCATAGGTGGGCTTGAAGTTATCGAGTTGGTGCGGGAAGTCAAAGAGGCTGACGCTGTTGGCGTAGTCGAGGCGTGCGACGAACGTGCGCTATCGCGCAGCTTGTCAAGCTGCTTCTGATCCTCCGATACTGCTATAGACGAGCTGATGGACGGGGTGTCCGAGGTAGCGCGAGGTCGTGACAAACTTGCCTGATCGATTGGAGTCATCTGTCTTTGCTCAACGCTCTTGGCAGCACCTGTGTCCTGGCTCTTCCTATCAGTTGTAGTCGGGGGAGCTGTGTCGGCATCGGCTGTCCGCGGCTTCGCAGGCGAAACGTTCGCAATTGAAGCGCTCCTCTTGACTTGGTAACGATGGCTCAGACTTGGCACCAGAGCGGGCATCGACGAATCGCACTCTCGAGCCCTGCCTGACGAAGAGCCTGATCTCGCTCGTTTACCTCCTTGCCTTTCAATCTCCTCTCGGATGGCAGTCATCCATTCATCCATGTCCTCCGCTCCAGACATGACCAACAGCATGTTCGAAGCAGCACGGCGTGTGGCCTGACTCCGCAGACCGAGCTTCGAGAAAAAGGTTGAAGCTGGGTTCATTATGACTCCACTGTCGTCCACGGATTGAACAACTTGTAGAACGTGATGCTTGCCAGGTATCAGATCGCACGCGTACGCAGCGCTGTCCTTCTGAAGCTGTAAAACCTTCTCGGGGAATCGCTGTGGGTCTCCAGTAGCTGCGTACTGCAACAAATAACCAGAAGTGACCAGAACCATGAGCTTTGTAGGCAAGTTGACCGGCGAAACAGATCCATCGTCAGGATCCTGTGAACTTGGTTTTAGTTTCATTCGAGACTCGAAGCTGTGTCTCTCCCCAGACAAATGCACCGATTGCGCGTCTGCATTTGGCACATGCAGTGCTGTACCAAGTCCGCGGTGCTTAGACCTCTGCGAGGCCGTCTCTGGTGGCAGATGAGACACTTCAAATGATGCATGCTTCGTAGCTTGCGGCCAGACCTGGAACAGCGGAGGAGGTTCAAACGTGCGCGCTCTGCCAGTGCGATCAATAGGTACCACAGGCGATGAGTCTGTGATAGCTAGCATCGCGGCTTTCGCTGAGTATGATTTCGAGGTCGAAGGCCGCAGGCTTGCGCTTTCTGCGTCAGCATGTTGTGTTCGCGTCGGAGGCTCTGGGATATCCAGACCCAGTTCCGCACAACCTTGGAGCTTGTCGACCTTGGACTTGCTGAAGAGGCTGAAGAGGGACATCTTGCTGGATGTCCTCTTCCGCAGCTGCGGCACTGGAAGGGTGGTGGTATCACTCATGAGTGGAAGCGGATCTGCATCTTGGAGATGCAGAATCTGGGATGGACGCGATCGAAGACTTTTCCGTTTGTTGACAGTAGAGGTAACGGCGGAACAAGCAGGAATATGTTGCCTAGGGTTGGGCTGCTGGTCGTAGCCACAAAAACCTGCTGTAACACCGAGTGTGGTCTGAGATCGTGATAGTTCCGGAAGCCTGGAGTTGTCGGCATCTTGTGGAATTTGAGCGGAGGACTCGAGAGCCGGCACAGCAGGCAGATCCATGTGATCGGGCACCGCAATGGGTGACCCTAGCACGACGCCGCAGCGAGTTCGCAGATTCAGGATAGTCAAAGCGACTCGTGAGGTCCTGCAGCTGTCTCGGTACGTACAGTCGCCTCCGGAATCCCGCGCTTAGCTTGCTTCAGACAGAGAGCTAATAATGATGACCTGTCGCAAGGAGGGTGAGTGATGGGATATAAACAGAACGCGCAGTACGGACGGTTTCTGGGTGACTGGGTGGTCCAGAGATTCGAATGGATGGCGATACCACACGCTGTCCCTATGTCAAGTACATGTACCACCTGAGGGATACATAGGTGTATGTCTCGGGAAGGAACCGTCTACGAAGTTCGCTACATGCGGATGCGCCAATTCCAAGCGAACGGTACAACGAGATGAGGCAGATCGCTCCCAGTACATGTACTTGCTTCAGTTGCCTGATGATTAGGTACATTTACAGTGCGCGGTCTCTCCCCTGGCAGGGAATTGGCTTCTGTGGCGGCGGCAGCTTGAGACTTCTCAGCTAGCAGATCACGGGGAAGGGGTGGGGACGGTGCATCCGCCGGTGTTGTACGCGATCGTGGTGTACATGATTCAAGTGCTGCTGAAAGGGTGTGATCCCTCTCCCGATGCTGGCAGATGTACCTTATAGCAGAGGACGGTTATAAGGGCGAGTTGAAAATAACATTACAATCAAGGCTGTCGACTTCATGCAGCCAACAACGATCGCACGCAGGGGAGGGATCGACAGATTCCGCCGGGTTGTTTCTCATGTGGCAGGGCGACCCAGTCTGCGACGGAAGGCCAAAGTGTGTGCGGCATTCAGCGGCAACGCTCTGGGAGTCTGGGTATTCAAACACATCACCGGATCGACTTCAGGCTCATCGAGGATGGCGTGGGCGTCCATAGCAGCGAGGCGACAAATGCAGTTCGGAAATGTCAGAAAACGGTCGGGAGCCAAAGACTTCCCCCCTGCCCTGCCGGTGACGATATTGGGTTGGTATCGTCACTATCGAGATTCGAGAGAAGAGAGAGAGAGAGAGCGATGCGCATGGCGTGTGGTCTGTGTGAAGCAACGGGCACCCGGGGGCACCGTGCCGTGCATGGAGGAGCAGTGTGAGCACCGCTAGAGATCCGCACCCTCCGCTAGCCATCCCCCTCTCCCACATGCCGATGGGCAGCAATGACCGTGAACGGCATCCGATGCGTTCGATGGGGGTTCGGGGCGGCGGCGTGGCGCGGCGTGGTGCGGTGCGGTGCGGTGTGGTGTGGTGCGACAGGAAATGTAGGGTCCTCAGTAGGAGGTGGGAGGTGGAGGTAGGAGGTAGGAGGTACTGTACAGAGTATGCATCTCCGTAGGAGGTACGGAGGTAGCCCCCCACCCCATACATGCAGGTGTACGTACCTTTGCCTCATCGAAGCAAACCTGAAGGCAGGTCACGTGTTTAGTCCACCACCAACAGGTACCTACAGGAGGTGGGACACGGCTGCTGCCGCTGCCGCTGCCGCTGCAAGATGCCCCGCTGCCGCTGTGAGCCGCGAGTCTCGTGAGTGCTCTCTCCATGCATGCACACCACCTGGCAGACCATTGCTCACACCTCGCATGGGAACGTCATGACAAACACGACGACACCTACCTCACTTCCATGTATCTACCTCTTACCACTGATCAGTAAGGCGTATACATGTAGCTCTCCCCTCCTGCCCTACATCTCTCCCATTTCTCTCGCAACATGCCTCCCGACCTGAACACGCTGCCAACCTCCAGACCGCCATCAATGCCTGGATCACCAATCGCTGCGCGCCCGCGTAGGATTTCCATCAGTAACCAAGAAGCTGCTCGACCCAGTCCACCATCGCCGCGCTCGCCCTCGCTGTCCTCTCTACAAGCAGCTGCAACCATCAATGCAAGCCTTCACCACTCACCAGCCCGCACGTCGCCGAGTATTGAAAGGCGCAGATCATCTCTCCTGAACAACCTCATACTAAATGACCCTGCCGTGCCTGCTCCAGGAGAGCTGCAACAAAGTGACGGGAGTAGCGGGAGCAATGCAGGAAGTCCGCGGTTTGCAAGAAGATCATTGCACACAGCAGATCCAAACCACCAACGCCAGCCTAGTCTGGGTGAGCTGCATCAGGAGCTAGAGAATGAGCAGGAAGCACAGGTCAATCGGTTGTTACAGATGATTAGAATCCAGCAGGATCAATTGGCGGCCATGCAAAGACAACAAAACACGGCCGCAGAGGGCTCGTTGCCGTCAACGGAGCATGCTCGATTGCCATCGCCGTTGTCCACTCTTCCTATCCCAGTTGGCGCCGCCATTGCCGAAGCGCCAACTCCGATGCCGTCTAGCTCGACATCAACATCGGCAGCTTTACACCAGCATTCCAACCGGCCACATTCTTTGTCCCGCACATCGTCAGCTCTGGTGTCGAATCCCGGAAGTAGGGGCACTTCACCAGCTCTTCCGCCTCAGTCCGGCGGCCTTGGGGCATTGACGGGGGACTTCTTGCTCGGGGGGACCAGAGACGATGCTGCTTTCTACCAGGCTGAGACGCAAATGCTGACACGAGAGAATCAAATGCTCAAACTGAGAATACGAGAGCTTGGTTAGTCATCTGAAACAACTTACCTAACATCTCACATGCTAACCGAACCCACCAGAGCACCAGATCGGTAACTTGGGAGGCACTCACGTCCATCAACACTCGCCTCTGACGAGCCCGCCTGCAACATTTGGCTCGGAGGCTGCTCTGCCGATTGCAGCAACCTCGGATGCGAATATCAGTACCAAGGGGGATTGAGCTCCGTATGCCTGCAACATGTGACATTATGTGCGATTGGCGAGGCGTTGGGAGGTTCAAGGGTTTTCAGGGCTGCGAGAAAAAGCACTCTATGCAATGAAGCACACACGGTGCTTGATTTTCAGGCTACTGGCTCGACTTCAGAGCCTCGAGATGAATATCGTCTTACTGCGACGATATCTTTCCTTGTACGAATACTACGAGTAAGCAGCAAATGGATTGGTGGGGTCAGATTCACATTTCGCTCTGCAGGAATGCATGTGAAGAACGGTTCCGTTGAATGTCCTGGGATCCAGATTCTCGAGTACAACCGTGCCAGCTCTGAGTGTCACTAGTGATTAAAGCGCTCATTGTTCAGCTTGAACTGAGGTCACAACGATGCATACGCTCGCATTGAAAACGAATGTAGATCACTAGGTGCCAGGGCTTGTAGTTTGGCCGTCCGACACATGGATGTCCGCTGTCGCACTCCGGTTCCTGAGATTTCGGCTGTTCTGGGCTGTGGGACTAGGAAGTCAGTCTATCAGTAGGAGATCCATGGATGAAGACAGAGCGGTGGCTCCAGTCACGAAATACATCAGATATGGACCTGTATGTATCCATAACCATAGATGTCTATAGATGTCATGTTAGTGCATCCCGTCGCGACCGCTACGGCTGACGCAAAAGTCATGCGAGTCGGAAGGCGAATTTCTCCGACCGCATTTCTAAGCCGTTCTATGATCGCAAGAAACCGCCCGCGCCTCTCCATTGCGTTGGCAAGTTTCACCACTACAGTCTTTTCTCTCCTGGCATAGACAGTCGCAATGTTCAGACCTGCATTGCGAATTGCGACAAGTGCACGCACAGTGCCAAAGGCGCAACGATACATCGGGAGGCGATTCGCAAGTACGGGAGCTTCAAAACCGAGCAGCTGGAAAGGAGCGGCCCTTCGATGGACTGCGGCCGGTGCTGTGGTGTATTACTACAACACATCCAGCGTATTTGCGGAAGAGCCACAATGTTCGTAGCTAGACCGGCTGGAGACGCATCGTGAATCAATGCTAACAGAAGAGCAGATGCTGTTCACGCTGCGCCTGAAACGTCTGCGGAACGAGAGACGCAACTGAGCATCGACACGTTAGCGCAACAACGACGAGCACAGGCACGACATGATATTCCATCATCTCGAATCCAGACGAGCGACAAACAGACGACTGAGCAGCAATCCACAGTAGCTGCAGCAGACGGAGAGAGCGCAGAGGCAGGAGGACCACAGGGCCTTGAAGAAGAGGCGGAACAGCAAGGCGCTTTCAATGAAGAGACTGGCGAAATCAATTGGGACTGCCCCTGTCTAGGAGGCATGGCACATGGTCCCTGTGGCGAACAGTTCCGAGCTGCATTTAGCTGCTTTGTCTACTCGAAGGAGGAGCCGAAAGGAGTGGAGTGTATCGAACATTTTAAAACGATGCAAAACTGCTTCCGAGAGCACCCAGAAATCTATGGCGCAGAGCTGGATGATGACGAAGTCGCCGAGGTGCAGGCTGAGGAGGACAGAGCGCAGGCCTCGCTCGCGCAGTCAAGCGATGCGCAAGCAGGAACAGCGTCAGCGGAAAGTAGCAAAATTGGAGCTGCTAGTGAGGTGCAGTCGAGCAGACCGCCGGCCGAGCGGACTGCTGAAGAGGGTAGTGAGTTGGTGCCCAGAGCTGCTCATGATGCTCGGTAGACGAAGACGATGTACAGATGTGAGTACGCGCATAAAGGGCGTCTGCAGGCGCTGTAATGGTAGCATGGATAGATGTATCATAGCTGTACAAACAGAACGTTCGAGTCGCTGTTGTTGGTACCTGTATCCATCACATGGAAGGTAAATAGGTAAATCACCGCTCGTAGGTGCTGCGCCTGTTAGTGAATATTTGACGCAGCTGCCTTGCGCGCCCATGAAGACCCTGAGTACCAGCCAGGTAATGATGCAGTCACTTCCTCTCAGGCTCAGGCTCAGGGCAGGCTGGGCCGGGGCTGGCCTACCTACCTTACTACCCTACCTTACTTTACTGACACTCTTCATGTTTTTCTCTCGACACTTGGTCCTTCACTTCACACATTCGTGCTTCACCGGCCCCCGGCTTGAATGCACAAAAGCAACATTTCTTCTAGAGGATCTCATTCTTCGCCTTTCTCTCCCAGCTCGGCGCGTCGAACACTCGGGCATCACGAGTGCTGTCTGAACCCTCCGGCTACCTTCCGCCTTCACCATACGTACAGCAGCCGCTTCAGGCATCCTCACTGCTAGTGGAGAGTCGAGCCGCCGAAGAAGCGCGCGACGCTCATCTGTGTCTTTCCTCCATCATCCTCACCGGTCACCACTTCACCACCACATCAGCCATGTCCAACTCCGACTTGGCCATCAAGGCCAGTGCGCGTGTAGCGCCACCCATACCCACCAGCAAAGACGATATCAATGGCACATGGAACTTCCTCGAGTGGGGTGTGGATCGAATCATGTTCAACTTGAGCGAAGGCGTGGACCTCAAGACCTACATGTCGCTGTACACTAGCATTCACAACTTCTGTACTGCACAGAAGGCAGCCGGCATGGGCTCGCAGCAGAGCAACTTGAACTCGAACCATAGGGGAGCGCACCTTCTCGGCGAAGATCTCTACCATCGGCTGAACGAGCATCTGAAAGTGCATCTCGCTGCCGTGCATGCAGAGATGATCAAGCACACCGACGAGGCTCTCCTAACATACTACATCAAAGAATGGAAGCGATATACCCAGGCAGGAACATACAACCACCACTTGTTCCGTTATCTGAATCGGCACTGGGTGAAGCGCGAGATGGATGAGGGCAAGAAAGATATCTACGACATCTACACTCTCCACCTCGTGCGGTGGAAGGAGGACATGTTCGGCAGTACCCAGAATGCAGTCATGGATGCAGTGCTGAGGCTGGTGGAGAAGCAGCGGAACGGTGAAACCATCGAACAGTCGAAGATCAAGGACGTGGTCAACTCCTTTGTCTCTCTGGGCATCGATGAGGCAGACAGCACCAAGACCACTCTGGACGTGTACCGCACATATTTCGAAAAGCCGTATCTTGAAGCCACGGAGAAGTACTACGAGGTTGAGTCGCACCGGTTCCTTGCGGAGAACTCTGTTGTCGACTACATGAAGAAGGCCGAGCGGAGACTGGATGAGGAGAAGGAGCGTGTTCCTCTGTTTTTGCTGAACGAGATCATGGCCCCGCTCATGAAGTGCTGCGAAAATGCCTTGATCGCGAAGCACGCCACCACTCTTAGGGATGAATTCCAAATTCTGCTCGACAATGACCGCGAAGACGATATGGCACGTATGTACAAGCTTCTCGCCCGCATCCCGGAAGGCCTTGATCCACTCCGCGCTCGATTTGAACTTCACGTGCGACAGGCTGGTCATCTCGCCGTGGAGAAGGTGGCTGGCCAGGGTGACAGCCTCGATCCAAAAGCGTACGTCGACGCCTTGCTCGAAGTCCACACTCAATACTCTGCTTTGGTGCAGAAGGCGTTCACTGGCGAATCAGAATTCGTCCGCTCTCTGGATAACGCCTGCCGCGAATACGTCAATAGAAATAAGGTCTGTGAAAGGAATTCTAGTAAATCGCCCGAACTTCTCGCCAAGCACTCAGACAATGTCCTCAAGAAGAGCACCAAGGCTACGGAAGAGGATAATATGGAGAAGTTACTGGATCAGTGCATGACCATCTTCAAGTACGTAGAAGACAAGGATGTCTTCCAGAAGTTCTACTCCCGCCACCTTGCCAAGCGTCTCGTCAACGGCACCTCTGCATCTGGTGATGCTGAGACCAGCATGATCTCGAAACTCAAGGACGCTTCGGGCTTCGAGTACACCAACAAGCTGCAGCGTATGTTTCAGGACGTGCAGACCTCCAAAGATCTCAATAATGCATACGAGGAGTGGCGTTCGCAGACCATTGACAAGGAAGATCGCAAGGAAGAGGTTGATGCCACTTACCAGATTCTCGGGACCGGATCGTGGCCGCTGCAACCTCCCACTTCGCCTTTCGCCCCACCAGACGTGATCATCAAAACTTACGAGCGCTTTCAGACGTTCTATAGTAACAAGCACGGCGGCCGCAAACTGTCCTGGCTATGGCACTTATGCAAGGGCGAAATCCGCGCCAACTACGCCAAGATGAACAAGGTTCCCTACACCTTCTCGGTGTCTACCTACCAAATGGCCATCCTCCTCATGTTCAACGACAGCAACACCGTCACTTATGATGATATGGCCGAGCTTACCTCACTGGCCAAGGAAACTCTCGATCCGTCCATTGCCATCATGATCAAGGCCAAGGTGCTCACGGCTAGCCCGGAGGGCGCTTCTCCCCAGAGCGGGACCTCCTACAGTCTCAACTATGGTTTCAAGAACAAGAAGCTCAAGGTCAATCTCAATATCGCTATCAAGTCCGAGCAAAAGCAGGAAGTCGAGGACACGCACAAGACCATCGAGGAAGATCGCAAGATGCTCATGCAGGTAAGTCTCTCCCATTCTACTACGATTTCAATCGCCATATACTGACATGTTGACCATGTAGTCTGCAATTGTGCGCATCATGAAGTCGCGAAAGACTATGAAGCACGCACAGCTCGTGTCTGAGACCATTGGCCAAATCAGGAGTAGATTCTCGCCCAAGGTCTCTGACATCAAGAAATGTATCGATATCCTCATCGAGAAGGAATACCTCGAACGTCTGGAGGGCGATGATCTTGGCTACCTGGCTTAGATGCCCTTGGGATTTTGCGATTCTATCTGTATATGTGGAAGACATACAATGGCGTTCAACAGGCGGATCGGGAGAGACTGAAGAGGTCTCTGCGACTCACTTACGGAAGGAAGGAAATCATCACGGACGAGGATCGGATTCAGGGTCTGCTTAGCATGGCGTGGGCGTTGCGTTTAGGGTCGTCGACTCGCTGTTTGGTTGATCATAGGTATCACACGCGATACGGTAGCGGGCCATGAGACATGCGTATAGAGAATGATACAGATGCGAGATGTGAAATATTTCTTCTGGCCTAAGTACATTGCTTGCACGTTCCACTTTTGAGGTTTGGTGTGTCGTATACACCCGTCAACAACTACTCAGAGCAAGAATGACGACGAACAGTTGCAGTAGATACCTTAGATATCTATTCATTGCAAATTCAGTGCTCCCGACTAAGTCATTGAACATGCTCTTCGCTCGTGGACAAACACGTTCTGCGGGCAGTTGAACTTGTCGATGAATTCTGGGTATCTCTTCTGTTCTCGTGACCGCTACGGTCTGATCTGTATCACGCACACCGCGGCAGGATGAGCTTCTATGTGATTATTTCCTGACAGATTGGGTGTTGTGAATATTGTTGGGATGAGGGAGAGGAGTACCCAAGAGAAGTGAAGTGAAGTGTCGTCCCGAAGGAAGGATGCGCTGCCGAAAATTATAGTACGGAGGACCGACCAATCCTCAAAGTGGAATACGTGGGACTCCCGACCTTTGCCTCCCATCGACATCACCAACAAAATGTAAGGCCGTCCCGGACGTCACCCACTGCGGTCTGCGCGATCGTCTTCTAATACTGGACAAACCACTAACCATGTCTCTCAGGCCCGTCGAGATCCCGATCGAGCGAGCAGAGATCAAGTCGGCCACTCTCCACAACGCGCGCCCTCTCCTCCTTCACGCCTACATCCTGCCCTTTGTCTTCCTCTGGCCGCTCTTCTTCAGCTACTACCTTCCGCAGGCTAGCTATGACACCTACATCAACGGTCAGGAATGGACGTTTGTCTACGCCGGCACGATCGTCACCCTCCAGTCGCTCACATGGCTCATGACCTTCTGGAACGTCAACATTCGCGCCCTGTTCACTGCGAGCTCCGTCAATCGTGTGAGAGACGCTGGTCTGATCAAGGTCATTCCCAAAGAGAATGCGGGTTCGAGTGAGATCTGCACAATCGAGAGGGAAAGGACAGGCGGCATCGAAAGTGTGTCCTTTTTGTTCCAAAAGAGACGTTTTCTCTGGGACGACAGCAAAGCTTCTTTTGCGCCGCTGACTTATGCGATTGACGAGGAGCCTAAGCCTACGATTGGGAGCTTCCAGGCTTCCAAGGGCTTACAGAAGAGCACGGAAATTGAGAAATTGACACAGTACTACGGGAAGAATCTGTTCGACATTCCGGTCCCAACTTTCACCGAACTGTTCAAGGAACACGCTGTAGCGCCGTTCTTCGTCTTCCAGATCTTTTGTGTAGGTCTGTGGATGCTGGACGAATATTGGTACTACAGTCTTTTCACGCTGTTCATGCTGGTTGTCTTCGAGAGCACCGTGGTTTGGCAGCGACAAAGGACACTCACCGAGTTTCGCGGTATGAGTATCAAGCCATATGCGGTCTGGGTCTACAGAGAGAATAAGTGGGTTGAAGTGCAAAGTGATGCGCTTCTTCCGGGAGATCTGGTATCTGTGGGTCGGACTAAAGAGGACAGCGGAGTTGCTTGCGACATGCTGCTTGTCGAGGGCAGCGCCATTGTAAACGAGGCCATGCTTTCTGGCGAGAGTACACCTGTCCTCAAGGACTCGGTACAGCTTCGACCTGCAGATGCACACCTGGACCCTGAAGGACTGGATAAGAACGCTTTTCTCTGGGGCGGTACCAAGGTGTTGCAAGTTCAGCACGGAAATGCTTCAACAGATGCGCCCGATACGATACCACAAGTTGCCTCTGGTGTTCCTCCTGCGCCGGACAAGGGTGCTCTAGCCATCGTGATCAAGACTGGATTCGAAACCAACCAAGGCGCACTTGTCCGCACCATGATCTTCTCTACTGAACGCATTGGCGCTGGTAATGTGGAAGCACTTCTGTTCATTCTCTTCCTCACAGTCTTCGCTGTTGCTGCATCTTGGTATGTCTGGACTGAGGGTGTCAAGCAAGACCGAAAGCGATCGAAGTTGCTGCTAGACTGTGTCCTCATCGTGACCTCCGTCGTGCCACCAGAGCTCCCTATGGAACTCAGTCTGGCAGTCAACACTTCCCTGGCCGCACTCAGCAAACTTGCAATCTTCTGTACAGAGCCTTTCCGGATACCTTTTGCTGGACGTGTGGATGTGGCATGCTTTGACAAAACTGGCACCCTTACTGGCGAGGACTTGGTCGTCGAGGGTGTTGCAGGACTCTTCCTCGGTCGACAGGACGCAAAGGTGAAGACAGAGGCAGATGGAGCCCAAAGCCAACTGACTAGAATCACCGACACTGGGTTGGAGACAACACTGACCTTGGCTACTGCCCATGCCCTCGTCAAGCTCGAGGAGGGCGACGTGGTAGGCGAGCCCATGGAGAAGGCCACATTACAATCACTAGGATGGACTCTCGGCAAAAACGACACACTCACCGCAAAGGCCGGCACCAACGCACGAGGGGCGTTGGCTGGTGACCTTGTGCAGATCAAGCGTCGTTTCCAATTCTCTTCTGCCTTGAAGCGGCAAAGCTCTGTTGCGACTGTTGTCACTTCTGATCGTCATACTGGTAAGAAGACCAAGAGCACATTCGTCGCTGTGAAGGGTGCGCCCGAAACCATCCGAAAGATGCTTTTCGATGTGCCTTCGAAGTATGAGGAGACGTTCAAGTACTTCAGCAGAAATGGTGGTCGCGTTTTGGGTCTTGCTTACAAGTACATCTCAACCGGCGATGAGATCACACAGAAGAAGATCAACGACCTTAAGCGTGACGATGTGGAGTCCCAACTGCACTTTGCCGGTTTCCTGGTGCTGCAATGTCCACTGAAAGACGATGCGATCGAGGCTGTGCGCATGCTCAACGAGAGCAGTCACCGTGTGGTGATGATCACCGGTGATAATCCACTTACAGCATTGCATGTCGCTAAACAGGTCGAAATCGTGGATCGTGATGCGCTCATTCTTGATGCGCCGGAACACGATGACAGCGGCAAGAACTTGGTCTGGAGAACCGTTGACGACAAGGTGAATATTCCTGTGGATCCAAGCAAGCCATTGGACCCCGAAATCCTCAAAACGAAAGATCTGTGTGTCACTGGGTACGGGCTTGCGAAGTTTAGAGACACTCCACAATGGCATCCTCTCCTCCGACACGCATGGGTCTATGCTCGTGTCTCACCAAAGCAAAAAGAAGAGATTCTGCTTGGTCTCAAAGAGCAGGGCTATACCACACTTATGGCTGGTGATGGCACGAACGATGTCGGTGCTCTCAAGCAGGCTCACATCGGTGTTGCCCTTCTCAATGGTAATAGGAGTGACATGGACAAGATGGCCAAGAGCTTCCGAGAAGCCAAGATGAAAGAGATTTACGAGAAGCAGAAGGCCATGATGAACCGCTTCAATCAACCCGATCCTCCAGTTCCTGCGCACATTGCCCACCTCTACCCACCTGGACCCAAGAACCCACACTACGATCAGGCCATGGAACGTGAAGGATTAGTCAAGCAGAAATTGCTTGAAGAAAAGGTCGCAGCTGCAGAAGAAAAAGCCGAAGCCACTGCGGATAAGTACACTGCGCCGGTGGTGGAGAAGACTGAGCAGGAACTCAAGAGGGAGAAGGCCCAGAACGCGGCCAGTGCGATGGCCGAGAAACTTTCCATGTCCATGATGGAGAGCGAGCTCGACGACGAGCCTCCGACCATCAAGCTTGGTGATGCATCCGTCGCTGCACCCTTCACTAGCAAACTCGCGAACGTTGTGGCCATTCCCAACATTATCCGTCAAGGACGATGCACGCTCGTGGCCACCATCCAAATGTACAAGATCTTGGCGCTCAACTGTCTCATCAGTGCATACTCGCTCAGTGTGTTGTACCTCGACGGGATCAAGTTTGGAGATGGCCAAGTCACCATCAGTGGCATGCTCATGAGCGTCTGCTTTCTGAGTATTTCTCGCGCTAAGCCTGTGGAGAAGTTGTCGAAAGAACGACCTCAGAACAACATCTGGAACTGGTACATCATCCCATCCGTTCTCGCGCAGTTTGCAGTCCATATTGTCACACTCGTCTACATTACTGGCGTGGTCCATCACTTTGAACCCCCGAAAGACCGCTCTGAAATCGACCTCGAAGGGACATTCCAGCCTTCCCTGCTCAACTCTGCCATCTATCTCTTGCAGCTCATCCAGCAAATTTCGACATTTGCCATCAACTACCAAGGTCGTCCCTTCCGAGAATCTATCAAGGAGAACAAGGGCATGTACTGGGGTATCGTTCTCGTCACATCGGTAGCTTTCAGCTGTGCGACCGAGTTTGTTCCAGAAATCAACGAAAAACTGCAGTTGACACCATTCACGACGGAATTCAAGGTCAAACTGGTGGTCACGATGATTGCCGACTATGTGGGCTGCTGGACATGTGAGAAGATTCTCAAGACGCTGTTTTCGGACTACAAGCCCAAGGATATCGCGGTGCGACGAGCGGATCAGTTGGAGCGAGAACAGAAGCGGTTGGCGGCAGAGAAGGCGAAGGCGGATCGAAAGGTGGAGGAAGCACGACTCGGCAAGGCCGGGCTGGCTGCATCCTGATTCAGTCTGGACCCGAGGCCGCTGGCTGTAGAGACGAGATCTACAGTATAGATTGTTCAACATGTAATGTATCATCCCTGACTGACTCTTGACTTATCACCACTGATTGTCGTGGCACGTTTGCTCCTTCCTTCCTTCCTCCACCCTTTCCTCCCGTCTCCCCCAACCCCATCAAGACCTCACCTCACGAAACCTCCTTCAACGCCGCCCCAGCAACAGGCGTACACCACTCCGGCGCAGTCTTGCGATAAATCTCCACCTTGGGAGCCAGCTTCGCATCCAAGGTCAAATCATCCACTGTACCGCCCTTGACCAATACCACACCTTCCAACGCTTGGACGTCGGCGGTCATGATGGTGCCGCATTTTCCGCAGTTGGTGTAGTTGATGGGTTTGCCTGAGTCGCCGGTGCGCGTGTAGAGGAAGTTTGTGCCGGAGAGTTTTTTGAACTGGAGCACGAAAGTAAGAAAGATGATGAGGAGATGAGGAGATGGAAAGGTATGTACTGATGATGGGGAGATGGTGGTGGTGGTGGTGGTGGTGCGGGGTCAGCGGAACTTACTTTGTCGAGGGGAATCATGAGGTTGTAGGAGCCATTGGAACCTGCGGTTTTGCGGCAGGGAATGCAATAGCAAATGGCCTGGGGGATGAAATGTTAGATTAAAGGTAGGGAAATTGTGTTTTTTTTTCTATAGAGGCTTTTCATCATCATCATCTCTTGTCGTGTTCGGAGGGAGATTACATACCACGCCGCTGGGCTCTCCTTCGTACTCGTAAGTCCACTCGCCGCAGACACAGCTTCCTTTGGTGGGCATGTTGATTGATTGATTGATTGATTGACAGAAATGAGGTAAGGTAGTAAAGAAGCTCTGTGAGCAGTCAGCTAAGAGGATGTCATGTATACTTTCTTTATATACTACTACTGCTGCTGCTGCTGTTGGTCCACACACAGGACAGACAGACAAACTAGTGAGTGTGCCCTGGCCTCGGATGTGGGAACAGTCGATACGACAACCTTGACGCTGACGTCGGGACGGACGTACGTACGTACCTTATGTAAACTCTGAAAAAGCAGTTCGACGGTTAAGGTATTCTTCAATATGTTCAGGAACGAATTCGATCAATCAAGCATATCCTTGATGGGCCCAGGGGAAAGAAAGCATTATATATATATCATAGACTTCATAGTACCGTATTTTATTGTGGCCGTCGGTTATGCTGTTAAGATTCCTTTGACCCCGCTGTCAACGTGTGGAGAGCCTACCTCCTACCCGCTGATTGTCTTTGCTTTTGCGATGCTGGATTGGGTTATAAGTGAAATGATGGACAAAGGAAAGGAGAGAAGCAAAAACGTCTTTTTCAATTCCAAAGATACCTACCTTACCAGGTAGGCTCTCTGCTCTGTGTCTTTGAGCATGATGCTTCGAGTGCGATACTTGGCATTCGTGTACTGTAATGAGAAGTGGAGGGCCCGACCCGGCAACGACCGTTTTTCACCTTCACCAGTTATAGGCTGAGTAGAGGCTCACGTGAGCGTTTTTGACCTTGACTAGGGGTACGATAAGATCTCGGGCCGTTGCATTATCGGTCTGCATTATCGTCATTAATTGGCGGGATGGATGGGGGGGATCCTCGAGTTGGCTTTCCTGCTGATCATCATTCGTAAGCTCGAAGAAGCTCGTTCACTACATACTCTCCCGTCCGGCCCATCGCCTACAGGTACCTCCGACCTCCTCGACCACGAACCGAGCAGTCCTTCATCGAGCGTCGACTTCCGCAGTGAAACGAGAATCGACGCAGCATTCCATCGAGAAGGAAGCAAGGCAAGGCAAGGCTACAACGAGCCGACATGGCAGCTCCGGTGGCGAGAGGTGAGTACCTCCTAGCAGCAGCCCAGGCATCACTACGCCACGAACGCGAGACACTGCAGGCGTCCGCCACCCTGTGTACACCTAGTGCAGCCACATCTTCATCTTTTCGTACCCCGTTCACTCGACTTCTCACCAGAAACACATGTCACTAACATGTCGAGAGGCATCATTATCTCCCTGACACTGATCGCTGGCCTGGCCGCTGCGGCCACCCAGAACCCGCAGGTCCAAGCATGGCTGGAAGAGCAACGCAAGAAGATTGCCGAACTGCTACGACAGATCGGAGAAGAGCTCGACCCACAAGCGAGAAGAGCAGCGGAAGCCTTCGCTTTCGAAGGCAGAACGGTGAGGAATGATGCGGGACTGGCTCGCGAAGCAGAAGGAAGCCAACAGGCCGCAGCGTTGGCTACTGGTAGGCGGCTGTCGAGTCCGAGCACGATTCGGAGGATACCAATTCGCGGTCCCTCGGACCCAGACGAGGCAGAGGAGCGTAGAAGGAAAGGCAGAGAGTACCTGGCGAGAAGGAATCGACAACTATATGAACTGCAACAGAAGCGCAAGGCCGTTGCGAAGGCTACTGGGCTCGAGACACCACCAACGCCGACTTTTGACGAGCTCGTAGACGCAGAGGGCAATCTCAAGCGGTCGGAAATGCTCAATGACGAGAAAGACCTTCCTGCGACACCGAATACTGACCCCATTCCCGAACCTGTGCAAGAGGAAATGAAGCAAGTGGAACACCGCCTGGTCGAGCCTGTTGCACAGGAAGAGTCCAGTACTGCTGAATCAAGTGGCTGGTTCACAGGATCGCGATACGCCAACCCATTCGGCGACGAGTATGAACTCGAACGGAGTGTGACACCCAAGCCTCCTCTTCCACCGAAAATCCAGCTGGACACACAGTCGGAAGCTGCTCGGGCACCTACACCACCGATTTCGGTGCCCGGCGCGTTTGACTCGACGCCAACAGCAGAGCCATCAGAGCAGGTAGATCACTCCGCATTGAGCTATGAAGAGCAACTCGCAATCGCATTATCATTGTCGGAGCAGGATTCATCCGGTCCATCGGCCACTGTTCGACAACGGCAGCCCGCGGAATACGACGACGCAGAACTGAATGCTGCCATCGCTGCCAGTCTCCGGGAGATGGATGACCAGCAAGCTGCGCATGCCATCGCGAATGCCGAACCTGTGACGCCCAAGGTCATGCCCGCTGACATGCAGATGCTCGTTGATGTGACCCCATCCACACCCACCTTCGCTCCTCGTGACCAATGGGCCGAGCTGTTTCAACCTCAGTTCTCTCCGAGCAGAGATCCCATCTCACTCTACCCGCAGTCCAACCAACCCTCGTCAGAGGCGTCAGAGGCGTCAGATGAACTCTATCGTCTTACTCCCGAACTGACCAAAGCACGACTGGCCAGCCACACTGAGCAGCAGAGTGCATCCCTGGCCTCATCATCTGCAGGCTCAGCGTTGCCATTTGATCCTGTTCGTGACGCTGCCGCTGCTGCTGCTGTCCGACCAGTGCCAGATGTGATGGACGCTAGTTTCTACTCTGCCCATGCCGAACCATCTCCTGCTCCCAGCTCCGCTACTTTTGACCGCAGCACACCGATGCTAGTCGACTATAGCGAGGATCCCGCACCACACCCAGGTCAACGCACCCCTACATCTCGAGCGCACTCATCATTTGGCTTCCAGACCGATTCTGATTCTGACACATTCGCTTCTCTCTCTGCACCCCCTTCTCGTACAGCCTCGCGAGCCGAGTCGAGAGCCAGCGGGATCTCAGGCATCGAAATCGTCGATCTGGTCGACGATAGTGATGTGGACTTGTTGTCTGAGGAAGGCGATGGCATTGCGACGCCCGATAGCTGGTCGGAAGTGGGAAGTCGGGATGCGGATAGCGATATGGAAGAGGCGAGGACCTAGTAATGGGGCGATTACACGGAACCAGAGCTGGATTTTGGGGATATGTAGAACTCGATACCTATTGGCTTCCGTATAAATGAATTCAAACGAATTGTATATGAGTTGATGATCAACGTCACTTTCTCGAAGCTCAGATGAATATTCGCCTTTCGGGACACAATCTCAGTACTTTTGTACAACAGCTGCATTCCTTTTTTGAAAATTACATTGCATGTCCTAAATAAATCCCATTTACTTACTTATTACTCCTTTCTCCTCTTCTTAAACTTCCCACCACCCTCAGCATCACCACCCCAACTCTTCCTCTTCCTCCCCTCTTTCTTCCAATACTCATCTCGCTCCCTCTTCTCCCTCTCCCTCTTCTTCTCCTCACCCTCTCGAACTTTTCGCCGATAGCCCTCCTTGCGCTCCTCCTGTTTCACCCGACGCTTTTCCACTTTTTCCTTTCGCAACGTCATCACCTGCTGCATCAACCTTCTCGCCACTTTCTCTTCCGTGCCACCGACGACTACGGCGCGTTTTTGCATGTACGTTTCTTTGCTTTGTGGCTTCATCTGTGTGATTTGGGATTTGTATGGGAGGTCTGCTTGCAGTTTTCGGGGCACTCGTAAGGGGTTGAAGTGGCGCGTGGCACGTTCGATGGGAGTGTATTTGCTGTTTTTTAATTGTGGAGTTGGCAGGTTTTGCTCCGCTCGCACTTGGCCTGTGAGACGCATGCCTTCCCATTCGCCGTCGCCGTCGCTGCTGCGGTCGAGGAGGTTGGTCACGGGGTTGTAGAAGCGATGGGGCCGGATGGGATACCAGGCGCGGAGGAAGATGATGTCGGACATGAGAACTTTGTCTTCAAAGGTCGCTCGGAAACATCCTTCGGGCTTGGAGAGGGCCTTTTTGATCTGTCCGCGGATACCAGAGACGGTTTTGATGCCTGCGCCTTCGAATTTGGCGATTTCGAGGGCAGACGAGAACATGTCTTTGACAAAGGCCGTGTTCTTGAAGATCTTGTACGGATGGCCGGTGAGTTTGAGCTTCTTCACAATCTCGGTGCTTTCGTCCACATTGAGAACCACACCTGTTGCTGCGATGCGGAACCCGGGATTCTTGTTCGAGAAGGATTGTACGCAGCAGAATCCCGTATTGGGAGCGGCGAGAGGTCCGTAGAATGTGCCGAAGCAATGCATGTGCTCGGGAGTGTATTTGAGCATGCGATTTCGTGTTCGAGAGTCGGATATGCTGTACACCGGTGTGGACTGGAATCTTCGCCAACCGAGAGAGAAGATGAGAGGATCGTTGGTCTTGAGGATCTTCTTGTGCCATCGATGGCGTTTGATCCGGACCTGCACGAATCCCATGCGTTCTTCTGTGGGCTGCAAGCCACCGATGAGGAGTGGGAAGCGGGCATCGAAGTTCTCAATGAACTCGACTGGCACATCGGAGAGGATCAAACGAGCATATGTTCCGGCTCGGAACCCTTCGGCGCGGACTCGTGTAGCCTCATCAAGATCCTCGAATTCCTTGCGATTGATGTCTTGCTGTTTCTTGAGCATTGCCTTTTGAGCGTCGTACCACTCGTCTTCGCCAAACTCATCACCCTCAGCATCGCCGTTGGCTTCACGATTGGTGTTTTTGGGGTTTAAGAAGCCTTCGCGATCTTCTTCTTCAAAACGCATCTTCAGCTCTTCCTTCTTCTTCGCGTTCTTCGCTCGTTCGTCTTCGATGCTGTCGGCTGTCATTGCAGCACCACCATCCGCGTCGCCAGCCTCGAGATCTTCAAACTCTCCATCGCCTTCGCTGTCATCATCGAGACCTTCAAAGTCATCGTCTTCGCCCTCGCCAAGCGCATTGCCATTCGCACCAGTCAGGCCGACAGCCGTGAATCGTTGACGCAGGGCTTCCATGTTATCCTCGTCTGTCCACTTCTTCTCGAGTTCTTCATAGTCGTATTTGGGTATCATACGATCTTCCAGCGCTTCATCGTCGCCGGGCTTTCTGCGGCTGAAAAATCCATCGTCTTGCTCATCATCGACACTCTGATCCTCATCTTCCTCGCCTCGCCACTTCTTCACGAGCTGAGCTGTTGACAGCATGTCATCATACATCATTCTCGCCAAATCTGCGACTCTGTATGCATGCTTCCTGCCTGATAAGGCCTTTGCGCGCTCTGCCATATTGCTCTTCCATCGGACCTCGCCATCATCATCCTCGGAGTCCAGGTCAGAGTCTTCAGCATCCGGATCGTCCTCGAGCTCCTGATCAGACACGTCTGACAACGATCCAAGATCGCTGTCTGAATCGGCAAAAGCAATATCTCCTTCCACTTCAGTATCCTTGTCATTTTTCGAGCTGCGAGCCTTTCCAGACTCTTGCTGGAGCGCTTCCAGGTCCGCTTCGTCGTCTGTCTCCCCACTCTCGAACCCTTCATCCTCATTATCCAACTCTGTATCGTCGCCTTCTCGCTCGTATAAAGTAGCTTTACGCGCGGCCTTCCTTCCAGTATTCGTAGCATCATCGTCGTCCAGACTCTTGATGCGCCGCCCGTCATCGAACAGTGCAATACCATTGTCTTCAGCTTGCTTCCTTTCTCCCTGCAATCCGACAACCATCTGCTCACCCAGCCCTCTATCTTCGTTGTCATCATCCGGGTCAAAAGTGTTGCTTTTGATGTCAATGTATACAGCGTCTTTATCCACCAGTACACCGCCCACATCGCTCATGGGCGCATATATGACCTTCTGCTTCTCCCCCAATTTCCTCCTCTTCTTCGTACCATCTGCCTTCTCCTTCGCCTGCTCAAAATACGGGGTAGGGCACGGGTCGGGTAGCGATTCGACTCGTTCGACATTGAGGTCTCCAATACCAGGAATATGGACTCGCGCATCGTGGGATGGGAAATTGGTGCCCCGCAGATATCCGTACAGGGCGACAGTCCGATCGCATTTCGGATTCTCTTCCTTCTTGGTCTCGGGAGTAATGTCCAGCATCCGATCGGCCAATGCATAGGGATGCGAGTTCCTCCACACGAGCGGTCGTGGATTCTTCATCACACTCAAGAAGCGAGACAAATTCAACACCTCTCGATCGGGGTACCGCCCATTGATGACACCCGAGAGATAGAACAGTTTTGCACCCTGGTACAATTCTGACCAAAACCGATGCTTGAGCCTTTTCTTCTGCGCCTTCAATGTATCCTGTTTCCTGAAGAGATCCAGGTGTGTCAAGATGCCAAACACATTGCCTGGCATACCCGTACTACTCAACACAGACAAGAACTCCATCGTCTCCATTTCGAAGCCATAATTCCCATCAATCATGAGTAGCACGATATCGACGATTTTTGCCATGTCAATCGCGGCAGCCAAGCTATCACTCGGACTCTCCATGAAGGTGAGTCGCCGCCTCTTACTCGTGACAACGGTGATGGGTCCTACCGGCTGCGATACAGCTTGCTTGGTATACCTCCTCACCAAACTCTTGATCAACGTTGTCTTTCCCACCCCAGGAGGTCCTACGACGCCGACGACGAGTGGAGGCGCTTCTTCGGGGAGTCTGTCGACGAGCGGGACATGGAGCCGCTTCTCTTTGATATCATGGCTGCGAGCACCTTGCTTTTGGAGGCGGCCGGGAGCGCTGAAGGCGAAGGCTTTGGGGTTCGGTTGGGACGAGTCGTGCTTCTTCTTCGATTTCGCTTTGCTGGGGCGATGCGCCGTGTGCGCTTGTTCTTCGCCGGCCATACTGCCCACTGCTGCCACTTCCCTTCACTTGACCTCACTTCACTTGGCGGTGGTGGTGGTGGTGGTGAGAGGTAGGTAGTGGTGGCAGAAGAAGAGAGGGCGCCAAGATTTCGCGCGTCTGGGAAAAAGTCCAAAGATCGCAAAGCTCGGGTCAATTGCAAAGCACGCTAGACAGGGGGGATAGGCGGGTCATCTTATCGATAGCGAGAGCGGGCAGTGACGGCCTTTCGCAGCATGTTTCCCCTTCAAGGTTATGTCCATGCCATGTGAGCATGTGCTTTACACGTCACCGGCCAGGCCAGGCAACCGGCTCCTACATTCATCCATCGAGAGTTGGGACTCTATATCTATCCTGCTTTTCCCCCCCTTTCCTTCTCCCCTTTCCACTTCACTTCACTTCACTTCCCCTGGACCACCCTGTCTCCCATCATCCGCAGACTCACCACCTTCAGAACCCTCAAAATGACTTACAAGATCAACGTATGCAGTTCCACCTTCTGCACGCAGCTGAACAGGGAGCGTGTTGGTAGGACTGACAGCTGACACACACACTCTCTCTCTTCAGGTCTCGCTCAAGGACCCAAAGACCGCCGATGCCAAGCACTATGAAGAGGCAAAGAAGCAGGTCGAGGAGCAGGGCGGCAAGATTGTCAACGAGTACAAGTTGATCAAGGGATTCACGTACGTATCGTGCTGATGTGATATTCATGTATGGGGTGACAGCTGATGTGAGATAGTGCCGAGTTCCCAGACGACAAGGTCCACGCTTTGGCCTCGAACGAGTTCTTGAACGTGGAGAATGATGGCAAGGTTACTACGCAATGAGAGGTTGCGATAGCGGAGTCAGACGAGTGAGAATACGACACGATGCTCTCGCAGGATACGGCCTTCATAGACGGATAGGCCATGATATACAAGAACGTTGATTGACAGTGTGATCTCCAGACTTCATATCAGGTATGGTTGGTCTGGACACTCTCTATATTGACAGAGCCAAGAGCTTTAGGACGACTACCAAAGCATTTGACCATACTTTCGAGGATGGTCAAGCAGTTCGTGGTCACCGTGATTGGTATCCTTTGTCTTGAGCAGGCAGAAATGAAGGACAGAGGCTTTCCATCAATGGTCCCGCCGAGAAGGTCTTGGGATTCTCGATCAAGCGTATCATACTCGTCCACGTATCCTAGTGCTGTGTAGGAAATATGCTCATGTCATTCCACAGGCTGCCATGGATGCCTGGAGATAGCGGAGTGACCGGAGTAATCTGGGCCTAACACGAAGCCGCGTGAAAGAAGCAGTCGTGGGCTAGGTGGTACTCTACAGACGCCTTCTGCACTTTCTGGAGGATATAGGTCATGAATAGATTGCCCTCCATCCCCCTACTAGACAAGAGAGCTTCCCAGGCAGCAATACTCTCACTATGAATCAGACCATTAACAACTTCAAGCAAAAGGGAAGAAGACTTCCCACGCCTTTCCAAGAACCCATGGCACCCACAAAGCTTTCCAAGGGCATCAGCAAGCCTCCACGCCGACGACAGACAAGTCTCAAACCCTTGCCTTCCCACGCGATCTTCCCAACCGAGAATACCCCCTCGAAGCCTTTCCGCAGCAGCAGCAACAGCAACAACAACACCAACATCACCCTGCGTATCAGCTTTCACAAAGGAAACTTCTCCCACTGGAACCCCACCACCTGGCAACCTCACACCTTTCCAGGTGTCATCGACGCAACCAAACCTCTCAGCGACCTCCCCAATCTCCTCAAATCCCTCGTCATGGAGCTCGTCACTCCAGATTCCCATTTTCACCTGTACCATCTTCTCACTTGCGCACATCACGTTCTCGAATTATCTTCTATCAAGGTACTTCTCCCTACTTCAGCAGCAGCAGAAACGGCAACAAGCTATGAACAGCAAGAGATACAGACAGAAATTATCTCTCTTGATCATTTCCATCGTATTGATGTTTTGGGGGATCTCTTTCCTATTGATCCGATGAAGACGAAAACTTCTTCTTCTTCTTCTTCTTCTTCCCGTTCATTACAATTAGATGTGGAAATCACGTTGGATTGCAAAGTCTTGCGAGTCAATAACAATAATAATAATAAGCATATTACTGCTATAGCATCATCTCTGGAGGAGCGTATCATCCTACCTCGTTCATCATCATCATCATCATCATCAATGACTTCATCATCATCACTACAGGTACTAGAAAACCACGACTCTGAGAAGAAGGAGCAGAAGACGAAGAAGAGTCAATTCCGCAGGATGAGAATCGGATATGTGCCGGTTGTGGATGAATGGAAATCAGAGGTCCAGGAGAAACGACATGGGGGGTTTGTGGATGGGATTGTAAGTACATTACCTACCTCCCTGCCTTCCTCCTACGACACAGTGTTGTGTATCGATCTATCTATCTTATCATTCATCTCGTCGACATGTACATTTTTTATCCCGGTTCCGTTTTCCGTTTTTCTCTTTCAATACACAAACCGAGAAAAAAAAAGAAAATCTAACATTTTCCCTTTTCTCATTACTTATTCATAGGCATACACTCAACCCCTCCTCCTCTGGCTTCACAACAACAACCCCTTCTCATCCACCACCACCATCCAATTCAGCCGCGTCCACGCCTACGACTTCGACGAATTCTGCATCGGAGATCCCGACGAATGGACTCCCTGGAACCACATCCCCTTCTCAAACAGGTATTATTTCCTCGGAACTCTCGAATCCGTGCAGAGAAGAGGAGAATCTCGCGAAGAGTTGTTGGAGAGGGTGAAGGGGTTGATTGCAGAAGAAGAACACGACGAGAATGGAAATGGGGAATGTGAGTTGCAGCAAATGGGAAGTGGAATCCCCTTTTTGCCAACATATTGTTACAACGAGTATTCTGCGCAAGATCTTGGAATGGGATTGGCAGATTTTCCTATTCAGGGAATCGATGTAGCTGTGACAATGGTGAATCACTACGAAGGGGTTCGACACGTGGCGTTTCCGCGGGATATTCGAATTGTGGTGGATGGAGGAGATGAAATGGAGGATATTGTGGAGTTGCTGCGCGAGCTGATTGATCGTCGAGGGAGGCAAGATGGAGCGAGTTTTGATTCGGAACAGTTGTTTCGGTTGGAGCATCGGGGGCGTTGGGGGATGATATTTTGGGTGATGCCGCAGACGGGGCCGAGGAAGTTGTATCGGTTTACGGAAGGGAAACTGCATCAATTCTTGAGTTCGGCGTTGACTGTACGGACTCGGGATAAGAGGTTATATCTGGAAGCTCATATAGTCTCTGTGAAGGAGCGAGGAGCACTGTAGAAGCTGGATTGATCTGGGTTCATACGTATGATCATTCGCATTACCCCGGTCTAGAACTGTCTCGTCTATCTTGAAAGTGAAGCTCTTTGATCGAACTGGCGGATTGAGCAAACAGCGCCAGAATGTACTGCCGTATAGTGGACTATTTCCTTGCTTACACCCAGACATACCTCTCGGTCGAATGCAATCAAGATGGCGGAAAAGAAGAATACCAAGAAGGCCAATACGGCCGCAGACGATCCTATCATGAACCTGCGATTCATGATCTGCCCACGACATGATAGCGAGCCACCTGAAGGGGACCCCAAGATTGTAGAATTCCGCATACCGGCAAGGCTGGATTTCAGGAAGACCGCCATCGCCAGTGTAAGCCATATTCCACCAGTGAACAGATCAGGCTGACCACTTCTTGCAGCAACTCTCGTCACAGGTCGTGCCACTTCTCAGGCACACCTTTGGAGCAGATGTGAGGGAGCTTGTCGAGTGCATCGCGCACTATGATACCGAGCCATGTGGCCATGCCACCCTGCGCCAGGTCAAGGGCTTGACCGAAGGTAGCAGTACCGAGTCGACGACGAAAACGGTCATGCTGCACCTGGAACACCGCAGCGCTGTCCGAGAGACGTCAAAAGGGGGCGGTCGTGTAAGAGAGACTGTACAATCCGGGTGTGCTGAGTCGAGTCGCGTTCGAACCAACACAGACCTCTCCGAGAAAGGAAACGCCAGGCCGCCAGACCAAAAGACTGAAAAGGTTGCGAATGTTGTTGGAACAGGAGATGCTTCCGCAAAGGTCGAGAGAGGGCGTGGGATGTCTCTCAAAGGACTTGAAGGCCCAAGCGCAGCAGTCTCACGTGATTGTAAACCCCGTGACTTGGAAAACATCAGCGACCGCAGTAGAACAGAATCGATTGAGAGCAGCCCGCATACACCTGACCAGCACAACAACATGGCCACCCACAATCCTGATGTGGACGTGATCATCACGTTCACTCAGCGAACGTGGGCAAACAAGGCCGACCCGCTGAAGAACGGCGCCTCCGCGACCACCCCCTGGCCAAGGGCACGATTCGCCTGCCCGTCCGCCCTCGCAATTTCGAGGCTGCACGAGAGATGCCGAGAGGAGCTGGAGCACAGGGTCAGAGAAGATTCGAACTGGGATAGCGCTCTGGACCAGCGATTGCTGGAAATTGCCTTCCTGGCCTCGATTCCGGCACCAGACACTCCCAAGGTCCACGTCAGACTCGGAGACAGCAGACTCAATGTCTCGGTTGTGGGAGATCTCTTCCCAAACCCCCTGGCCAAGAACACGCTGGAGGTGTACCTGGTCTTCGCTCCAAGGAGCCGCAAGGTGGCCGTTCCGGAGGATGATCTGCTGATGTGGGAGCCGCACGTAGCCCAAGTTTACGAGAACATTCGAGTCGGTTCAACAGTTGATCGAGTCCCACCAAGCGACGAGCCCAAAGGCAGCAAGCAGGCTGCTGGTATGAAGCAAATTGCCGCCATTAGGCCACTCCTTGCCTGGATATCTCCGGGCTACAGCCCGAGTCTGTTCAGTGTTTCCGCATACGAGTTTGATGGGTACTGCATTGGACAGAGCTGCAGCGATAGCCTGTATTGGGAGGAAGATTACACAAACCATGAATTCGCGTCGCGCCATGAGTTGATCGAGCCATTTGCTGGTATCTCCAACCTGGACGCATTGGCAAAGGCCATTGCGACGTACAGGAGACTGCAATCGCCCATGATCGTGGGGTCGGGCATGCCCTTCCTACCCTCCTATTGCTTCAACAATTTGGACGAAAACAACGAGACGCAACAAGACTTTGGCCTCAACGGTGCCCGCCCAGAAGACAGCATATATGCTGCCGTGCGTTGCGTCAACCACGTGAAGGCACCAAAGGGATCCGGATTCACAGGACCAGAATTCATATGGTTCCCGGACATCGTTCTTTCAATCTCAGCTACCAAGGGGGGAAAGACGGTATGCAAGCGAGTCATGGATATCTTGAGAGCTTCCGAAGTGCGGACAAAGGTAGGCGAGCAGAATCAGAAGAATCTTCTCTCGTCCTCGGCGCTGTGGAAGCAACCTCTATCAGACACTTGGAGCGTGCAAATCTGGGTGTCCCCACAGAGTCCCGGCAGAAAAAATGAGGACCGGAAGATGTATTGCCTGACGCGTCATGCCGAGGAGACGCAAACCCCGCTATGGCAATTTCTCAACGCAGATGCATGGAAGAAGAATGATCGCAGACTGTATCTTGAGGCTCACATTGTACCGAAAGATCTGAATGCGTGGGTAGTCACTGGGTCTATCGTGGAGTCACCAGCACCGTCTCTGGAAAAAAGCCCCAACACGAAGACGAGCGCTAGTCCTGAACACCAACAGGAACAGGATGAGCCAAGAGCAGCCGAGCGTGTGGAGGTCTCAGATGGAGCTCAAGATGACCAGATTGAGAAAAGTGTTGAAGGTGATGTTGAAGGTGATGTTGAAACTGATATTGAAGCTGATGCGGCGTTCTTGCTCGAGGCCATTGGCCTTGGACAAGGACGCGATGCACCCGAAAGCATGAGCGAGGATGAGGGGCAGGATGAGGACACCGATACCCTTGCCGATGAAGGTGCAGCAAATGTGAATGACAAGGACACCGATACCCTTGCCGATGATGGTGGGGCCGGTATGAATGAGGAGGTCCGTGTTCATGACGATTCCGGTGCAACAGGTGTGGCTGCAGAGGCAATACAGGACATGACAGAGGCCGAGCACGACGAGCTGTACGAATGAGATTGGAGAGGAGCGAGAAAAGTGGAAAATCGATACCGCCACTGCGCTGTAAGATAAGACGGAGCTTGAGCCCCGACATCTTTGATGATGAAGATGGTGGTAGTTCTCGCCGAGCTGAAGTGCAATATCAGGCGGTCTGTAGGCGTTGTAATTGTTTCGCGAACGGAAGAGTTCGGTCCAGTGACTCAAGGACCAGCCAGTATCGTCCATCATTCGGCGCTTGTCATTCGCCGTATACGTCTTGTCATCGTCGCGCTTTCTCACGTGAGAGTTGTTGCTGCCGCTTATGCGCAAGGATTGATGCCGGGGACACATCGATAATTCGTACAACGCCATAATCCGTCACCAATGGGCGCAAACTCCCACATGCCCACGGTCGCCCTCAGAATCCCTGGTGGAATGCCGTCTGATTCGAAGTTTGCGAAGATGCTCGCGCGTCCCGTCCGTTTCGTAATGGTTACAACGACGTCTACTATCCGCACCGAGTACTCTGCATGCGCGGCGATGTAACTCTCGAAGTAATCGACGAAAGCATCTCGTCCTACCACATTCCTCTCCCATCCGGCAAAAAACAGCTCCGCAGTGAAGTCGTCCGAGAGATGTGTCCATGGGTATGATGTCGGATCAAATGACCTAGCGTTGATGGCATCTGCCATATGATGAACGACTCGAGTCAATGATGCGTCCAGTGCTTCATGATGCGCTGGGCCCAGAGAGTGGAGGCAGGATGCGGTGGCCTCAACAGCTGCCATCGTGGTTGTTGGTGCGAAGGGGGTGGTGATTGATGCGGTTGCGGATGGTACAAGGAGGAGCTCAGAAGGACTGCGGTTCTGCGGATGCTCGTGCTCGTGCTCGTGCTGCCTCAGCCAGGGCAGAGACTCTTTCTATACGCTTGTGAATCCCATGGCGGCACTATCAGCCACGCCGTCAGCGCGAAGGTGGCTGTTCTCGTGCTGATAGCCACGGATGTTGCACTGCATGAGAAGGCGGCAGCTCTGGCACATTTTTGGCCGTTTCTGGCCCGTTGAGCTGCACAGGAACGAAAGAACGTGTCCATTGGCCTCCTCAACCGTGATGCGTGCGCCATGTTGCATATGACACGCCGCGCTGGAAGTTCCGTCGCTTGTTCATTGTCCCTTGAAGATGTATTTCTACAGGAGAACACGTGTCGGGCCCGCCGGAGTGAAGCATATGAGTCGGGGCTGTCGTCGGTTGCGGCGGAAATTGGGAAATCCGCGGCCGTGTACTTCTTGCGATGGGACGTGAGAAGGCGCCGTTGCCGGTGATGGTCATGGCATTGTAGGTACCTACATGTAGGTAGTGATGTTGATGTCGTCGAGCGACGTCTTTCTTAGACTCGATATCCTTGGCAAGTCGGGTGCCCCACTCGGTACATTTCTAAAGAATATCGGCCTTCCGTACATCCATCACTCACTTCATACATCACCGTCGCCGTAGCCATGGACGTCACGCACTTTGTCGCCAGTCACCGCGAGGCGCTCCTCATTGGCGACTACAATGCCTACCGGGCCCAGCTTTCCCGACAGATTCTGGCCACCAGAAGGAGGCTCGGCCGCACGACCAACAAACGAGAGAAGTTCGCGGTCAAGCCAGTGACGGCAGAGGACGTGGGCAGTAACCATGAGTTCGCACTCTTGATATTGCTTCAAGCGGAGCGAGCCTGGGCACACGCTATGCACATCAAAACCACGCATACGGCCGACGCCAGCGGGCGGGGCATCACTGGATCCACGCGAAGCCATCTGATCTCGCGATTGAGCAAAGCTGCCAACACCGCGGAGGGCCTGGTAAAGCTGCTTCAGCAGGGAGCTTCCAAAGCGAGTGAGCAGGACGTAATTGAGACACGAGCGTATCAGGCGACTTTGGCGGGATCAGAAGAGTTCGAAAGGCATTCTGGAGGGCAGAGATCAGACGAGGAGAGGCAGAAAGGCTGGCAATTGTGCTTGCAACACTACTCAAAAGCGAGAGTCATATATGCTGCTCTCCTCGAGAAGGAGAAGAAGGAAGTATACAGGACTGTCCTCGCAGACACGGTGGACCCAACCATTCGATATGCGGCCTACCAAGCTCGGCTCTCTCGTACCATAGCCATACCGACCGTGGCCAAGCGATACTTCCCAAAAGATGACCGGGAGCTTGTGTCTGCAGTCGAGAAGTTCGATGCATATGCGTTGAAGGATAAGCCTGCGCCCAAGTCTGAAGACGAGGGACAGACGGCGCCACAAGAGATTCCTAACAGTGTTTCATGGCGCGGGCGTAGAGCTAATATCGTGGATGCTTCCATCGGGCAGGCACTGGCCAGTGTGACGGCGGCTGAAGCAAGACTGCGCTCGTATCTAACCACCAATCCAAATGCGTCCTCGCGTGATAAAGCGACGGCCTACGACGATGTTCTGATCGCGTCTCAGGATGCGGCAGACGCCACGAAGCGAGCCATTGATGAACTGGAAAAAGAACGAGTAGACGAAAGTGATGCTCGAATGCAAGATCTGCGAGTCACCAGCTTGTCAGTGAACTACGATCTTGTCTCCTGGCGAGTGGGGAGATATCGTATTCTGATAGGACACGATGATGGCTTGTCCTTTGGAGCACAGATGCAGAAGAAGCCCAGACATCCACGCAAGGATGGCACAGAGTATCCAGACAAGGAAGAGCCTCGGGGACGGCAGCTTGCACGCCTGCGTGAGCGCATTGTGCTGTACGATGCCATCATCCAGAGCATCAACTCGATCAAAGAGCTGCGTGGCGCTATGCGGGACGAGAGCTTTGTGGCCGAGTTGGACGGCAAGGCAAGCTACTTCCGCGCGTTGAAGTGTCTCAACATCTCGTACTCGCACTCTCTACTGGACAATCATCTCAATGCTCTCGCGCTATTGAAGAGAGCGCAGGATCTTGTCGCGAACCCAGTGTCATCTTCGAATGCTCATAGCACTAGCACTCCACCAACGCTGGATGTCCATTCTTCAGAATCTGATCGCGTGAGGACACATGTCAGCTCACTTACATCTCGCATGCATGCCGTTGTAGAGATGCAGGCTCTGGAGGCCAACTCTGCAATCGCTGCCAAGAAGAATATGACCTCTGCCGCCCCTGTTGTTCAGCGTTTGACGGAGTACCCTACTCCTGGCACACAGGTGGACCTCAATAATCTCGTCACCTTCCCGCCCAAGATGGAGCCGGTGCCCGTGAAGCCATTGTTCCTCGATGTTGCTTTCAACTACATCGAGTATCCTGGCCGCAAAGCTGAAGCTGTGGTTGCCGAGCAGACACCTGCCTTGAACGGTTCCTCGAACGAATCTGCACCGCAGCCGCAGAAGAAGGGCTGGTTCAGCTTTGGACGCTAAGAAGATGGCAACCGTGACGTTGTCATATATTGATCACAAAGAGCGGGACTGACATTCTTCAGCTCGGCAAAGGAGGCGTCGACTACTCGAAAAGTCATGCTTTCAATCCTGTCTATGGAGAGTATACCCCGGTAGCAGGCTGGTCCACTTTCTCTCAGGATTTGCAAATTCGAGTGATGCACGAGGGAGCTCCAATGCGAGCCCGCGTATAGTCGATGGGCACGGCAGACGGAGGTGTTGCAGTGCTTCACAAGCCTAAGGTAGTCTACGAGATCAGCGTCGACCTGCTGCTTCCATCGAGACATGGCCGCGGCCTACACCGACCAAGCGCCGCGGAAAATGCCATTTTCGTGTATTCGACACGGGCAAAAAGGTTATGAGTGGCAGACTCGATGATGCTGTCTGTACACTGCCTCCAATCGATCCCTATTATGCTAGACGAATCCCGTCTCACTGCAACAGCATGTGTCGTGCAATCATGCACAGTCTCTTGCTATGAGTGTCGAGTCAGGTCAAGTTGGGAGAATTTAGATCCATCTGTCCATTTCGATAGAGATGATATAGCCAGTAGAAGCAATGACTGCTCATACTAGTATAAACATCTTCTTGAAGACACTTTACTCTCTCTCTCTCTCTCATATGACAGAAATATGTCTGTCTGTCCGTCTATGTCTCCACTTCCCCACTCCCTCTCCCTCTCCCTCTCCCTCTCCTCGCTTTTTTGGGCTTGTTTTTTTTTTGTTTCCTTTTTGCTTTCTTCTTCCTCTTTTCATTTCCTTCTCAAGTAAAAATAATCCCCCCATCAACAACCTGCGTCTGTCCCGTCACATAATTCGAATCCGAACTTCCCAAAAAACTCACTAATTTTGCGACGTCCTAGAAGATTACACAAGAAGAGAAAAAACAATCATCAGTGTTAGCTAGTATTGGTGAATGTGTGTCTTCTTTCTTTTTTTCCTCCTTATATGTATGTATTGTATAAGGTTTTTTTTTTTCTTGTTCGTTTTAATTTTTTTTTCTCTTTCTTTTTCTTTTTTTTTTCTCTCTCTGTCTTCTTTTCCGGATTCTTTTGTGGGGAGAATTTCATCAAAAAACTCACCTCAGGCGTACTCGTCCTCTTCAACGCAATCAATTCTCCCGTATATTTTTTAATCGTGTCTCCCTTTTGCGCTCCTGTTTTTTCTCCCAGTTTTTCGTCGATGAGATCCCACCTAGATACAGAAATAAAATGGGAGTGAGGTGGAGTCAGTCAGAAGGGTGGAACCAAAACAAAAAAGGGGGAGAGTGAAAAGGAAAAGGAAAGGGAGAGGGAAAGAAAAGGCAACTCACATAGCAGTACCCACAATCCCCGGGGCATACGCATTCACCGTGATATTGTATTCTGCCATTTCCATGGCATATGCTTGCGTCAGACCGCGCACGGCCCATTTGGATGCGCTGTAATGCGAGAGGAGGGCAAAAGGTTTGAATCCGACAATGGAAGAACACTAGAAACAGGAAGCAAACAAGAAATTAACATGGTAACGTCCACAGATTGATGGTGTCCATGCGAGGTGTAATAAGAAGAGCGACATACACCGATCAATTTCGCAGGAGATTCCGGCGTAGCAGTGCCCTGTTTAATAATTTGCTTCGCAGCAGCTTGATAACAATTCTGCACGCCAAATACATTCACGCGAAACATGCGTTCAAAATCGTCTTCGGTCAAGTCGAGTAGAGGTTTGACTTGGGCGATACCGGCATTGGCGACCATGGTGGTAAGGGGTCCGAGTTCCTGGACGACGTGCTCGATCATGTGGGTGACTTCAGAGAGGCGGGAGACGTCGGCGATGGCGACGGTGGACTTTTGGCCCATGTCCCGGATTTCTTGGGCGACTGCTTCGGCGAGGGGTTGGTTGGCGGAAATGTCGTTGATTGCGACGTCGTAGCCGTCGTGCGCGAGGCGGAGGGCGATGGCGCGGCCGATTCCTTGCGCGGAGCCCGTGACGATTGCTACTCGGGTCATGCTGGAGTCAGTGCTGTTGTTGTTAGAAAAATGAGGTAGGTGAGTTCGTTGAAGCGTTCTGCAGAGATGCTATATCGACGAAATCGCGGAACTTCGATGGGTTGTCTGTAACAGTGAAGAGAGGATAAGTTTTATAGCTTGCCGAAAGGCACATTGTTAACCCTATATGTATATATATATACATGTATGCGCTCGAAGATCTGATCACAGTCCTGACGAGTGATAAGAGCAGGAGGAACGAGATGAGGTGGATATGAGGAGCTTCTCCTCTTTTTGCAGCAGGAATGTCTCGGTAGGTATGGCTGATATGAACGGGTGGGCCGTCGTTTAGAGCTGTTCCGTTCCACCGAGCTCGAATGCAAAACAGGATGGAAGGCTCCCGCATCATTGTGGCACGGGAGAGGAGAGTGGAGCTGGGAGCTGGAGGGAATCATGTTGGACACTTTCAGTATCTGGGCGTCGATCACCGGTATAGCTTGTTCCGAAGTGCAGAGGGTCTTGGTCTTGGTCAAGTTATACTGTCGTCGGTGGCACACATGGTTTTTGGGAGGAGGAGGAGGAGGTGGTGGTGATGGTGGTGGTGGTGGTGGTGGTGGTGGAGATGGAGGATGAGGATGGGGAAGAGGAAGAGAAGGTGATGGTGTTGGAGGTGGTGGTAGACTGGAGAAAAACGCCAAGAAAAGGACCGTGCCTTAGAATAGTTCTGGTGGGGCTTTCGAACGTTTACTACGCGTCTCCCACGAAAAGAGCGCGTTCCTCCCACACCATCAATTGAGTCGAAATTACACCAGAAATCATGTCGCGCCCCATCATCACCCACCAGCGTGGCCTGACGCTGCCCGAAGAACTCGAGAAATTGGAGCAGCAAATCACGCTCACCCTGCAGGAAATCGACAGCAACTTCAGCAAAGCGCACCGCATCGTGACCAGCAGCATCCTACCCATCGTCGAGGACTACGCCAAGCACAGCAACCAGGTGTGGGAGGGCTCCAAGGTATGAGTGAAGAGAAGGACATGTCGGCGATGCGTTGCGCGAACAGGTATGAGAGCGTATATACCAACTGACCTGCCACCGCCAGTTCTGGAAGCAGTTCTTCGAGGCTTCGGCCAATGTCTCCCTGTCCGGCTATGAAGAGAACGGGAACGAGGACAACACGCAAACCGACGCCACGCACTCCTTTCAGACGCCGACGGATGCCTCTCACGACGACAGTACGGTCACGGGCGCCACTGTACAGGAAGACGAGGAGGAGGAGGAGTTCAGCGTGGAGTCCCCTACACAGATGACAGGCGTACAGACCACTCCAAAGCTACCAGCGTCTGGACCGCGATCGAATGGGAAAGCGAGAGCACAAGGGAGTAGACCGGCATCATCATATCGCTCACCCTCGCCACGCAAATACACGGGCCGTAATCCCATGGGCGGCAATACTCCCGGCTCTGAGCAACCGAGCACACCGCGTATGTCAACTGCCATGGGCGACACCTCGTCTCCATTCCAGCCCGAGTCTGCCTTCGAACCCCCGTCTGCCTTTCGTGCGCAACAGCAGAACCATGATCCTCTCATGCACCGTGTACTGGACAAGAACTACCGCATTCAAGCAACTCCCATGACTCAGCGCCGTCAGCGCCAGGCAACAGCATACTCGAAACAAACGCCTGCCACTGCCGCCAAGAAAGAGGCCTGGGACGATTCACCACAGTCATCGCCCGAGATCTCCGCGCCTCAACTCCGTAGCGAGCTCTTTTCTCCCACCAAGCCAGCCCCTCGTACCCCTGGTGTATCGGTCCTGACACCTGCTGCTCGCAGAAATGGCCCTCCTCCACCTACCACGTCCACAGGCAAACAACTGTTCTCTGCGCAAGACAAAGCGTATACAGCAACTCGTGACCGCACTCGTAATATGTTCGCCGACAGCGATGAGGATGACGACGACTTCGGGCCCGAGTTCAGCCCGCCCAAGACCATGCAGTTTCACGTGCCACAAAGTAGACTTGTACAGACTCCGGCACGAGAGGCGAGTAAGAGGATCGTGGAGGACCTGTTGCTCACTGCTGGTGCCGATGCAACGGATGACATCGAGGACGACGATTACGAGTTTGAAATTCCCAGTCCGAGCGTAGTAAAGCCAGGCTGGGAAATTGACGATGATACCTTTTAGAGCTGGTAATTCCTCCCAGACAGCGGTTCCATAGTGATCAGGGAACTGTAGGGATGCTGCGAGTGCAACTCCACATGCTCCAAGTGTGAGCACAGCTTGCCAACACATGGTCGACTACCTTGGCGAACATGTGCCTGATCGTGGAAAACTGTGCAACTGCGCGTTGTCTTCGAATGAATGATCAAAGTCTGTGTCGAGGCCTGGAATATACAGTTTCAAGGACGGACTGCCATGAAGAGCTTTCTTGTATACAAAGGAGACTCCTGCTGCTGCTGATAGGGAAAGTCTGCTGGATCGGCCAAGGACAGATGTGCAAAAGTTCCAACACTTGAACTGGCAGACTGTCAAGGCCGAAAAGATTGCATAGACGGATAAAGTGGATAGGACAAGCAGATTCGCCCGAGTTCGTTTCTTGGGGGAGATCGGGCTACGTGAAGCTTGCCCGCGGCGCAGCATCAAGTTCGGCCTTTCGAAAGATGCCATGATTGCAGGCATACATTCGGATAGGCCAGAATATCTCAGCCGCTGATTGTATAAGGAAGGTCCTGCAAGTCGCTCTTCTTTCTCTCTCTCACACACACATACCCCCGCCACCACATTCAACCTAATTCCTTTCCCCTCCCATCATGTCTACTACCACCACTACTGAGTTTATCCCCGGGCCCACTGCGGCTCATAAGCTATTCCTTCGAGGCTCTCACCACACATATGGAGACTTTCGCGATGACCTCCTCCGCGACGGCTTCGCCGTGATCAAGGGCGCCGTGCCCCGTGAAAGGGCGGAGAAATATGTTGATGAAATGTACACCTGGCTGGAGAATTTGTACGTGTTGTTCATTCCAATCCATCAATAAATTCAATAAATTCAATCAATCAATCAATCATCAAATACTACCTAACATGCATACTCCCACAGCGGCCTCGGATTCTCCCGCCACGACCCTTCCACCCGCCACACGTCCCACCTCCCCATCATCAGCGAAAAGGGCATGTGCGCAGGCTACGGCCTCCCCCACGAAACCTTCACATGGTCGATCCGCTGCGAACCGGGAGTCGTGCAGACGTTTGAAAAAGTGTACGAAACGGAAGATTTGATCGTCTCCTTTGACGCGGTGAATTTTGGATTTCCGGGCAGAACAGATTTACAACCCAACTCTCCGTGGCCACATCAAGATCAGGATCCTGCGCGGCCAGGGTTTCGATGTTTGCAAGGGTTGGTGAATTTGTTGGAGAATGGAAAGGATGATGGTGGGTTGATTGTGTGTAAAGGGGGTCATTTGGTGAGTGAGGAGTTTCATCGGACGTTTGTGGAGGAAGAAGGGGATAAGGTTCCTGCTTGGTAAGTTCTTTTTTTTTATTTCCTCTTCTTCTCATATCTTCCCCTGTTATTACTCCTCCTCCTCCTCCTCCTCCTCCTACTAACCACATATATTCCTCCCAACCCCACAGGACCAAAGAATGGTACGGTTTCTCCCCCAAAGGCATGCAATGGCTCGCAAACAAAGGCCTCGAATGGGAAAAAGTCTGCATGGAGCCCGGCGATCTCGTCATCTGGGACTCTCGAACTCCGCACTATAATCTCAGTCCGACGAGTACCACCCAGCCCCGCTTCGCCGTGTATACATGCTATATGCCAGTGAGTGATGTCTCGCAGGAGGATTTGCAGAGGAAGAAGAAGGCGTTTGAAGATTGTCAGGCTACGACACATTGGCCGAATGCGGCTCATGTGGGACATATGCCTTTGTATCGTAATGGGGAATTGGATCCGTGGGATTTTGATGTGCCGAAGTCGGGAAGGCCGAAGTTGAGTGAGAGGGGCTTTCGGTTGACTGGGATTCCGTATATTCGGGAGGTGGGAGGAGAGGAGTAGTAGTGATAGTAGGAATGGCAATTTGGAGGAGGAGGAGTTGAGAAGGGTGCATGTAGTTTCACAAGAAAGAGCATTTGATAGAAGAGGCTCGAGCCTACATTTCTTTTTTTTTTTTGTCTTTCCGGTACAGTATATATAACTTCCAGGTCGTGGTTTGGATAGATACCGAGACAGACATCCTACTATCACCTTACTTCAGGAGGCCTTACTTCAGGAGAGAGGCAAGCTCCTTCGCCACAGCATCACCCACTTCCGCAGTCTTGGCAGAGCCGCCAATGTCTTTGGTCTTGATGCCATTCTCGATGACGTTGCGAACTGCCTCGTCAATCTTCTTGGAGAGCTCGGGCTGTTGCAAGGAGTACTTGAACATCATGCCGAGTGACAGGATCATCGCAACAGGGTTGACAATGCCCTGGCCGCTGATATCTGGTGCAGAGCCTGTTTCGAAAAAAAAAGCATTTAGTACAAAGGAGAAGAACATGTTATAGGGGGGGAGGGGTTCTGTCTCTCGTCCTCTTACTTACCGTGAATGGGCTCGTAGATGCCGTTACATTTGCTTTTTCCATCGGGCGAAGCTGTCAAGCTCGCGCTGGGGAGCAGACCCAAGGAGCCGGGAATGACGGATGCCTCATCACTGATGATGTCGCCAAACAGGTTGCTGGTGACAATGATGCCGTTGAGGGCGCGCGGATTCTTGACCATGAGCATCGCTGCAGAATCGATGAGATGATGGCCGTACTTGAGCTGGGGAAACTCCTTATCCATGACTTCCGTCACGGTCTTGCGCCACAATCGGCTCGTGGCGAGGACATTGGCCTTGTCGAGAGACCAGACCGGGACAGGTGGATCTTCTGCAAGTGCGAGGTGAGCAGCCAGTCTGGTGACACGCTCAATCTCGGCGCGTGAATAGGGCTCGGTGTCCATGGCATAGCCAGAGCCATCGTCTTCAGTTCGCTCGCCAAAGTAAATGCCGCCAGTGAGCTCGCGGACAATGTTGAAATTCACGCCTCGGCAGACTTCTTCCTTCAATGGCGAAGACTTCACCAAGCTTTCCGATGCGAAGAAGCACGGGCGAAGGTTTCCATAAGTACCCATCTCCTTGCGGAGTTTCAGGATGCCCTGCTCTGGACGAACTTTGCCAGTCCCCCACTTTGGCCCTCCGATGGCACCGAGAATCACGGCATCAGCAGCTTTGGCTGCCGCCAGAGCTGCATCTGTCAGTGGCTCGCCATGTGCATCAATCGAAGCCTGCGACGATCATCAACGAAGTTCCAGCCAGCAGCTGTAGAATGTGTGTGGTTCATACGCCTCCGAGTGCGTGTTGCTCGATGTTGAAGTGAACATCGGCGTTGCTCTTGTCTACGACATCCAGGATCTGAGGAGTGCTGATGAGTATAGGCAGCTTGAGATGATTATTATTGATCGGAATCTGTGTGTCACCTTCAATGCTTCTGCTGTGACCTATTTTCATGTCAGAATGGCAAATATCAATGGATGGAGTTGGCGAGCTGTGCTTACTTCCGGACCACAGTGATCACCTGGCAGCCGGCGTTAGTCCGTGTCAGTTCTGTGAAGGGCTACGATGGGGATTCGAACCTCCGAAGACGACGATATTGTAAGTAGGCATGTTGGGGGATATGTCTTTCTGTGGGATGTTGTCGTTGTCGTTATTGATGTTGGTGTTGGTGGGAAAGGACGGATATCATCTGCGAGGTCGGCGATCATTTTCTCGCCAAGAGTTCGATGGCATTCCAGCCCTCCCTCCCCTCGATTATTAGGTACTCTCACCTATGAAATTCGAGGCCAGGATACATCCCACATCAAAAGACACCTTTAGAAGTTAGTTGTCAGGCTGTCAGCAAGCTCGTGCGCATGGGTGCGGGTGTGGGAGCCGTTCCCACTACGACCTGTCAAGGAGATGCTATAATTACGAGAAGCAGACTGCGGCTTCCTGATGATTTAGTGCTAATAATGCTGTATGCTACTTGCCTCCACTGGCAACGAGCTCTTATGCTCTTCCCGCATGAATAGGGAGGGGATTGCTTCGCCTGCTCGTCATGTCCGCTCGTTCGGATAACAACAGCACCAAACATGGCGGTACCACGCCCTGCCACTCTGTCCACCAAGGCATCCACGAGGGACAGCGTTGTGCCGCGCGAGGGTCCATCTGTGGGCTTACAGCGAGAGAAGACTGCTCATGCCGAAAAAGTGTCTCGAGAAGAGCTTCGCCAGCAGTGCCGCTGGATTCGAGATGTTCTCGACATTGAAGTCGCTCGCAATGGACCGGACGCCCTCCACTCCGACGACATACTGACCATGGATGAGCTGCTTCGCAAACTTCTCGAGTGCGACATCAGCTCCGACGACTTACGGTACAGCCGGATGCACCTTGCCATCAAGACGGTCTCCGGGTTGGCCACTCGGTGGCCCAAGAAGCTCATCGAGAGATGTGATGCATTGAGAGATGTATGGTATAGCAAGTTCGGAGATATACCAGGCATACTCCTGTACGAAGCAGGCGGAAGGCTCCATGGGATTTGCAGGCCTGAGGATTTGAATAAAGAGAAGCTCATCGTGAAGTGGCTGAAGAGTCCGGGCTCGAGGCTCAGTCCCATGGTATCCAGAAAGACAGGTGACCTGGGCTTTGTGCCCGGAGAGTAAGAGGCAGATTGTCATGCTGTGAATCCAAAGTAAGCTGACCACATACAGCTGGTGGATCAGTCCGCTCTTCGCCCATCGCGCTGGCATTATCGACAGTAGCAACAGCGAAGGGGGCATTGTATGTGGCGCTGACGCCGCCTATGCAGTCGTGATGACCGGCAGTGATGAGATTTCGGCACCGGATGGCGAAACGATCCAATACCGTGCACGAAGTAATGATCCAGGACGTTACCGCTTGACAGCAGCGTCGCCCTCGTCGCGTCACCCTGTTCGCATACTCCGCAGCCATCGACTCAACAGCCTGTGGAAGCCGAGAGCAGGAGTGAGATATGATGGGCTGTACGAAATCGCAACGGGACTGCCCCAATATTGTTATATGACTCCCCATTCAGCATATCGAGCTCCGCTAAAGCAGCATATGGCAGGTACAAGATCACTGGCTGGTCCCTGAAGACCAACTTCACAAGCAAAGAAACGGAGTACATAGTGAAGTTTCAACGGCTCCCGCACCAGACGGGATTCGAACAGGTGTTGGAACGACCATGGGCCGAAGAGCTCGAGGACTACATGGAATATAAGCGGATTCGTGACGTGGAGCATATGAAACGGAAGGAGAGGCATGATTCGGGGCCGAGGCCCAGGTCAACAGGATTTCTCTGAATGGGACACGGTCGACGATGAGGTAGGAGATAAGGTAAGATACCAGGTAAGGTAGTGATGATATCTCCCGTCCTGCAGTAGAAAGTGCAAGAAATTCAAGAATCGGCTCACACTCACTCCATGACAGGTCCCTCCCTGCAATCATCAGTCCATGTGCCGATGTCGGCAATTGAAAAGGGTGTCGGAAGGCTCTTTTCAGCCTACCGAACCGCCCTCCACGTCGGGTCAGGCAGGACCACGTTAGGTATGGCAGGCGGGTAAGAAGGGCCGTGGGGGCCGACGGGCGGTTCTTGCCTCGTACCTCTCTCTCAGTAGCTTGCACTTGCTCAGTTCAGTGGCAGTTCTATAGTGTTGGACAGAACCGCACGGCAGGCACGTCTCACCGTCTCACCACTCACCACTCTCCACTTCCAACTCTCCGCTTCCAACTAGGAGGTAGGAGGTAATCACCCACTAACCACTGCCCATTGACCACTCACCACCGCCCAAGTGGAGTCGCCACTCATCCACTTACTCACGTCTGCCACCGTCGTTCCTTCCGAGTCTCCATCCACTACACCCATTCTTGCCTCCCCGATCCAACCGACCAACGACACCCTCCAGAGTGGAGCCCGGTGTGGAGTAGCAGTACCACCTCCCTTCCCAGCTAGCAGGTAATAGGAGGCATTACTGTGTGATTGCATCCACCATCTCCAGAGTCTCCACGGCCCACACGCGCACTCGAATGTTACCCATGGGGTCACCGGGGCCGTCGACTCGGTGGCACGGTGGAGTTCGGTAGTAAGTGTGATTAAATACATTAATCCCCTACACATACCTCTTATTCATGTGCTGCTGCTGCTGTTGCTGCTTCTTCACCGCCCGAGTGAGAGAAGAAGAGAAAATCACTCTTCTCCTGCCTTGTTTTTGTTTCTGTTTTCTTTCGTCGTTCTCCTCCTCCTCCTCCTCCTCCTCTTCCTCTTCCTCCCAAGAACAGGAAAACAAAAAAAGAAACAGAAATGGCCCGCGTCACTCACGACCAGCCTAGCGACCGCATCTCGGGCGACGACGGACCCGACGATAAGAACGTCACCGAATACCTGGACGAGGTGGTCGACGATGTCGACAAGCGTCCGCAAGGCTTGGAGCCACCGCCCCTGGTGCGAGCGATGAGTCCGGCGGAGAGAGAAGTGCTGGAGAAGCAGTTGACGAGGAAAATCGACATTCGATTGCTCCCACCCGTCATCATCATGTATATTCTCAACTATCTCGATCGCAACAATATTGCCACTGCGCGACTCGCGGGAACTCCGGGGCTGGAGGAAGATCTGGGTCTCACAGATTCGCAGTATGAGACGTGTGTGTCGATTCTGTTTGTGGGCTACATCTTGATGGTATGTGACAGCCGTCTCTCTCTCTCTCTTCAATGGAACAAATCTGACAGGATGTAGCAAGTACCCAGCAACTTGTTCCTGAACAAGATCGGCAAACCGGCCTTGTTTCTGCCCGGCATGATGGTCGTCTGGGGTATCGTCTCGCTGTGTACGGCCGCCGCCAAGAACTTTACCCATCTGGTCGTCATTCGATTCTTCCTGGGTTTCGTCGAAGCCGCCTACTTTCCTGGATGTGAGTTCTCATAGTAGTCCTGCGGTCATTGCTGTGTGTAGCACCCGACGACTGACCTGCCACTTTCTTAGGTCTCTTCTTCCTCTCCTGTTGGTACACTCGAAAGCAACTCGCCTTCCGATCCGCCGTCTTGTACTCGGGTTCCCTCATCTCGGGTGCATTCGCTGGTTTAATCGCCGCGGGTATCACTGATGGCATGGATCGCAAGCTCGGCCTTCCGGCGTGGAGATGGCTCTTCAGTATGCGTGGTCTTGTCTCTCTCGTATGTTCACCACTAACAGCATCATGCAGTCATCGAAGGCGCTGTGACCGTTGCCGTTGCCAGTGTGTGCTTCTTCATCTTGCCCAACTTCCCCACGACCACCAAGTGGCTCACAGAGGAAGAACGTCAACTCGCAGTCTGGCGCTTGCAGGAAGACGTTGGTGTTGACGACTGGACCAGTAGCAAAGACCAATCCTTCTTCCACGGTTTCGTTCTGGCCATCAAGGACATCAAAGTCTGGATTCTGATGATTATGCTTCTCGGAGTAGTCAGCGCCGCGTCTGTCACCAACTTCTTCCCTACTGTGGTCGAGACACTCGGCTACAACAAGATCAATTCGCTCCTGCTCACGGCCCCTCCCTACATCCTCGCAGTCTTCTGTGCTTTTGCCAACGCTCTACATGCAGACAAGACTGGAGAACGATTTCTGCATGTCACGCTACCATTGCTCGTGGGTATCGCAGCATTCGTCCTCGCGGCTGCCACCACGTCCGTGGCTCCTCGATACGTCGCCATGATGCTCATGGTTCCAGGAGTATACACGTCCTATGTGATCATCCTGGCCTGGATATCAAACACCATCTCGCGTCCACCGGCCAAGCGTGCGGCCGCGATTGCACTCATCAACGCCGTGGCCAATGCTTCGCAGATTTATGCTTCGTACATGTACTCTGGAGGACCGAGATACATTATCGCATTCTCCGTCAATTGTGGAACTCTGGTCCTGTCCATCATCATGGCGGCTGCCTTGCGTATCATCTTGGTGCGTGCCAACAAGAAGCTTGACCGAGGTGAAGCCGTAGAGGCGGTTGTATCAGGAGTGGTCGACCCGAGTAATGCTCCCGCTGTGACAAAGCGCTTCCGATACCTGGTCTAGAGTGGTGGAAGCAAGTCAGCGGCAGTGGTATTGGCACAACATGTACAAATTCTTCTCGCAGCCCGCTGAACGCCAAGCGACTTAATGATCCGCATAGATTGTATGATGATGATAATGATGATGATGAAGAACACGATACTATAAAGACCAGACGCTGGACTACCGCGCGACTTCTCATCAAGACATGGAGGCTCCTCGGCCCGACAAAGCTTATTTGCACAAGATCGCCAATCCCGGCTGCCCAGCAATCCAGCAATCCAGCATCCATAGAAGGAGCCTCAGGGAGGTAGAGAGAGGACCAGGGAGGTACCCAGTCTAGTCCATCTTGTCCGATGAGGTCTAATTTCGGCTGATGCGGTGAGGGCCCGGGAGTCCAAGGACCATGCTCGATCGCGGAATCGAATATCCATTCATCAAAGGAAACTGGAACAAGGTCCAGGACTCTACTAGTAGTAGAAGTCTAAAAGGGAACGTGTTGGTGCCAATGTCCTGCCAACGTGAATGGTGGTGCTCGCAAAGTGCTGGCTGTGCTCCACTATTTAGTAGGTAAGTGAGTTATAGTTAGTAGTGGTCAAAACGTGTATCTTCTAGGAACTTCCCAGGTTACTCAGGTACCTACCTACATTACTTGACAACAACAACATCATCATCCAGTCTGCTTTTTCTTTGGTTCCAATCTCTCCTTTCAGTCAGTCAGTCATTCATTCAAGCAACTCATTCAAGCACTCCTTCTCAATCTCATCTCAACAAACACCACACACGGGACAAAAATGTTCGCCCCAACCACCCTCACCCTCCTCATCGCCGGCCTCGCCCACCTCGCCACAGCCAACTTGAACCCTCGAGCCACTGCCGAACCTTCTCCTGTCCCTCGACATGGAGCCGCTCTGGAAGAGCGAGGCTACGAGTCCTCCTCCTCCTCTTCCATGCCCTCCATGTACAACGTCACGATTCTCAGTTTGGGAAATACGACCAATAGCACGGGCGGAGAAGGACATGTTGCTGCGGGAGGGAAATTGAGTCCGTTTGGAGATATTGGAGTCGGATGTGGAGTGAATTGGGAGAATGAGGTGGGGTATGGAGGTATGTCTTTTTTCTTTTTTCTTAAAAAGCCTGTTGTGATGTGATAGGAAAAGAAAAGAAAAGGGAAGGAGGAGATGGGGAGAAAGGGGAGGCGTGTGTGTGAGAGAGAGGCTAATCATGCTAACTGGTTACTTTTCTTTCTAGGTGGTATCGATGCTGGTTCTTCGGATTTTGGACTCGGTGGAGGTTGGAAGATTACGCCGACGACTTTGGAGCTGGGTAAGTGTGCTTAACTTTTGAACCTGGGGGAGCGATTTCAGCTGATGATGAGTCTTCTTGCAGGAACGGGAATTGGAATTAGTGCCGACAACTCCAGCGCCAATGTCAACTTCAAGGGTAGTACCAATGGTACTTTTGAGCTTCGCTTTGAGTCGACTGCGCAATTTGCCTGTGGAACGCCTGCAAAGGCCGATGGCAAGTGGTCTGTGATTTGCAGCACTACAGCGTAGAGCGGGTACCTCTTTGAGAGATGGGCATGAGACTCTGGAGTTATCGGTGGGTACTGTCGTCTCCAGGGTGGTCTCGCTCCGTCGTCTTGGTCATGGCTAATAGTTGGTGCAGTGTTGGGTACGGTCGGGGTTGCAATCTACCTAGATGCATCAGCATCACTGCCATCTTTCCCCGCCCGTCAGCTTTCAGTAGACCAGAATCTAATTCGAGTTTTTTTGCTCCAGTCCGAGCATGTTGATATCTTATTGATTACTTCTTTGTCCTCCAGCATACTGCTCTTTGCCGAGGTCTTCGTCTGAGGTGAGTGCACGAGACCGCATCCGATATCCGAAGGGTTGCCGTTTGCTGGCCAGGGCGCTGTATCAACCCGAGCATCGAGAACTAGCGCCTTGCCTGAGTAAAAGAGCAATTCTATTCGTATCCAGAGAGATACGCTTTTAGATGTAGGTAGACTCTGTAGGTCAAATCCAGAATTAATACCTAGAGGGGCGAGCGTGGAGGTAATGTACCTAGGCATTTGGAACTGCGGGGCGAAACAATGTCAGGTGTATCATATAGAACTTGCTAGAGCTTCCGTTGGCTTGCACATCAATCGCTACATGTAGAGGTAGCCGTCTGAATAGCCAATACATGTTGATCAAAGGATGCATGTTTCGCTAGCCGCGAGCGGGGCAGTTGTGGTAGCATCTGGACGAAGCTGGGCTCGCTTCGTCTGTGTTCTTGGGGGACAGACATATGAGTAAGTAAATAGTGTCAATTGCGATCAGGCACTTGTGGTCGAGTCAAGGTGCAGTAGGTAGTAGAATGCGGTCGTTGCAGCAGGTCAGGTATAAATTCTTCTGTTGATAAGGAGCAGCCAATATTATAAGAGGGATGCGTAGGAGGTATGTAGGTAGAAAGAAGAAAGAAGAAAGAAGAAGGGCATAGTCTGGTGCACCGGGTGATCTACTGGAAGGGAAGGGAAGGCGGCAACACCCGAGTTGCCCCCAACAACGCACGCAAGCGCGACTAAAACTATTAACATACTATGCGCAGGACCATCCGACCATGAGAGTGATCACAACACTCGTACAGGTCCCATGACAGCAGCAGCAACACCAAACATGTCGGCCATGGACCCGCAGTCGCCATTCCGCTTTCCGCTGCGCGAGTCTCTACAGTCTCTGTCGCCGGAGCGCGTCCATAACAGCCGGTCGCGACCCGCCAGTACCATCTCCTCGAAAACTACCTCTGTCGACTCCGACCCATATGTCGAGCAATCTTCGTCACCTCGCTCGTCTCCCGTACGAAAAGCCGCCAACCTCTTCTCCGATTACGACCCGAGACGGCACAGTCCTGTGAAAGAGACCGGCTTTGTGCTACCCGCCAGCCCTTCGTTGCCAGAAATACATTCTTTCCAGCGAACACACGGCAGGACCAATAGCGATGTCCATGTCCAGGGCCTTGTTAAGAGATTCGAGCATCTGGACGTGCGCGATCGCGACGCCGAGAGTGCTGATAGGAGGAAGAGGCATGAAGCGGAACTACGGAGAGCACAGATCGGGCGTGAGGAGGCTGAGAGCGATGTCAAGAGGCTGAGGGAGGAGGTGCGCAGGCTGAAGAAGGAAGGTGACGAGGGCCGCGATCGAGAGCGGAAGGTCGCCAAGAGGCTAGATGTGGTGATGGTGAGTCGCGGTGGATGTGCATGTTGAGACCAGACTGACAGCGAAACAGGACGAGTTCGCGACCTTCAAGGAGACACAGACATCACAACTCTCGGTATACGAAAAGGAAGTGCGCAAATTACGGAAAGAGGCATTTAAGTCATCCTCTGCGGTATTGAAGTTGCAGGAAGAGCTCAAATCTACTCGGAACAGTCTCCGAATCACCCAGTCTGGATTCGATATGGAAAAGCGCAAAGTGCAGCAGCGAGAACAGCAGACATTCGACGCACAGTATCAGATGGTGGCACTACAGGAGGAGCTAGACAGACTGAAAACTCATGTCAAGACGGTTGAGCAGGAAAAGGATGCACTGAAAACAAGCTTAAAAGAAGAGGAAGTCGCGAGGATAGCTGCAGAAGGCATGATTGCACTGCCGCTTGGTAACCAGGAGGACGACGATCTGATGAGTCCCCAAGTCGTGCGAAGACGCTCACCACACAAAAGACCACAGTCACCGCTGTCAGACGACAAGGAGAATGCAGGTGTTGTGACAAAGAAGATGGTGGAGATGAAGCAAGTAATCGAACAGCTACGACTGGAAAAGACGAAACGAGAGGATGCGGAGGAGCTTGCAGAGTTCTTGCGCTTAGAGTGCAGCTTCAAGTGCTGTACTTGCAGGTCAAGAAGCACCAGCGGACACGATCTATCGCTGAAGTCCAAGCCTTTCGCAGAAGCACTCGAGGACATTCGACGCACGATGCGTTCTGTAATAACACCTCCCGCAAGCGAGAGTATCGAAGGAGCAATCTCCGACAGTGCAGTCTTGATCAAGCCGGAGCCAGAAGCGGAGCCAGAAATCGAGGCGGAGATGAAAGATGTCGAGATGGCACAGCCTGAAGAAGCCACTCTAGAGCACGATGTCGTACGCAGCATGACCATGACAGGAGACGAGGTCGATCGTGACGAGCATTGTCGGGATGCTGCGAACGATGAGGCGATCGTGGATGATGAAGAGCCCAATGCCCCCTACCCTACCCCTGCAGAGCCACCACTTCGTTCTTCCAGAGCCATCACCCCAGTGGCCTCTACAATCAAAGTACCTCTCGCTCCCTCCAGCCCACAGACACCCGGGCTAATCGCGACACCAGCACGCCCCCATGGCTCCGTCCGCACAATAACAACGACAACCACCATTCCAATGCAGTTCACTCCTGCCAAGCCGACATTCCACGTGGGAGACGCTGAGAACATTCCACCAACCGTCATGTCCCCTCAGCGCGATCGATCCGGCTCCGCTCCCACCTTTGACAGAGCGGCTGCACTCGCGGCGATAGCGTACAGGAGAGGCAGAGCCAAGAGTATCGCCGATGGGCAAATGACGCCCCGGAAGCAAATGCTCGAGGGTCAAGTTAGCATTAAAGATAGAAGGGACATTTCGGCGCCGGCCTTGGGGCAGCAGAAGAGCGCCAGTATCAAGCGTACTGCGTCCAAAGGCCACAGTGGAAAGGTTGGAAGCGCGAGCAGAACGAGGTGAGAGCATTCTGGATGGCGCATCGGCATTGTATATACCCACGGATTTTTTGCAATCCTGGTTTGCTCTAATTCTTGGACGACTTGGGGATGATGGAGCGATACCAGGTACCTCCTTACCTTTTTTTACTGTTGTGGGATCAAGCGTTGGCGCTCCGGCGAGTTTCTGCACCTTCTTCATTTAGGGGTTTACAGGGCTTCATAATTGCACTTATTCACTACGTATCTTATCTTACTTCTACGGGACATGTGGCTGGTGTGCTCCTTTTTCAACTGCCATCATCATTCGCAGTAAGGTATTCTACATCATTATTCTTACAATGACGGCGTGCACGGGGGCTGCAGTGTGCTTGAAGCGGCTCAAATGCCGAGAATCCCCGACCATAGGTACACTAGGTAATTATGGTCAGCTATACCTAAGCACTAGGTAGTAAGCAGGTTATCGCGCCCGGTCTCTCTGGTACAAAGTGCCTACTTTCTGTAGATCAGGTATTCATGAGACTTCCATAGCATCACCATTGCTGACTCCATTCGCACTGGCGCCGAGAGTGACTCCTCCATCTTCACCAATCAATCTCGTTTCAAATTCCGTCACAAACTTGACACTTCGGGTAGGATCGTAGAAGAGCTGATAGGAGCGCGAGACATCGTTCACTTCGACCTCCTTGGCTTTGCGTTTCTGCGCTAGCAGATTCGATGTCGTGATGAGATTGCTTGCGTATCGGAGACCAGTTTCGGAGCCAATTTTGGTGAGTAAGGCCATGGCGTCGGCGGAAATGTCAATGTCTTCTTCTAATGCTCGCAGTTGCAGGATGTCTCGAATTTCGTGATCTTGGTATGGTTGTGTTGAGATGATGACTACGCGATCCAGGAAGTCGAGTGGGAGGCCGTGGGGACTTCGGTAGTTTGTGCCTCGGATGGTCGTCGTGCCACGATTCGAAGCCATGATAATGATCGGTGCCAATTCGTCCTCGAGAGCACGGTTGATGAAGCTGAAACACTCAATGTCAAGCATGTGCACCTCGTCGATGAACAGTACACCGGGCACAATCTCAGCTTTGCCCTCTTCCTTCCATTCTGCCACCTTTGTGTTGATTTGCTCGCGGACTTCGGATCTGATCTCGCCAGTGTCGCCAGAGAAGAGTGCCAGAAAGCCTTGCGTCCGGCTGTTGATCACGTCTATCTCGTGAAGTGATACAGTGTGCACGGTTTCTCGACGCACTTGCAGCTCACCATCAGGACATTGGATGAATTTGGCATCGGACCCTACTGCGTCGTAGTCGCGACTTCTGGTGTAGCTCCTTCCCAGCTTGGTAATTCGGCCGCTAGCTTTGTCAATGCTAATGATGTCGCCTGCCATGACCTTCTCCTTGGTCATGCTATCGATCATGCGAGTTCCCATATCGTACAGTGTCTCCATGTCCGTGGTCTTGAGCGTCAGCTTGCCGCTCTTGTTGTTTCCTGTGACAGATCTGTCAATCTGGATCTCCACTACCTCTCCCTCAATGACCTCGCTCTCTTCTCGTATCCGTACCGCAATGGACTTGCGGAATGCTTGCTCTAGCGCTTCCGTTTTGCTCATCTCCATGCTGAAGATTTCTGATGATGCCAGCGCCGTAAAAGGTACATCCTCGCCCAACTCTTTACTCAGCCCTATTGCAATCGCAGTCTTTCCCGTGCTCGGAGGTCCAGAGATGAGTACGGCGCGACCAGCGATTTTGCCTTCCTTGACCATTTGGAGAATTACACCAGCAGCCTTTCGCGCCTGCTGCTGGCCCACCAGACCACCCGCTGACGGCTTCGGTGTGAGAGTGTCGGGCGTGAGACCCAGACCTCGGACATGTGAGTGCGCCGCGATGAGATTCAGTCCCTGCCGCTCCTTCGAGTCGGAGACTGTGGTGATGGGTGCAGCCATTGCGTTTGGAGTGTTGCGCTCCGGGCGCTGTTGGCGTGTTGTCCGAGGAGATTCCTTGTTTGCGCAGACCGTTGGTATGCCGTCGAGTAGATGATATGGTGGTATGGGATCGAAGCGGTCACGCGTTGGGATACGGCAGGGGTGGTATGCGACCGGATGGTGTGGACTGTGGAGATGAATTGTTGGATGAATTGTTGGAAGAAAGCTATACAGGACAGGAACAGGGTCGCGAAGAGGACGCGCTTGTTCGCTTAGTGCTTGGCGCTCTGCTCGACGCTTACCAGACCAGTTGACCAGGTACCTGAGACACCTTCACCTGTATCCCCGAGGCGCACACTTCACGACAACTGGAACCTGTCACCTACTCTCACAGTCTCACTGCATCACAACTACCTTACATGTAGTCTAAGATACAGTGACAGCGACCATGGTTCAAGGACCATCGTTTGCGGCCATCGGTACGCTCGGCGACCTGGCGACTCCAGTCCATGAAAGGCTACGGGTCGCTAAGCATCTCAAGAATCTCCTCATTGGGCATAACGAGCGTAAGGCGCTCGCAGTACGCAACGGCGTGGTTCAGCCGCTCGCCGACATCATCGCCTCGGGATCGAAGGGAAAGCGAAGACTGGAGCTGAATGGCGTGTCTCTGCATGCCCATGAAGACCACGCCACGGCAGAGGAGGATGTGAAACTGCAGGCCATCCTTATTATTGAAAGTCTGGCTTCCGGAGGTCAATCCCAGCCTCTCTGTGCTGCCAATGTCCCGAAGTTACTGGTTGAGATATTGTCAGGAGAGCCGGGAGGACGTATAGTGACTGCAACCCTCCAGGCGCTGAAGGCACTGGCCACCTTTTGGTCGGCTACAGACGCGTTTTGCACGCCCGACTATGATTTCTGGCAGTCGTTATTCAATGTGGAAAGCCTCGAGGTGTTCCAAGCACTTCTGCGCTCGGCGTCCAATACGCATACATCGCAGCAGCAGCTGAAGTTGGTGGCGGAGATTTTAGCTGAATTACCCGAGTACAATTGCGGTGGTCCAAAGTCTCTAATTACAAACTGCGGGCTGCTTGACACACTTGCATCCCTGCTGGTAGCCCATGCTGTTGAGCATAAGATCGTATGGTATCGTGGTAACAGCTCGCATCTCCCGCCTGCTCCATCAGAGGCATGGCTCCCGAGCATTCTGGCAGCGATTGCGTCTATAATCACTGGCTCCAACTATCGAACTCATCGCTTTGTCCTCTCACCTGCCGTCCGCGACCTCTTCCTCAACTCTGGCCCAGACAGCACTGATCAGCGGACTATGCTAAGCGCCAGGAATGGATTTGCCAGTCCTTACGAAAGTAAACTGCCGCCTCTACACATTCCAGCTTTCAAGACGGTTTCACACAGCCCAGCTTCGAGTGCATTCCCGGCTTTGAAAACGTTGCAAGGCTCAAAACACGGCAGTGGCAACGGCAATGCAGAGATATCAAATTTGGTAAGCGACATTGACCACTCCAATGCGGTCTGTGGCTGGCTCTTGGTGCTTACGAGGTCTCTACGCGGCTACGACCGTCTCTCTGCCCTGCGACTCCTCGCGCTTGTTTCCAATGCCATTGATGCCGATCCTGCAGGAAGCTCCACGAAGACCGAGTTCGGGCAAAAGACCAAAGAGCGGCATAGGCAGCTCGCTCTGCTGGCCGTGCCTTTGGCGGTGCAGCTCGTGCAGATAGCCAATGATGGCAAAGTCACGGACAAGGCGCTCGACCATCAGACCCTCAAAGTCATTAAGGAGCAGGCCTGCAGTGTCCTCGCACTACTGATTGGAGGTGTAAGAGAGCTGCAGATTGCGGCTGTCGAGGCCGGAGCTGTCAAGCATGTCTGCCCAATTCTCAAGAAGAGCTTTGACAATGTCACACCAGCGAGGCCCATGTGGTCAGTAAGCTCCAGTATGCAGCCAAACGCGAATGCTTCGATCTCGTGCCAGCCCGGAAAGATTACTTTTCCGCCCGAGGTGGGCCATGCGATGCGGTGTCGAGAGAGTGCGCTGAGAGGACTTGAAGCCATTGCTGCAAGAGAAGACATCCATCGCAAAGCTATCATTGACTCAGGCGTTGTCACGTGCATTATCGATTCTCTCAAGCCGCTACCAGAACATACACAATTTGACGCACACGGCAGGATCAAGCTTACGCCCAAAGATGGAAACACGACACGGGTGATACTTGCGGCATGTCGCGCGGCTCAATCCATGTCCAGAAGCGTGAGCGTTCTGCGAACCAGTCTGATTGATGGTGGTATTGCCAAGCCTCTCATTACACTTCTCAACCACGAATCTCTCGAAGTGCAGATTGCTGCTACCGATGTCTGTTGCAACTTGCTGCCCGACTTTAGCCCTATGCGGGAGGATCTGTCTGAAGGAAATGCGATACGCACGTTTGCGGAGCATGCCCGAAGCAGTTCTCCAGCATTACGGCTTTCGAGTCTGTGGGCACTGAAACACCTAGTATACAATTGCCCGAAAGAGACAAAGCTAGCAGCTTTAGAGGAGCTGGGGACCGGGTGGCTAGTTGGCATAATTCAGGGCGAGCAGCGAGAAAGTGTGGGTGGTGGAGTCAGCGTTGGGCTTAGCACTCCTAACGCCGCTGGAGAGCAAGTCGATTTACTGAATCCCTCTTCTATGGATCTTGACGAGCCCAGCAACGATGCAGAAGAGGTGATGGACGAGGATGATGAAGACGGAGAGGTCCTGTTTGATGAGGCATCGAGCACACACTACCAGTCGTCGCAACTACGCTCTACTCTTAATCCTCCGCCTCCTGCATTTAACAGCAAGCGTTATCTATCCAGCATACGAGAAATGGAGCAAGGCGGAGAGTATACATCACGACGGGATGAAGCAGCGATACAGCAGCAAGCCCTGGACTTCCTTCGTAACTTCATCAACGGCGAGGACTGTACTGCGCTTTCCGACCACCTGATGAACGAGATTGGTAGTGCGAAAGTATATGAGCTTTTGACCTCAAAACTTTCGCCCGTGACTCGCTCTGGCGGGCGACAAGTCTACAACACTACGGATCTCGTGCTCAGCACAATCCACGTCCTCATACACTTGGCAAACGCCTCTGCGAAACATCGACAACTACTTGTGGCGCAGAGACCGCTCCTACAAGCCATGTTGCCCCATTTCAACCATGTTGATCATCGGATCAGGGTCATGAGCGTCTGGGCGGTGAATTCGCTGACCTTTATCGAAGATGGCGATGACCGTCGCGATGCACGTCAGAGATCCCAGGAGCTCAAATCTGTTGGAATTGAGCAGGCGGTGCGAAACTTACAGAATGATTCCAATCTTGATGTACGAGAGCGGGTCAAGACAGCTATCAGGCAGTTCGAAGCACTTTGAAGGAACAACATCAAGACAAACGGCTAGGTTAGGTAGAGGGCAGTTTTTTTTGAAAGTCTTTGAATACCTAGCGCTATCCCTGGAACACAAACAACACTATAGACGAGCGTCTTCCGCCTTGGACTCTTGACAGTGAGAGTCTTGGAAGTAGCTAGAAAACACTTTTGAGCAGTATTTTTGTACGGGGAGTATGTACAACAATACAACATCTAGACCAATATCCGTCCATCCTCCCATGCACTAGCCTCAGAATGTTCAGTGTCGATGGCGATACAAGAGATTGCAGCTTCAGCAAACAACGCATAGAGATGTCCATCAGGCGGATGAACCTCTCCAGGTACCGGCGTTCGTTGATATTCTCTCGTCAATAGTAATTGTGTGCTGCGAGGAATATGCCTCGGATAATTGTTGACCGGTGGGTGCACTGTTAGCTCTCCTGCGAGGATTGTGCAAACGATGGGTTGTGCAAACGGTAGTAAAAGATATGTCAGGTAAAGGTATGCAGTGTTTACTACTGGTCTTGCCGGACTACTTACCTGACCTTTACGTTACCTCCTAGGAGATCAGACCATAGAGACCATGCAGCATGTGCGAGACTTGGATCACGATGGGGGGATGAGTAAGTAAGTACCTAACCTGGGTAACCTAAGCCGCGGTAATCGGCTGCGGGCGGTTGCTACTAATGGATGTAGATAGTTTAGGTAAAGAGTCTTTCACCTCGTTCTCATGTCAGTTCTTTTTTCCCTCTTGCTTCACCCTTGCAAGGATATGTGAATGATGTCTATATCATTGAATGGTGTCTACGGCGTGGAGACTGCTGATAAGACTGTGTGTCTACGTGGTGCTGTAGTAACCCCTCTAGAGGATAGCAGGATGTCCTGAAGTCGGTACCGTATCATGTTTCGTTCTCGGTTACGCCAAAAACAGGGTCATGAAATCCTTGCTCTGTTCTCACTCGTGTCTGTGGCCATATGCGCTTCTTCCTGGGAGGTACGCGTTGCAGTCGTCGCGGATCTTTCATATGGGCTCGCGTTGGGGATATATGGCTGGCCATAGGAGGTAGGCTACGCTACCTCGCATAAGTGGCCGTCCGGACAGTCTTTGGTACGGTGTTATGGGTCTGAGTCATGGTGTGCAGTAAGGGAAGAGCTCTGAGTGGAACATGTTTCCGTCATCTCTACCTCGTAGGAGGTTACTGCCGGATTTGCATTCCAAATGGGTGAAAACCTAAGACATCCGTAACCTCATCACCTTGCTTGCACAGCTTGGCTCTTCAGAGGTGCCATGTCTCGGGCACGGTGCTACCATCTAGCCGGACTGTGAGCCAAGGTTGAGAAGAAGAAGAGGGAAGGGCGCAAATACGGCCGAGACGGCCTTCTGGAGCGAGCTAGTTCTCGGCACAATGCTCTCTATCCACAACCAATCGCCCCGACCTATTCTTGCCACGGAATAGAGCGTGAAGATTGTCTGTTACATGGACGGTGGCTGATCACGTTCTAAACTACATTCGAGAGACGTTTTAGCGATGTCTACTAAAGTGGGGCTATACAGCGGATAGGCCGGAGGATCAGGAGTTTTGGACGGAGCGCCAATGTGGCCAACTGCTACGAATGTACCTTACCTCTTCTTTCTATACAGTACCTTCTATTGTTTCAACCTTATATTACCTTACCGTCGCCGTATGCGGCACCTCACTATCTCACCGTCGCCGCCGTCGCCGTATGCGGCATATAGCTTTATTACTGCTACCGCTTTGTCGGTATAAGTTATATAATAGGTCGCCGCTACTGCCGTTACTATTACTATATATATACTACTACTACTACTACTACTACTACTACTACTACTACTACTACTACTACTACTACCGCAACTATACCCTACCGAGCTAAGTAAGAGTACGCTCGCTATAGTACTCGTTAGCATACGCTAACTAAGCCTATATAGTATTATTACGAACGTAACGCTCGCGCTCGAGATACTATAAGAAGGCAACGATACTATAACTACGTTCGAAGCGCTACAAGCCTTCGAAGCGTACTATAACGAGAACGACGACTTAGATCCGGCAGATTAGATAGATAGTTAGATAGATAGTTAGATAGAGCCTCTAACGCCGGATCTAATAGTAGATCCGACGCTAGATAAGAGTAATAAGATAGATAATATAATAGATAATAATACCGAGTATAACCTTCGGCCGGTAGCGCTGTCCTTAGTAGCGCTGTCCTCGGTAGCGCTGTCCTCGGCGGCGCTATCCTTAGTAGCGCTGTCCTCGGCGGCGCTGTCCTTAGTAGTACTGTCCTCGGCGCTTATTATAACTTACTACTAATACTCTCTCTCTCTCTATAGTAGTACCCTGCCTATTAATCCCTACCCTCGCCGCCCTACGACTACTAACGCCGCCGATTTCTAGTTTTGCGCTACCGAGAAGTAGTAGGGCTAGCTTAACGAGGCGAATAGCGAGGATACTAAGAAGAAGAAGGTTACGAAGAATAACCTATAGAAATTCGACTAGGCCGGCCGAATTATAGAGACTTATAAGGGGATTAACGCGCTAGATCTATACTATTACTATACTCGTCCGGGCCTATCCGTTCCGTATAAGGTAGACCGGATAAATAGTAAGATATATGCTTATTATAAGCGATACGCAAAGGTAGGGTATAATGCCGGTTAGCCTATAGAAGATATAGATAGTAGTAAGCTAGTACGTCTTACTCGGCGAGTCGCCGCTATCGAGGTACAAGTAGATAGCTTAGATAGGTACGCGCGTAGTTAGATTAGCTTCTTTAAGGGTAGATTTAATTAGGTTAGCGGTAAGATATATGCCCTCGCTACTCGGCTATAGCCCGAGAGGGGTATTGCGCTACCGACTATATTAGATTAGGCGGCTAATAATAGTAATAGTACTGTTAGTAATAAGATAGCCTAATATATAAATAAGTAGTAATTCAACTGTCTAATATTTTCTACCTTTAGCGCCTATCTATCCGCGGGACCGCGAGTATAACTATAAGCGTTAATAAGTCTTAACCCTAAGCCCTCGCCGCCGCCGCCGCCGCCGCGGCTCTTCTTGTTACTATACTAATCTTCTCTCCGTCGCTGTCTACTGCCGACGCCGTATTGTTGTCGCTATTATTAGTATTATTAGAGAGGTTATATACCTCCGGCGGCTTCCTTATATCTACCGTTCGATATGTCTACCCTAGGCCCTTCTCCTTCTTAATAACTAGCTCGTCTTGTTCGCGCTTAATACTCTCGATTAGTACGGATAGCTCGATTATCGTTAACTCGCGTATCGCTAGTATTAGCGACTTCGTAGGTAACTCGCGCTTAAGTATAGTACTACCTCTATCCTTACGTTTCTTCGACTGCTTTAGCTACTGTCTTAGCTGAATTACGATCGTAATCTCGTATAACCGAGCGGCTGTCTTAGGCCTAGGTATTATAAAGACTACTATAGAATCCTATACATTCGCCGTTCGGTAAGGTAGTCGCTTTCTACGATACCTTAAAGGGTTTCTCGTTCTCGTCGAACCTAGTAGCTAGTATTACTTGCTTAAAGTCGGGTATTAGTTAGAGCGGCTAGGCCGGTAGATCGTCTAGATCGATATAGTCGAGGAGGAATTCAAGAAGAGTTTTAGTAGCGTTATTAGCGAGCCGGTTAGAGTTAGTAAAGTTATTAGGTACAGTTAGGACGAGCTACGGCGATTCTAGCTCCTATTTTACCGTCTTTGTCTTCCGTTCTACTCTCTATATCTAGCGTTAGGTATAAACCCTATAGGTATATACAAAGTTAGCGGATAGTCGTATTAACGTCGCTGTCGACGACGTTACTAGCGCGGACTGTTAGCAGTAGGTAACTAGCTTAGCGCCGGCGTAGAGCGTAACTACGGTAGCGGATTTCTGTTAGTAGTATACGTTTGCGCTATTACGCTCGTCGTTCGCGTACTATAGAATTATATTAAACGTCTGAAACCCCTAGTATTATTAAGTAACTCACTAAATCTCGTAGAGGGAGGTAACTGCTTACTTTTACTACCGGGGTAGGCATTAATACTATCGGTACGCGCTATAGCGATAGAGCTAGTACTATCGGCCGCTAGGGCTTAAGTACGGTTAATAGCTCTCTTGTAAATCGCTCTCTTAGGCCGTCCGGATTCAGTTGTAGGCATTAGCTACAATAGGTAAACTTGCCGAATGTCGTCTTATAATAGATCTACGTCTTAACAGGGCAGTGTTCGGCCTATAACTCTAGTAGTTATAGCGGTTAGGTTAGTATATTAGCGATTATAAAGAATGTAGTAAGAGAGGAGGTATAAGTAATAGGGTATATATTGCCTTACCGCCGCTTATAGTTAGAATCGCCGAAGAAAAGCCTATAGAATTTTCATACCCCTAAATATTACCCCTAAATACTAATCTATTAGTATTACTATTATATAAACTCGAACTCGACTACTCTAGCGTTACTATTTACGATTAGTTAGCTAGCTATATCTCTAAATGCCTCTACTACCCGACGGATAGGTATCTAGTCTCGTATAGCTAACGGCTTTTTAAGCTTACTAAGAATAGGTTAGTGCCTAGAAGCAACGTAGGCACCTATTAACCCTCGCAATATAATGTATGCCGACTCGTATATACGCTCGCTAGTTAAGTTATCGAATAAGGCTCTATTAATAGGTAGAGAGAGGCTAGAGGATATAAGCAGATTAACCTTATACTACTTATATGTCTCGTTAGGAAGAAAAGCCTCTAAATCTATCTATAATTAGTAAGCAGTATAGCGAGCGGAGGTAATTTACTTACTAAACCCTTCTAGGCTCTATTCGAGCGTCTCGAGAACGGCTTCCGGTATACGTACCCCCTATAGCGCTACGCTATATAGCTCTAGATAGTAATATAATACATACGGAATACCGGGAACCGAGTACGGACGGTTCGCTTGCTTATATATCCGGTAACAATTCTATATAGATACGAACTCCTATACCGTCTTACGTATAATTGCTACGTAGATAGCTAGGAAGGCTATACGATCGGCTAGCGAGTTAGCTTAGTATAACCCTCTCTCGTTAAGAGTCAAGACTATAGAAGTACCCTCTCTATCTATTAAGTACCTTAGCCTACTAATTCTACTATACCTCGATACGCTGATTTATCTTACTCGTACTATATCGATAGTACTTACTAAAAGTAAGCTCTAGCAATATCGGGCTATCGGCAGACCGCGGCTCTATAGTAACTTATTCTCTATATCGTACGCAGTACGACGAACTATATAATACGCGTCCGCGGCTAAGAGAGTCTCGTCTCTACGGTCCGAACGTAGAATCAATAGAGCTACGCCCCTATAGCGTAGTATAGCGATATATTAAGCGAGTACTAAAACTGCTAACCTGCCTATAATTCCTATATAGAGCTACTATATATAGCGAGAGTAGACGTCGATTGCGCCGTAGATCTAAATACCCTAGTGTTTAAACTTGTAGTAAGCGTCTATCGATAGCGTATATATTGGTCTAGGGGTAATAATAGTACTATATTGCTCTATAGCTTTGTCGCGCCGCCGCTGAACACCGTTAGGATTAAGTAGTTTGTATATACGGTAGATACGGTCCCTATAATAAGTTAGGCTACGATTCGGCTATAAGTAAGTAAGCGGTATACCTCCTAATTAGGTTCGTCTTCGAGCGTAGGTATACGTAGAGGTTCCTCTTGCTATATACTTCTACCGACGATTTATTTAGCTCTTCTACGAGTATAGCCGCAATCTCTACCTCTGCCGCTACGTATTAGTCTACTAGTACCTGTTTTATAAACCCTAGCTCTTTGCGTATACGCCGGTAGGTATGTATACTAATATTCTAACCGTTAATATAGAGAATCTAGCTAGCCTACGCGTCGGTAAGATATAGGTAATAGTAAGTATAAGCGATTCGGAGGTATAGGGCCTTAGTACTACTTAACTCGAGTTAGGTTCGTACTAGCGCATTCGTTCTTATAAGCCCCTATAAGCTTAATCTATAGTATAATATATAGAGCTCGATACGGACGCCGAAGGTAGTAAAGAGATCCTTACGAATAGACTAGTATATATATCTATTCGTATATAGCTCGGTAATAAACTACCGGAATTCCTTATAATCTAGTACTTAACTACTACGAGCTCTAATAATTCTACTACGACGACGAGGTATAATCGTAAGCGATAGTAAGGTAGACTACGAGCGATAGCGATAGCGACGGTAAGGTAGGCGACAGGGTATATATACAGTAATAGTAGCGGCGGCCGCGGTAGTAACGGTAACGGTAACGGTAACGGTAACGGTAAGGTGCCGTATACAGCGACGGCCGACGGCCTAGTAGTAGCGGTAGTAACGGCGACGGCAACGGTAAGATAGTAAGGTGCCGTATACGGCGACGGTGAGGTGATATAAGGTTGAAATAATAGAAGGTGCTGTATAGAAAGAAGAGGTAAGGTACATTCGTGGCAGTTGGCCACTTTGGCGCTCTTTAGTTTTGATTGGCTGAGCTGCGGTTTGCAAATCTGTGGGTCTGGGCGTCACCAAGGAACAATACATACACCTACCTCCACCTCCTACCTCCTAGATATGCTCAGCTTTGCTCAACCATCACCACCAGAATGCGTCAGCCAATGCTAGACTGGACTTTTACGACCTCGCGTAGGAGGTAGTGTGGACAGCGTTGTAAGAAAGACTGTGAGCCTATCGTGGGGAGGCGGCAGAGCAAACACGAGGTCTGATCAACATTCATGAAACAGCGAGTTGACCTGTTTTCATGTGATGGACATGCGAGTTGTATGGACCACCAGTTTGCGGGCCGATGATGAGTACACTTCACTTCACTATCTATGGAGACTCAGGGTCGGGGTCGGGGACGGGGACGGAGTCGGTTGTCGGGGTCAGGGTTCTGCCACTTGCGTAGGCGATCGACTCGTGTGACGCAGTCTCGACCAGCCATCTCAGGCCCATCAGTGATCAATTCCTTCTTCTCCGCATCACATTGACCACAATACGACGTCAACCGTGGCCTGCCATGTAGTAGGTGGTAGGTGGTGGTAGGGACAGGAGACGCCATAATTACATAATTTTGGCAGCCATTCAGGCCAACCACTTGGAATCTGGTAGGTGATACGACCACCACGACTACGGCATGTCTTGCAAGTGACAATTATCCATCCCATATGCTCCCAACGAGCCCGGGCTATACCTCCTATACCGTCAACAAGACGAGAGAACATCAGACTGATCATGTGAAAGTGATGCAAATGCACTTCCTGGCACTCTCGACTCTGGTACAGCCGTACAAGCATGGCACGGCACTGGGCGCCCAATGCGGATTGTTCACCTCACCAGACCCTGTGCCGCGTGTGAAGCGAAGAGCACGACTCAGGACCAAGCATGGCCGATGGGCCTAGGACGAGGGTGGCCCCGGAGGACGAAGTGTATCATGACGACCAAGCACCACAAGAGCCGGATGTTGTTCCCTCCAGCACAAGATGTTCGCAAATCAACGCACAGTACTGGACTGGTACCACAGTGGAGGGAACGCAGCCAGATGCAGGTACTGACTCAGAGGCTCACCATCAATGCACGGACATCTGTCACTTATCCGCTTTGAGCATCGTTCATGAATCATAGAACCGCTCAGCATGCTCGAATGAACGGGTATGATGCAGACCTACATATTCCTACAGCACGACCGAGTCAGCAATGCTGCCCTGGAGGGCTCTTGGGGGCCTGCTGGGCTTGCACTCTTGGGCATCGAGTGGCTTTAGCAAGTATCGATTCAAGCTGCAGACTCCACGTTGGAAAATTACGAATACTACCGCCGTACGATGACGACGTCTTCCAAAGCACCATGACCGAGTCTCGTGGACCGCCCAATAGCTGAGTATAACAAAGCTATCTCGCATTGTCCCGTTAGTTCTTCCTTACTTTACAGAAAAAACACATTCTTCATTCTTCATTATTCATCAACATACACACACACACACACCGCTCTTCAATGCATAATAGTCGTGCATGAAGACTGTCACATTCAGGAATCAAGCAGTTCCGCTGAGCATGGGATTTTTCGGCAAAAACGCCAACACTTCAGCTATTGGTCGATTGAACAACAACCACGGATTGAGTGTCATTGAGGAGAAGCAGGAGAACACCAAGTCAAGAAACTCCATGATGAGGCCTGCAAGTCGAGGTACCAGTCGGTCTCGCCCCCCAGGTAACACTGGCTTGAACTCCAATGGAATCAGCTTTAACAATGATTCGTCAGATGACGGGATCGACACCCGCCGTGACACCCAAGTGAAGGTCGTCTCTATCAACAACGGGACTGGCAACGGTCGTGCGTCCTCGTCATCTGATGAGTCACCCAACTCTGGCTGGTCGAACAAGGGCGGGGACAGTTCAGAGAGCGAATACAGCACCACGAGCACAGGCTCTTCTCTGAGAACCGAGGCGAAAGGCGGAAACAACAACAACAACAACTCGAGCTTCAGCTCAACGCCGGTGGGGAACATGTCGAGCAACGGGTCGTCGAACAATAGCTCGTCAAACAACAATTCATCGAACAATAACTCGTCGAACAACAACTCGTCGAACAACAGCTCCTCGAACAACAACTCGTCATCGAATAACGGCAACTCAAGCAACAACACATCGTACGGAGGAAATGATAGGAACGCTTCCAGTACAGGCTCCTCGTCACTGGGCTCGTCGAACAACAACAGCTCTGGAATGGGCGGTCAGAGCAACAATTCATCGCTCGGCATGTCAAACAACACTTCTTCGACTGGTGGCTCGGGCTCAACAGGTTCATCGTACGGGAGCAGCGGCACGTCGTCGGGTAACAACATGTCCGCCTCGTCGAACAACAACAACAACAGTTCTTCTTTGGGAGGCTCGAACAATACCAGCTCCACTCAGGGTTCTTCTAACAGCGGCTCATCCCTGAGCAGCAACAACAACAACTCGTCCATGGGCAGCAGCAACAACTCGTCCATGGGCAGTGGCAACAACAGCTCGTCCATGGGCAGTGGCAACAGCTCGTCGATGGGTAGCAGCAACGCCAGCTCGTCGATGGGCAGTGGCAACAACAACTCGTCGATGGGTAGCAGCAACAACAACTCGTCGATGGGTAGCAGCAACAACAACAACTCGTCGATGGGTAGCAGCAACACCAGCTCGTCCATGGGCAGTGGCAACAACTCGTCCATGGGAAACAGCAACAACTCATCCACGACGAGTTCAAACAGAGCAAACAACAACAACTATGCGCAAGACAACTCTTACACCGATTCATCCTCTGGCTACAACTCTGGTGGCGAGGCTCAACGCTCCAAATCCTACACACGTGACTTTGGCACTGGAACTGATGACCTGAAGAAGCGATCCGGCACTCCAAAGGGTTCTCAGCGCACAGGAACGAATGGCAGATCCAACTTGTCCCATTCAACCGCTGCCAACAACAACAACAACAACAACTCGTCATATGGAAACAACAACAACAACAACAGCCACTCTCGCAACGGCAGCAACGCCAGTGGATACGGTGGCAACAACCAACAACACAACCAGAGTGGCTGGAACGGTGATGCGAATCAGTACACTGGCCGAGACAATGCTCGCGACTCTGGTCACGACTGGAATCGTGATGAGCAGAAGGCGTACGACGAGGGTGCGCGCATTGCTGCCAACGAAATGAAGCATATGGATATCAACGATGATCGCGATTTTAATAACAACAACAACAACCACAGCCGTGGGGGTCGCAACGATGGATACGGTCGTAGCAACAACAACAACAACCAAGGCTATGGCGGTGGTGGCGGTGGTGGCAGAGGCTACAACACTAACAATTACGGAGGAGGCTACAGCAACAACAACTCCTCCCACGGCCACAACGACCGCGGATACGGCTACAACAACAACGACCGCGGCTACAGCAACGATCGCGGAAACGGCCGCTGGAACAATAACAACAACCACAACAACAACAACCACTACCGCAACGACTCCCGTTCACGAGGCCGCCGTGACAGCCCTCCTCAACAGCAATCTCGCTTCAACACCGACCGCAAAATGGACGTCGCTTATGAAGCCGGCTACGAGGATGCCATGAGGAAAGTGAAAGCCGACATGATGCGTCAATTCGGAAGAGATTACTAGATGATGCATGATGTAAAAGCAACCGCATCTTTCCCTTACTACTACCAGCAAACAAGCATTATGTCTGTCTGTACCACAAAAGTGTTGAGCACTTTTTGCTGTTATGACGGAACAACTACGAGTCTTACGCCATGAAAGAGAGAAATCGAACAAGCACCAAGAATACGAGAGAGCGATCTTACCAAGATGGAGGAGGAGGAGGAAGAAGAAGCTACTGCTAATCTAGGACCTCGGAATCTGACGAGAACCTGGGTTGTTGTCGTGGTTGTTGTCGTTGGTATTTGGTTTTTCTTGCCTTGTGTACTAGTATATACCCAAACCTTTTTTTTTACAAAGCAACCCTTTTTGGGGAGAGAGATGTCTTATGTACAATTAGTTTCCTTTGTTTTTGTCATTTAAAGATGGATGGGATGGGGTGGGAAGGTTATGGGATATGAGTGAAGAAGAAAGAAGAATTATTACTATCTATCTTGCCACATGTCTCATTGTCATCATTATATTATGTATTGGAAAAAAAAAGTATTTGATATCTTATTTGTTGTTACTTTACCTACCTCGTTCTCGTTACAATTTGTGATTGATTATTTTCTTTGGTGGTTTCTTTAGGTAGTAGTAGGAGGTAGTAGGAGTTCTTACTTACTCACCTACCCGACCTAACAAGTAGCTCCATTTCTTTCTTTCTTGAAAAAGGTTGATGATACGGCATTTCACGCTTTCATTACCCAGATACACACATACATATATCATCATCATCATCATCATCATCATAAATGCATTTCCTTTTCTATCTATCATACTAACTAACTACACGACCTAGCCTGTCACCTGTCACCCTTTCGCTAGAGCAAACTGGGGCAATTCAATTCAATTCAGGGTCGGTCATTGTTGTTGTCGTTGTTGTGCGTCCTCCTCTAGAAGGATATGTCGTGGTGATGCCGTATTGAGACATTGCTGCTGCTCTGTGTACTCGGCAGTAGAAATGATTGAAGCGGGATTTGGAATTGTTGGAATTGTGAGTGGTTCTTCTTCTTCTTCTTCTTCTTCGACCGGACTTTCCGGTGATTCGTTTGGCGTATCTTCATCGACCTGACTTTCTGGGGATGTCGATGCTACGCTTTCAATAGCGATCGCTTCTTTGGGAGTTTCTTCCTCTACTACACTTTCTGACGATGTCGACACTGCTGGGCTCTTAGTAGTGATCGCTTCTTTGGGAGTTTCTTCCTCTCCCAGACTGTCCGGTGATGTCGACGCTACGCTCTCAGTGGCGATCGCTTCTTTGCGAATATCTTCCTCTTCCAGACTGTCCGCTGATGTCGATGCTACGCTTTCAATAGTGATCGCTTCTTTTGCCGTTTCTTCCACTTCAAGACCGTCCGCTGATGTCGATGCTACGCTTTCAATAGCGATCGCTTCTTTGGGAATTCCTTCCTCTAATACACTTTCTGGCGATATCGACGCTGCTGGGCTTTCAGTAGCGATCGCTTCTTTGCGAATATCTTTCTCTACTACACTTTCTGACGATGTCGACACTTCTGGGCCTTCAGTGGCAATCGCTTCTTTTGGGGTATCTTCCTCTCCCGCATTTTTTGGTAATGTTGACGCTACGCTTTCAGTACTGCTCGCTTCGCTTGGAGTTTCTTCCTCTGCTATACGTGCCGCTGATGTCGACGCTGCGCTTTCAGTGGCGCTCGCTTCATTCGAAGCTTCTTCTACTACACTCTCTGACGACGCAAACACTGCATCTTCGGTAATACTTGGCAACATGGCACTGAAGCTTGAGGTGGTTGAAGTTTCGACGGCGGCAGTTGTGCGTTCGAAGATTGACTCAACCTGCTCTATGGCCGAGCTTGCTACGAAAGCAGGGAGTGCAGGCTGCGCCGGACTCGAAAAGCTAGGTTTGGAGGTATGTTGGAGCGTGGGAAGGGGTGCGTCGATGTGCTCATATATAGGAGGTGGTAGAGGAAGACTCGTCGTGACCGGTCCGAGAGAAGCTCGTAGACCGAAGAATAGAGTCAGCAACGTGAGACCGAAAATAAGGACGTTTCGCTTGTCCTGGGCCAGAAGAAAGATGTAGTTCCGGAGAAGTAGCGAGAGTGGTATGTCCTTGCGCGGATACACTGGAGGCAAGTCGTCGGCTTTTCTCGAAACTGGATGCAGGTCCTCTTCGACGGTGTTCTCCTTCGATATGGACATCTTGTGATCAGTTGGTTTTTTGAAGTCCTCCTGTTGCTCTCGCCCGTCTCTGCATGCCTGTTCGTCCCACATTTTGGCCTCTCGTACACTTTCGACACGAAATTGCTCTTCTGCTGTTGTTGCTATTCTTCGCATCTCCTCCTCTTGTCTTGCATTCTCTTCAACTTCCTCCTTCAGCGTTCTGGCGTCCAAGGACTTTCGCACATCCTCATCGATCCACGGCATAATTTCAATATCAACACTCTCCATCTCCGACCACGCGGCAGTCCACGCGGAGGCTCTCATCAGTCCGTTCGCTGCAAAGACCTTGATGCTCCATTTTCTGCCACCTCCCACGGCGGTACTAACAGCACTGAGATGGCGATGGCATGTCCTGCATGAAGTGCCATCGTCCACATCCTCCACGCTAGATCCCACACCGGAGTCTTCAGAAGATGCAGAGCTCGAAGATTCTCGGGCGCGAAAATGGCCGCACTTTGTGACTCGCTCTGTTTTCAGTTCAAGTGCTTCGAGCAGCCTTTCTTCCAGAAGTTCGTATTCGTCCTTGGGGTGTGGAATAAGAATGCCACGTTGAAGAATCGTTGACGAGAGTCTTGATTGGAGAAGCTGCAGACTCTCCAGCGTGTCTCCTGACAACAACTCTTCCATAGTCTCCTTACTCCAACGCAATTCAATCGGCAAGAGCGTCATATGAAGCAGCACAAGAGGATATTCTTTCTTCTCTTCCTCCTCCTTTTCGTGAGCCCACTTTGGCCGCCTCGGACTGCCTTTGACACTTGATTTTCCCGAGTTGGGAGTGCGTACGCGTTGAGATGAGAGTAGAGATCGCCGCAGGCTCCGTTCTGAAGGCGTAGGCGACGACATTTGCATTCTCCTCACCGACTCTGGCCTCCGAAATGAGGGTCGAATCGTCATAGGCGTGTATGGCTTATGCATGACTCCTTTCTCATTCGCAGGATCCATTTCGTAGGCCGACTCTGGGAGGGATGATATCGAAGCAAAAGTGAAGACTGACTCCCGTCGTTCGTCGTCTGCGTCATCTGTATCGCGATCGGCTCCTCTTTGCAAGGCGACATCCTCCTCATCCTCCTCATCCTCTCTCTCATGAAGACGGCCTTGGCTTGAGTAGCCATCCTCTCCTCGTTTCAGCTCACTGTACGCGCTGTCGGTTCTCGATAATGATGGTCGTAGCTCTTCTGGCAAGGAATGTGTCTTTGTCTTCATTTGCTCTTTAGGGTCATCATCTCCCTCCACCTGGCGCGTCTTGCTTGGTTTAGCCATTGACCCTCAGCCGTTACCGTCTGCCAGTGGCAGGGCAGTTGAGCGAGAGTAACGTTACTGGCATCAACGTTGAAGTGCTCCGTAAACAAACAGCTTGCAGATTGTTGCCATGACAACTATCCAATCAATCAATCACAATCATTATCATCATCAAACATCGACATAGAAAAGCATGGAAAAGACGACGTGCATGATCAATTATGTCAGACTGGGTCCTCTTGTCATGTACTACAGGAGCCATAAACATGATGCTGTGCAATTCATCAATTTATCATAAACAGATGACTTCTCGGTAGGTTTCAGATCAGGCAATCTACTCGCCAGCGTATCTCCTTCAATGAAGTTCAATCATCTCCAAGTACAAAAACGGCAGCTTTTCATCGCATTTCCAGCCGAAGATGCGAGGCACAGAAAACGATTACTGAAGATGGCGAATTGGCGATTGAGTAATCACAGATATTGACCCTCAGCTGAGGTAATGTACTCGCCTCATTTCACCATGAGACCTTCTGGGAATCTCACAAGGATCGGACAATGTGTAAGAGTGATGTCGACGCTTATTGCTCTGGGTGACCGCAGCAGAAAATTATTGTGCTTGTTGCTATTGCCTAGGAATATGCAGTTGAAGGGTCGATCCTGGACCGGAACTTCAATTGGGTACATCCGCCGAGGCCTCGTTGATTGCGGATTCTCGCCGTTTGTCTTCCTCGTTGAGGAGCAGACGCAAATCGTGAAACCTGTCAGGAGACAGGGCTTAACGTTCCCAGCTTCTCAGATTCTGGTGGTTTATGCACTCACCCCCTTTCCTCGTAGGGTGGAGCAAGGCTGCAAAGCTGCTCATTTCTCGGCATGAGAGCATTGTATTGCGGAAACGGAAGAGCGTACAGCTCAACTTGTTGAGTGCTCAACTACCGAGTTAATCCTTATCGCTACCACAGTACCTATATATCAGCATCTGCCAGGGTACAGGGGAAATAGACCGAATTGTCGGATTATCAGTGGTGGACTACGAGATGTGAGGGTGGAGGGCGTCGTTTTTGAGGTTCACCCACCGCAGAAAGGGCTGAAAAAGGCAAAGATCCTCTGGAGACCCTTGATCAAGCGCCTTGTCAACTGAGAGATGTGCGTGAATGATGTATGCCCAGTGCCGGGAGTTAACTATTGTCCCCAAAGAGAGTAGAAGAACTCAGCGCAGAGCATCTCATCTTTTCCCACGAAGATGTCGCTATGGCAGTCGATGAGGGTTCATCTACAAATGATCCAGGAACGAGGAACACCTTGATCTGATGCTCCCTACACCGCGTGATGTCGTTACTCGGATGATCCCTCTATGCAGCGTAGATTGCTACATGAGGCACCTCAGTTTGAGTTGGGAAGCTGGTCCGCTGCAAAAGCCTGCAAACTGACCAACAACTGCCCTGGTGCACACACCCACATCCCCCATTCCCCCTGCACTCGCAACCGGAGCGTGCCGAAAACAAACAGGTACATGTACTGTATAGCCGTACCAACCTCATTCTATCCCACTTCTAGGCATTTCAAAACCTGTGGGAGGTAGGACATCTTGATGCTCGCGGAACGGTGTCAAGATCTGCATTGATGCCGTGCTTGCTGCTGAATGGTTGAAATATCATACGCAGCAATTGGTCGATCCCTTCCAGTGTGGTTGTTATTGGTCCGTCAGTCCCTTTAGAAATCTCTGGTAAAATGCAAGTGAACAACTGGACCGGAACATGCCGGTGACCTGTCTGTTCAGCCCCAGCCCCAGCCTTTTCTCGGAGTAATAATCTAAATCTTGAATAGGAGGTAATGTTGGCAGCACGAGGTTCGGCTTGGGTCTTTGTGATGTGCGTGTGACAGGCTAATAGTGTGTGACACTTGCGTCTGGGCAGGCTTAATCCTGAATGCAGACAACTTGACGTATTAGTCTCCTGGAGTACGATAGGCATGCCAACCAGGGGAGAAACCTGACGCATTGCATTGCACCCACAGCACCCTTTCCACGCCCCCTTCGAGTCGTGGACGACCGCTTGCCATGGCCAATTGTTTACTCTAAGTGGATCGCGCGCAACAAGAATGTACCACTAGTGTGGCGGCCGTTGCCCCTTCAGGTCATTCACATCAGGTTGGAAGGACGAAGGTTCCGAGGGCGCAGCAGATTCTTGCTTCTGGGAAGCTCTGGAAGACGGCGCGCCCAAGCTTTGGAAGCATCATTAGCCCGAAAGAGGTTCGCGCAGGCCAGGTCGTGGTGTCAGGCTGTCAGCATGGCATACACCATGGCAAGACTCTGTTGCCCTGCTCCCCCCAGACCTGCTGCTGCGGCGATGGCTTTATGTTCGATGCTCCCCTGTGCTCTCACGTCTCCAGCAAATCCATCATGCTTGCTTTGGCGCCACAAGATGACCTAACAGCGGTGCTCAAGACCTTTTCACCAGATCAATTGCTCACCACCAGACGCGCGATCGATGCCCTCCTCACACCCGATGCTCTCCGTCAGGCAAACCAACAGCTATCCCCCCTCCTCCGACTGCCACGAAGTATTCTAGAGCGCATTGTCGATTATGCAGTCTCGTACGATCACGCTATCGAAGAATCATCCAAAGCGCCAGGGTTGCTGGAGGCCTGTCATGGCTTACGGCAGGCTGCATCGAGAGCCTACTATAGTCGGAACACCTTCAAGAGAAAGCGCAGCTTCCGGGAAGAGGAGTTGGAGCGCTGGGCAAAGGTTCGCGTAGGCGAGAACAGAAGATATCTGGGGAGAGTCCGTCTGGGACCGCCCCTACACTGCAACAACGAGGAAGCCGAGAGCGAGGCCAGGAAGCTGGAGACTAGATGCTGCCTACCGATTGGCAGTGTATGGTGCTTATCCGAGGTGGGTTATCATACCGTCGCAAGATATGTGATTAAGCGACACCTCAGGACAGGGAGGCCATGGTACGTGCACTGACACTTCTCGCTAGGACGATTTCGAGAATGATTGGAGGTGGTGGGTGAATAGTCTGGGCGAGACGGACAAGTTCGAGGAGGAAGATGGCGATCAAGCGTCTACGCAAGTAGCTGCACATGGCCATCGCTCCCAAGCGTGCGCAAAGCCAGCAGCATCGTGGTATTGCTCGTCTTGGGCTCTGAGACAGGATACAGACTACTTCAGTTTGCATCGAGGGCTTCCGACTCCTGAGTCGAGACCAGGCGACTACGACACGCGGTGATGTGAACTGGCCCCATATGCATAAGGTATTCTGCTGGTCTCTAGATGTTGAAATTGGCGGTACCTCAAAGGTCATGAACACCCTCACAGCAGGACTCGTTGAAGCTGCAAAAGGGGCCCAGCGGTATGATAGGCACATGTAGCATCTCTACCTTATGGGAAGATCTGTAAATGTTGAACTGCAAGTCTCGTGATGATAACTAGAACCTGAAGCCAGAGAACACATCTTGCTCTCCTGATATATATACTCAGCTAGCACGTTCCTACGTGCACAACTGGTAGTGGTAGGTAGGCCTTCAACTGCGACTTCCTTGATAATCAAAGTACCTGGTAAACAATGCGTATTACGGTATTACCTACCTTGCCTTGGGTTGGAGAAAAGGGGATAATGCCCAGAACATGGAGCCACGTTGAGTCGTCAAGAATTAATCGACCCATGACGACGGATTTCAGCGATCAGCCACAGCACCTGATCTGATCCTCTCCAGCTTGGTACGGTTCCGATTCTAGCCTAACAACACCTGAGATTGCCGAAGCGTTACACACAAGACGTAGCTATTCGCTTAGCTGCGCCAGAACCAGGAAAACAGAAAAAGCCATGCTGTCGCCCGAACGACCTCACGCTCCCAGAGCCACCACATCTCCGGGAATGATGAACGGCCACTTTGCGCAAGTCGACAGCGATCTGTCCAAAGGCGACTTCCAGCATGGCGTCCAGATCATCAACTCCGACAAGGAGTTCAACGCCAATCTGGGCCAGTATCTGCAGCTCGAGAGCATCACGAAAGCCGGCTTCAACTACCATGTCATCTCCGTCTTTGGCAGTCAGAGTACGGGAAAGAGCACGCTACTCAATGCCCTGTTCGGCACTCAGTTTGGCGTCATGAATGAGCAGCAAAGGCAGCAGACCACAAAGGGTATTTGGATGTCCAAGAATAAGAAGGAGCTGGCCGCGGGTGATGGAAAGGCCATGGCCGCCAACATTCTGGTCATGGATGTCGAGGGCACAGATGGCAGAGAAAGAGGCGAGGATCAGGACTTTGAGCGCAAGAGTGCCTTGTTCGCGCTGGCAACGAGCGAGGTCCTCATCGTGAACATTTGGGAACATCAGGTGGGACTATACCAGGGAGCCAACATGGGCCTCCTAAAGACTGTGTTCGAGGTCAACCTACAGCTTTTCCTCAAGGAGAGAACCGTCTCTCGGACGTTGCTCTTCTTTGTGATCCGAGATCATTTGGGCACTACACCACTGGAGAATCTCAAGCAGACACTCATCCAGGACTTGTCGAGGATATGGTCCACGCTATCGAAGCCGCCTGGTCTGGAGAAGAGCCAGATTGGAGACTATTTTGACTTCGCTTTCGTTGCCCTACCGCACAAGATCCTCATGCCAGAGAAGTTTGAGCAGGAAGTTGCGCGCCTGGGCACGAGATTTCGGGAAGGCTTCAAAGATCTCAAGCGAGCTGGCCTGGTTGAAAACGAGCCTATACTACTTCCAGAGTATCACCGACGCATTCCTGCAGATGGCTTTCCTATGTATGCCTCGGGTGTGTGGGAGCAGATTGACAGCAACAAGGACCTGGATCTTCCTACGCAGCAAGAACTTCTGGCTCAGTTCCGATGCGATGAGATCTCGAAGGAGGTCCTTGTCCCTTTCGACGAGGTGATTACGCCACTAGAAGAACTCCAAAACAGTGCAGTAGCAGCAGGAAAGCCGTCAGTGATTGCAGAGCTGGGCGCCAAGCTGATATCTGCGAGAAAGCTTGTGCTTGGCAACTTTGTTGAGGAAGCGAGCAGATACCACAAGGGTGTCTTCAAGAGGAAACAAGCCGAGCTGGAGACGAAGGTGGATGGCAGGCTGAAAGCGCTGTTTGTGGGCCAACTCAGCGCCGCGCACAAGGCAGGCGTGCACGACTTTTCGGAGGCTGTATCTACTGCCGTCAAGACTGGTCAGAAGAAGGGCTCCAACTACGATTTCCACCAGATTGTCACATCCGAAAAGCAAAAGGCATTGGACCGATTCGAGGGGCATGCCAGAGCGTCACTCGTCGAAGGCACACCATGGAGTGACTACAAGCAACAACTGAACCTTTATCGTAAAGACTTGGACGAAGTGAGCGCGCGCTTGAGAAAAGACGAGATGAGACGGTTAGCAACGAGGAGCGAGAGATGGGTACGAAGCAGGCTCAGTGAGAGCGTTGGTGTGGAGTTCAACAAGCTGGGTTCTGGTCGTGCAGGATCTGGTGCGCCTGCAGAAGGAGAGAAGCCTCTCGAGAAGGAACTGTGGGATCGCATCTGGAACGTCTTCACCGATACTGTATCTCATGCAGAGACACGATTCACGGAACGGGCACGCAGCTTCGATGCTAGTCCTGACGAGGTGGAGGTTGGCCTGTGGCGCCTTCGCCGGAAATCGTGGGGCGCACTTCGAGACAAAATCGACGAAGAGCTCATGGAAGGCAATCTTCTCTTGAAGCTTCGTGAAAACTTCGAGGACAAGTTCCGCTATGATGAGGATGGTGTTCCAAGGATTTGGCGACCCACCGACGATATCGAAAGCATGTACACGAAAGCTCGCGAAAGCACGTTGACGCTGATACCGCTCCTTGCAAGGTTCAAGCTATCTCGTACATCAGCGCCACCGCCGCTGGACGCCTGGATCGGCGAGCCACCAAGCAATGTCACGACAACCGACGAGGAAGACTTGAATCCCATCGGCGGTGTCGACGAAGATGAGGGCAAGACGTTGGAAGAAGAGATGACAGTCATTAGCGATGCGAAGCAACAAGATTTGTCGACCCGTTTCAAAAAGACGGCAGATGGCGTCTATGTTGAAGCCAAGCGTAGCGCGATTGGTGGTATTACCCAAGTGCCGCTTTACTTCTATGGCCTCCTTCTAGCGCTTGGATGGAACGAGATTGTAGCAGGTAAGCAACAACGCACACACGTTGACATTGAGGACATGTACTAACATCATATTACTTACAGTGCTACGAAACCCCGTCTACTTCATTTTCCTCATCCTCGTCGGCGTTGGCGCCTATGTGACCTATACCCTCAACCTGTGGGGCCCCATGCTTCGCATGACCAATGCTGCGAGTGCGCAGGGGCTGGACATCTTCAAAGAGAAACTGCGAGATTTCTTGGAAAATTCCGAGACTGGTCGACAAGCAATCGGTATGAGTGCCAAGGCGGGTGCACCCATTCATTTGGACACTTTGAATAGTAATGGCAGCACACGGACTGGAGGAGGAGCGGCGTCGATGGAGGATGAAGTGGACGAGATATAGCATCATTGAGTCCTTTGAGTTCAGAGTTGTTGTACATCATCCCATGTGGTATATTGTTTTTTTTTTTCTACTCTTTGGGGGTCCTCTTGGTGGGGTGAAAGGGGGCATAGCGGACAAGGAACGAAAACAGTACGTCGAATATTACTACTACAGCAGTCCACTTTTTTTTCCCCAAATTTCTTAGTACAGTATTATTCGAACTTGAGTTTGAGTGTGGAAGAATCAGGCAGATGTTACATTATACGACGCAAGAAGCCGGGCATGTATTCTCATCTGCTACGGTGACCCGGATCATCCCATCGTCTTTTAGGTAGTTTATCAGAACACATCATCATCCACGTTTTGTCTATACATATAAAATATACCATATAACTAATATATCTTGACATGCATATATTACATCCTACATGTAGGTAGATTTTCAACCAACAATCTATCCTCGTCGCTTCCTCGCACTACCTTTATCCTTTCCGCTAGACACGGCAGCCGTACCAGGGGCGCCGCTTCCAGATCCTTTGACCTTGCCATCCAATGGTGCCTTCAATTCCCCAGACACATCCGTCGTGCTGCTTTTCCCAGAAGAACTCGTCAATGGTTTCGCGGCTTTCTTGGCTTCCTCTTCCTCCTCGTCGCCCCCTTGGCCGAATTCATTGACTCTGGTGTAGTCGACCTTGTAGGCCCAAGCCTGGTACAAGTAGACGAAGAAGATGACATCATCGCGTAAAGTGGCCAAACGGTGCAGAATGGGCATTTTGATGGTGAAGGCGAATAAATCATCGATGAAGGTGTTGAGGAATTTGTATGCCATGGTTCGACCGGGCATGTGGGCGACTGATTTGAGACGGTAGTTGATGTAGAGGGCTGGTACCATCATGAGGAATCCGTAGGCGTAGACACTTCCTACGAGGGTGGTGATGATGAAGCTGTACCAGGATTTGTGCTCCTCGTAGTAGAGAGAGTAGATTGCGTAGGCGAGAAGCAGTGGGCCAGCCAGGTAGCCCATGTATTGGAAGGCAATTCGGTCGTACTCTTCGGTTTGTTCTTCGGTTTCGCTGAGGACGTGTTTGTCTTCGAAGACGATTGTGTAGGGAAGTCCCAGCTTGTGGGCGTATGAGGTGGGGGTGGGTTGGCGGATGCGGACGTCGACGGTTTTGGTGATTTTCCAAGCTTCGATTGCGATACCCATGCCTTGGCCGAAGAGAATCATCCAGCTGGTATTGTCGTTGTTGTCCATGAGGTAGAGGAAGATGACGGTTTGCATGACTACGTTGGCTAGAATGGTTCGGAACGATACTCCCACGTTGTCCTTCTTCTTACGCCAATGGCCGACATCACTCTTGAATGCGAGCAGCTCGAAGATCATGTGCAGCACACTGGCGAAGACTGTTGTGCCGAGGAGCCACGGGTTAGTGTCCAAGAGAGTCTCCTTGATCAACTCCATCTCAGAACCGTCTCCTCCACCAGGGGTACTCTCGCCATGAGCAGCCTTTCGCGCAGTTTGCTTCATGCCTTCGTCCATGCTGCACATGACGCTGAATTGCCATCCCGCCAGGGTGCTCACGCCTACATTGATGGGAAGTGTAGTTTGAGGAATGGTCGAGTTCAACTCAGTCATTTGCGACTTTAGCTGCCAGAACGTGTTTAGATAGAGGACAGGATAATACCAGCCATTTTTACCCGTCTCATCGCGAGCGCCAGTAGCTTCCATGATGTAGAATTGCTTGACAGCGGGATGGAGTGTAGCCCAGGCCACATTGCCAGTATCGGGCACGAACGAGAGCGTAAAGTTGGGGTGATAGTAGGATGCAATGGAAGGTCCGGTGGGCTCTTCCTCGACAATACTAGGCTCCAGCTCAGTATCATTGTGAGGTCCAAGCAGATTGCGCACCTTGTGCACTTTCTTTTTGGCCAGGTAGGAGGTCAGGGGCCTGAGCATACGATATGCCTTGGCAGGGTTGTACGAAGGCGAGGCTGGATCCAGCTCAGCACCGGTCTGGCCGACGAAGATATGTGCCCACAAGGTTCCATTGTCCTGCACGCTCTTGGGCACAGCAAAGCTCTTGTGCACTTCTCGGTAGTCCTTTTGCGCCCTATCCAGTGCAAAGTTCGTTTCCTTCACGACCAGACTGTCTGACGGCATGTCGCGGAAGGCCGGCATGACAACGCTCGGGGAGATGTAGAGGGTAACGTCCACGGTCGTATTGGATGGCCAGAGCGGATAGAGTAGTTCGGGCACCGCACTCCACTCTCCCACCACAGCCTCTGCGCCGGGCGTGGTTGTTGGCACTGCTGGCTTTGCAGTCTGGCCAGCTCCACCGCCTCCCATCAGCAGCCTCATGCCAGCCTGAATGGCGACGAAGAAAGCGACACTCTTGCCCACCGACCATAGTTTGGCCGTCCAGTCGTCCTGGGCTGGGGCGGCATTCGTTGCAGCCACCGCTTCTGGCATGCTGGGCGAGAATGCTCAGGCGTGCTGAGGCTGTCGGTCGGTCGGTGGTGTTGTGGTGGTGGTGGTGTGTGTGAGTGTGTGTATGGCGATGGATAGTCTCGTGCTATTTCGCCATGTAGACAGATGTTGGTGATGTTGGAACAGCCTTAAGGCTTAGGGAGACCTGTTCTCATCTCTCTCTCTCTCTCTCTCTCTAGGAGCTACTGACTTTCTGACTTTCGTCCACCTCGACAGCAAATCACGCTAGCACGTGGAGCCGGCGTCGACAGCGGAGATAAGATCTGGTGGTGCACGTCCCGTCCCGTCCCGTCCCATCACGTTCCATCCTTGATCCCGCCACGGTCTATCCGTTCTTTGTCAGTGGGGACTTGTTGGATGGCGATATAGACAAGCCAAGGCCAAGCAAAAGCGACTCCGGCAGCATTCTTGTCCTTGTTCTCCATTGCTGCATGCATCTGTTCATGTATCCAAGACCAGCACTCAGTGTTATCAGACTATCAGACATACTACTTGTGTCTTCGGAATCCGGTCGCTGCATACATACTAGACTATCCGTGTTTGGTGGGTCTGTCGTCGGCAAAAGTAGGAAAAGTAAGGTTCGTCGGATCGATGCATGTGACTAGACGTGCTCTCTCAGCTCCATTCAGATGACACCGACTGCCTCACTAGCGACCGACTGCGACCTGACCTGACCTGACCTGACACTATCGCTGCCCACCTGCACGCACTCAGCATCACTTGCCCTACCCTACCTACAACTACCTTCTCTACACTCCTAGGTAACCTTACCACCTACCACCTACCTACCTAATCTACCATCGTACACTCCACTCCACTACCTACCCTCACATTAGCTATCAACACAACATCACCACCACCCGCTGCCGCATTCGGCGATTGGAAACGACTACTCGCCTTGGGCTGGCCTGGCCTGGCAGCTTGACGGTGCAACTCTGGTGAAGCTGCAGAACGATCCCGTCCTCTGCTACTCACCACCACCACCACCACCACACCTGCTCGCCACTTCACAACCCGACCTGACTGAGCCGTCGCTGCCATCATGTTCTCCGAATGTAGGTTGCCGCTTCTCCTCCGTCGAATTCCGTCTGATGAGCACATACGACACTCGTGCTCAAGAAGAAGAAGAAGCTCGCGTGACTAACACTTCTGAACCGTCAGACGCATCTCGCTTCCTACAGCAGTCCAACGCCCAACTACCATTCGCACAGCAAGAAGATGCGAGAAGTCGATCGCGCAACCCACTCGATCGTCGGCGTGCTCCTGCTTCCCACTCGCGATACGTGCAACGCCCGGGCATGAACCTCACACACCACAATCCGACTTCGTCACAATCACGCTTTCCCTTTGCCCCATTTTCGCGGCAAGAGCCATCGCAGGCCCCATTGTTCTATAGTGCAGCCGAGGGACAGGCCGAAGACGAGGGCCACGAGTATCAGCGGGAAGTGGCTGACTCGTATGCTCTGCAGCGGAGTAGGCAGCACTTTGGTCCCAGTAACCTCACTGAGAGCTCGGAGATGGACGATGATGGCATGGAGGCGCTAGAGGAGACGGAGAAAGGACAGAACCACGATAGAGAAGAAAGCCTGCCTCGAGGAAGGCTAGGCGCTCCATACCCACCTTCTTCGCGTGCCGAGAGCAGAGCGTCAGATATGAGTGGCAAAGGAAAAGGAAGGATGGTGGATGTGAATCTCAACAGTACCATTGACGAGGAGCCGCCTGAGTCACTAGCGAATCTCTCGCCCTCGATAGACCTGGACGAACCGCCTGCTCCCGTCAGAACATTCAGGCCGGCCACGAAACCGAGCGTACTGAGTTCATACTTGCCTCTCGAAGCGGAGCTAGATGATACGCAACACCTGGATCCGCGACCCATGTCGCCCGACCGCGAAAGTGTACCGCCAACCGTCGTCTTACCCGCGCAAGAGCCTCCCAAACACGATGCTTTCTGGGCCAACCTCTTTCAGATTTCATTATGCACCATGTTTGCCGTGTTTATTTTGATATGGTTTCAGACCTCGACACCGAAGAGCTCGCTCGGCGACACCATTTACACTGCTCTCAAGGGCAGCACGAGCATGCTCGTGTGGGATACACTAATCGCCGTTGTGGTGGCACTGTTGTGGCTGTCATTACTGCGGAATCATGTCCGGCCACTAGTATACATCATGATCGTGGCCGTTCCCGTCGTGCTATTCTCGTTCTCGCTATATCCTTTTATCAGCAGTTTCAAAGGCGCTTGGCACGGCAACTCGTTGCAGGATAAGGCGATGCGATGGGGTTCTTTCGTCCCGGCATTCATGGCCTTCTTCTGGACATGGAGCGTCATCAAAAATCGCCACAGTCTTCACAGCTCAATCCAGGTTCTGGAGTTTTCAACCAAAATTCTGGCAGCGAGCCCCTACTTGATCGTCTTAGGCTTCGCTGCGCTTTCCGTCGTTGTCACGTTCTCGTGGACCTGGATGTTGATGTTTGAGCGCATCTTCCTATCTGGACACTTCGCGGGCGCAAAAAAGTGGATCATCAATGCCAACAGCTGGTGGCTGGGAGCATACTTTATCTTACAATATCTGTGGACGCTTGGTGTCATTGCTGGCCTGCAAAGAGCCACAACTGCTGCTGTGGTGAGCCAGTGGTACTTCCATCGCCGGGCAGTCCCTCAACCAACGAGCCAAGAAGTCGTCAAGGCTAGCTTCCTGCATGCTACAGGCGCGCTGTTCGGTACGACCTGTCTGAGCACGTTTCTCAGCCTCTTAGTGCGTCTTCCGCTGATTGTCCTTCCCGGCCGTCTATCTGGACTGCTCAATATGGCGGCATACTGGATCATGCCAAGTACTCTGGCAACGTTGACGAATCCTCTCACCCTCACATATGCTGCTATCCATAGTCAACCACTGGGAATCTCCGCGCGAGGACTCAATCAGCTGAATTTTGTCTCTCGTACAAACCCAAGCAATACACTAGGCCCTCGCAACTTCAATCCTGCACAGTCGGGCAGTGCGCTTATGCCATATCGCCTGGCAAAACTGCTCTTGCAAGCGACCCGATGGATCATGTCCTTTGCACTCGGCTTTGGCGGGTGGGTGCGCGCCGCGCATAGCATTCAAATACAAGGTGCAGCATCGGGCCTGCGAGGCAGCTTGTACGCATACATTGTCGGTATGATTGCCGGAACTATCGGCTTCGCCGTGCTAGGTTGCATAGAGAACATCGTCGGTGGTGTCATTGACGCCTCGATGATTTGCTGGGCCAGCGAAACCGCTGGTGGACGTGGTGAAGCCAGATTCTGCCGAGAGGCGGGCGAGCTCTTTGCCAATGAAGGAAGGTTGAACTTTGACCAAAGGAGGGGCAACATGGTATAGATAAGAAATGTAGAAGTCAGTAAAGTGCATGTGTGTGCGTGACCCTCTGATATCCAGCTTAAATCCAGTCGCGAATTCAGGCGGAGGCACTCGTCTGTGTAATGGCGACGACAGAAGCTACATGTACCTTGAGAACATGCCACAGCAATGACCAGCCCCGGAATTTTGATACTCTTCATTCACCAAGCGTTTGTGATAAGTGTTCTGATCCGCCCGACAAGTCATTCCCTGCGTCGACAGCAACCTTGTTGCCATCACCAGCACTTGCCAGAGTCTTCTCCATCCTGCGCACATAGCGACTGAGACTTTCACATAGTCGATCCAGCACAAACTCTGCTTCGCTCGTGTTCGCCATCATCGGACTGTCTTCCCCTATCCAGTCCCACTCCACCATACCTCTCTGATCTTCCTGCTCATCATCCTGACGCTTGTCTACGGTGAATCGGATGAGGCGTGTAAACTCCACCCACTCTTCGTATGAATATCTGCTCTTTTCACGATTCGTGACATGCCGAGCAACGCGCTTGATTGCTTTCGGCAGCTCTGCAGCGAGTTGAGCATCAGTCGTCTGTTCCACGGCCAGTTGATCAATGGTCGTAGTAGTAGGATTGGTGGCCACTTCTGCATCAGGCTCAGGTCCATATGGCAGTCCTTCTTCTTCTTTTCTTCGCATTTCTTTTCCAGCTTTCCGACTTTGCAATGTTTTCAACAGCCATGGTTGTCTGTTTAGAATAGCCCGCCAGACACCCTTTTGAGGCAGAACGGTGACTATATTGTAAGAGGTGGAATGTAAGCAAGTATATATTAAATTTCTGAAGATTTGCGGCCGCATCTGTCTCATACGGTCGGTGGCTTGTGTGTCTCCAACAAGCTTTGTCGCTGCAGTGTACGCCAGCCAGATTTGATGAGATATGTAAGTTGAAAGAAAAAAAGAAAAACGAAAAAAGAGGAAAAAAAAGGAAAAAAGTTGCCCACAGAATTTCTTGCTTCACTTACAGTCTGCAACGCCAGAAGTGCCGTTTTTGAACTTCTTCACCACGGTATCGCCAAGATCACTGACTAAGATGGTCATGGTAGGTACGGCGAGCAAGCTCCAGAAGACGAAAAAGGGTCTGCCTGCATTGCTCTTGGGTGACAAGTCACCATAGCCAATGGTTAAAAGGGAAACATAGGCAAAGTACAGCGCTTTGTAGTAGGTCATTTCGTTCTCCGTGTTCTTCTCCGCTTGCCAAAACACGACACCCCCTCCGCACCACAGCACGCCGAACGCTGCGACGGAGAGGAGCAAGGCGTACCATCTTTTGAATCGTGATGTCGATTTCTGAATCCGTCGCATCAACTCGAAGCGGTCTTTTTCTTCCCGGAGCAGCAGAAGCTTTGGTTTTCGAGGAGCGAGACGTTGTGGGGGCAAAGCCCATGTACTACCGGCGGCTCTCCTGAGGCTACCTATATAAGTGCCTGTCCAAGAAAGGGGGCCTCGCCCTGAAGGAGGATGATCTACGTCGTCAGGAAAGTTGATCGTTCGCTGCTCTTCTTCTTCTTCTTTTTCTTTCGACTTGTCCTCCTCGGCATGACAAAATGCCGGTGTGGAAATGAGTCGACCGTCTCCGGGAGGCATCTGCTTGCGCTCAAGCTCAAGAGACGATGTCACGGTTCTGTCCATTGTCCTCGCCCGCGTCTTCTCAACGTGTCGCTTGACTACCTTCTCTGAGCTCAGCTCTCTCGCGAACCCTGCAATGGAGCTCACCATGAGACCAAGCATGACAATTCCGCCTACCGAGTACGGGAAGACTAGACCTCTGCCAACATCACTGCTCGGATACAGGTCGCCGAAGCCCACAGTGAGGATGGTGACATCCGAAAAGTACAGGGAATTGACAAAACTCCATGGAAAGTTGCCCTCGTCGTAATCACCATATCTGCGCTCCACGGCTGTGAAGATGCCGCCGCCAGCTGCCAGCCACAAGAAGAACAACATGGTCTGCAAGATGAGGGTCCTCTGGCTGTCGGTCAAGGTAAAGTGCTGTGGGTAATGACCGAGCGCAAAGCCGAGCATGTTGACCATCAGAATCGTGGCGCAGCCCAGGTACATACAGGCAGCCAAAACTCCATACCAGAATCCTTGAGTGTAGGTTTGCTGCGGTCGCAGTGGCGGAACGTAGATTTGCATGCTCCAGGTGATGCCGCACAGAATTCCGGCAGCACCATACCAGCACAGCATGGTCACCGGCAAGGCAATCACGTATCGGATGCGGTTGGTAAAGTTGCAGAGTAAGAAAAAGTTCCCAATGAAGCCCACAATGAGCGAGACGAGGTTGAGAGTATAGCACCATGTCGGATCAGCAAAGTCGTGTCCTTGCAGCTGTGTGACGAGCAAAGTCGTGTCGCCGTCCCAGGAGCAAATGGCTGCTGCAGTGGCGCTGGTGGCGGTACTGACCAGACACATTCGCCACGAAGTGATTAACGCTGCCAGTGAGAACACACTTGCGAGGGGACCGATGGTGGCTGCCAGAAGGGGTATGGCCGTACTTGCAAACCACCAGTCCTGCTGGTCGTCGTCCTCGTTCCATTGCCGAAAGTGAAAACTTCCACCAAGGCGCGTGCTGGATCGCTTCGGATGCATGAGCTCGCATGGAAGACCTCTTGGGGTATCTGCTGCTGCTGCTGCTGCTGATGATGATGATGGACGGTCGTGTAGAAGACTTGCGACGCTGCACGTACTCTTGAAGGTGGTAATGGTGGAGGTGAAGGTGGTGATGGATTCCAAGAGGCCTGAGATCTGATTTCCAATGTCCACTATAGTAGTTCTAATGGTGCCGGTCCGATTGTCTTTCACCGATGCCGTTTCCGTTGTAGTCGTGCCGCAGCATGGATGTATATAAGGTGTATGGTATGTATACGAGCTGTGCAGTGTGGAGGGCGTGTGTTCAGTACGACGAATCATGGTGTAACGTAGACGCCACCCCCGTCGTATGGTTTGTGATTATGTGGTCCGGTTTCCCAGGTGGGTTAGGACGTGTAGAGCTGATGATATCAGTACGGTACCTTAGTTCCAATCGAGGAGATATGTGAGTTTGTGTCGTCGTAGACATGTTCGTCTAGCGTATGTGTGCTTGTCACCCCCATAGGAGGTATGACGGAGCCGGCAGCGGGCGCTCCACCAAGTGAATCCTCATGACAATATCCAAATTCGAACGCTTCGCTGCTTCGAAGCCTTCAAGTTGCATCCAAAGATGACCTTCCAACAAGAACTGAACTCCTGGTTCGCTCCCAAAGACAGCCCCAACAACTGCCCTCCGCCCCGAGTCGGCGAGCAAGCGCCTCGCTCCACGAAACTCGAGCTACAACCCAACCATCGCACCATCATCGCCTTCCTGAGACATTGCGGCTGTCCGTACGTCTGACCACTGATTGATCCATCATTGCATCTACCATAGACACTGTGGCTAATTGATGATGACTCGGGAAATCTTCTCCAGCTTTGCAGAGAAAACCTATCTGCTCCTCCGGGAATCGGCAAAATCTCACCAGGACATCGACTTCATCGCTGTATCGCACTCTGATCAGGCTTCGACGGACAAATGGGTCCGGTCTATACCGCAATTTGGCAGTGAGTCGGAGAATTTGAGGGTTGTGGTGGATGATACAAAGGTAGGTACAAATGGTGGCGGAGTGTGGTGCTGGCTGGAGAGTGCTTGTGTACTGACTTTGGACTCTAATCTACCTAGGAAGCGTATGCTGCATATGGGCTTGGCATCTCCTCGTGGCTTCATGTGCTCTCTCCTGCGAGCATGATGAATGTTTTCAGCTTGGCCAGACGTGAAGGTATCAGTAATCGCCCTACGGAAAGTGGAACGAGATGGCAGACTTCAGGTACTTTTGCGATTGGTGAAGATGGAATTGTGAAATGGGGAGGTCTGTCTCTACCGTGTCGTGAACGCCGATCTGGAGTGGTTACATGCTGACCATTTTGTGCAGGGCCTGCTAGTAGAGCAGACGATATTCCCGACTTTGAAGAGGTTGTCAAGACTCTTGATCCAGTCCACGGAGTTTCACAGAGCAAGCTTTGAGCATGCGACAGTCTAGTAGCCTCACCGATCATCTCCCCCGCCGACTCACCTTCGCTCATACACGTTCGTCACATACTCCATAGCTCTCCCCACCTCTGATTTACACGGCCTCATGATAGGAACAGCGTCACCAGCTGAACAATGAGGTCGAAGTTCTGTACTATTGCCTTCCGACTGTGATTATCTTCTCCAAGTGATTCTGCCAATGTCGATCGCTGACGGGGTATCTAATATGTAAGTAGAGTAGTCAAAAGTGTCGTGTCTCATCTCAACGCATGCGTCCCGGGACGTTCGCGCTTTCGTGAATGAAAAACTATGTCAGTCAGTTCGGCTGGACCATTGCAGACTGGTCGGTCTTTTGTCGCTTAGACTCGGGCTCGTCAGGCTGCTTGGGCTCTTGGGTCGGTACACTTGGGAGGTCCGGCAAAATCGACCCCGAAGCAAGCTCAGTAGACTTGGACTGAGCGGCAGCTTGGTCTTCTCTCTGCTCTTTGTCTGATCCTTCTGTCTTCTCGGCATTTGATTCATCCGCAGGTGCAGTATCCGACGAGAAGTATTTCCTGCGAGCAGGTTAGCATCATCCCCCGTTGCGGCGCTTTCAGAGGCTGCTCCTCACGGCACAATCTCCTCGTATGCGTGTTGATCCTTGTTCACGAATTGGCAAAACACAATGCGCTCGATCTTGCCTGCCCTCTCCACGTCTGCCTCCAACCAGCGTTTCACCGCGCCAATGGCCACCTCGGCAGCCTCATCACTCGGGTAGCCATAGATGCCAGTGCTCAGAGCACTGAAAGCGATGCTTTTAAGGCCATGCTGGGCAGCCAGGTCGAGACTCGTGGTGTAGCATCCTCGCAGCAACCTCGCATTGCTTCCATCTCCGCCGTCCTCTTCCGCAAGGCCTTGACGTCGGTAGACTGGTCCCACAGCATGAATGACATAACGACATGGCAGGTTCCCGTACGCTTTTGTGATCTTGGCTGAGCCAGTGTCGCAGCCGTCGAGAGTGCGGCATTCCTCGAGCAGCTCGCGGCCTGCAGCACGATGGATCGCGCCATCCACACCACTGCCGCCTAGGAGGGACTTATTCGCAGCGTTGACGATGGCGTCGACTCCCAGCTTCGTGATATCGACCTGGACGAGGGAAACGGTGTCGTTCCATTTCGCGTTGGCATCTGCGGCAGGCTCCGCGGAGGGTGTGAGCTGGCGCCGGTGGTAGAGGAGCGTGAGAGTGGGCAAATCGGCCAGTGAGATACATGTAGATGACGATGCCATGTCCGTTTGACGCGATTGGAGTTGATGCTGGGCCCAAGACAGGACAGGACAGGACAGGACAAGACAGGACAGGTACCTACAAGCGGGTGTGGACCGCGGTCCGCCAGACAAGGTCCATAGCAGTGATAGCACAAACAGTTAGGTACCTGGTAGGCTGGTAGGTAAAGAAGGTACGCGACGCGACCAACCCCGCCATCCCGCGCTTCTTCAAAGTTCAAGCGAGACTAGCCTATTCTAAGCGAGTGAGCAACCAATCTTGACTCACTTTCTTTGACTGGGCCACTCTCGAAACGACGCCGGATTGTGCACTTCCTCCCCTCCCCTCCCCTCCCCTCCCCTCCCACGGCCATTCCGATCGAGCATCGACAACATGGCTGACCACCCGCCCGCACCGCCCGCTCCGCCCCCAGCGCCGTCTGCAGACGCCCCCGACGGAGCACCGAAGATCTCCAAGCGCGCCGCCGAAAAAGAGGCCAAGAAAGCCGCTGCCAAAGCCGCCAAAGCAGCTTCCAAATCTGCTCCTCAAGCGGCACCAGCAGCAGCAGCAGGAGGAGGAGCGGACTCCAGCAAGAAATCTTCTCAAGCAGACCCCGTAGATCCCTTCAAGACCGGCTGGCTCAAGGGAGTCTATTCCGAGAAGCCTGTTGCTCCCGCCCAAGTCCAGACTCGATTCCCCCCCGAACCCAATGGCTACCTGCACATCGGCCATGCGAAGGCTATCACCGTCAACTTTGGTTTCGCCAAGTCATATGGCGGCAAATGCAATCTCCGCTTCGACGACACCAACCCTGCCAAAGAAGAAGAGCAGTTCTTCACTAGTATCAAGGATATGGTGAGCTGGCTGGGCTTCGAGCCTGCACGTGTCACCTACAGCAGCGATGACTTTGATCGGCTCTATGAACTGGCCGAGGAATTGATCAAGAAGAGCAAGGCATACGTATGTTTCTGTTCGGCAGCTGCGATCCAGGCGGGTCGAGGAGGGAAAGAGCACGGTCCGAGATCAGTCTGCGAGCATTGGAGCAAAAGCGTGGACGCCAACCTAGCAGAGTTCAGAGGAATGCGGGATGGCAAGTACGAGGCGGGCGAGGCTCTCCTACGAATGAAGCAGTTCTTGGGCACGAAGCCGGAGGAGTACGAGGTGGCAGAAGAGGACAGCGCGGAGGTGAAGAGGGAAAAGGACAAGCTGAGAAGACTGGCAAACAATCCTGCGCTGTGGGACTGTGCGGCATATCGCATCAAGAAGGACAACTACCACCATCGGACCGGTCTGAAGTGGCGAATCTATCCCACCTACGAGTTCACACACTGCTTGTGCGACTCATTCGAGGGCATCACACACAGTCTGTGTACGGTCGAATTCGAGACGCTGCGACCTGCCTACGACTGGCTTCTGGAGGCCCTCAATCACAAGCTGCCGGGCTCGGACGAAAAGGGTCCCATGCAGCGCGAATATGGCAGATTGAACGTCGAGGGCACCATCCTATCCAAGCGTAGGATCGCCATGCTTGTCAACGGGACCACTGTCGGGCAAGATTCCGACCCCGTGGACGAAGCCGCAGACGCTATTGATCAGATGAACTTGGAGGAGGAGGGCGACGAAGAGCCAATGACTACCACTGAAGTCAGCAAAGCTGTCACCAGTGGCACTGGCCGCAAGATTCCACCTGTCGTCCGCGATTGGAATGATCCACGCCTGTTCACACTTGTCGCACTCCGACGCAGAGGTGTGCCACCCGGTGCTCTCAAAAAGTTCGTCTTTGATCTTGGCGTCACCAAAGCCAACGCAAACACCATGACCCATACCCTAGATGCCACGATGCGTACATATCTCGAGCGAACAGTCCCTCGTCTCATGCTCGTCCTCGATCCGATTAAAGTCACATTCACAAATCTGCCGGACGATTACGCCGAGTCTTGCGTTGTGCCCTTTGACCCCAAAGACAAGGAAAAGGGCGACCATACCGTCCCCTTCACCAAAACCATATACATTGACCGCGACGACTTCCGTGAAGAAGATGACCCAGACTTCTTCCGCCTTTCCCCCGGTCAGAGCGTCGGTCTGCTCCACGTCCAACACCCGATCAAAGTCATCTCTCTTTCCAAGAACGCCGAGGGCAAGGTCGACGAGATCAAGGCAGAGTACGGCAAAGATGTCCCACTTGGCAAGGCCCGCATCCACTGGGTTGGCGAATCCAAGTCTGAAAACTCCCCCATCAAAGTCGAGTGCCGCGTCTTCAACTCTCTTTTCAAGACCACCAAGCCCAATGAACTCGACTGGAAGAGTGGTGGGTACTACGACGACGTCAATCCCGAATCCGAAGTCATCTACAAGAATGCTCTGGTCGAAGTGGGATTCCGCGAGATTCAGCAGAGAGCTCCCTGGCCGAAAACAGAGGGCGAGACGAGTGGCAATGCTGATAAGTCGAGTGTCCGTTTCCAGGGCCTGCGGACTGCTTTCTTTGCTGAAGATCAAGACTCGACCCCGGAGCACATTGTGCTCAATCGGATCGTGAGCCTCAAGGAAGACACTTCGAAGAAGGACGTTGGCGCTACTGGAGAGAAGAAGGCAGCAGCTGGCGGGAATAAGGGGAATAAGAAGGCTCCTGCTGCTGCCAAGTGAGTGCAAAGCCAAAGCTGATTTCGATGACTGTGCCGGTATGTCGTTAGCGAGGAGTTGGCTGCAAGGTTGGTGTTTTTTAGCACTTCTTATCTAACGGGTTTCCGCGTCTTCCGGACGCGTCGTTTGTCGCCTTGACCTCTTCGTTGAAGTTGTCGTTACTGTCACTTCCCTTACCACGATGCTACCTATCCAAGTGCATATGAGGAGTTACGAATGATGACAGCCACGAGCGCAGCAGCTTGTGAGCAAACAGGTGTGGCTGAAAGCGAGTCTTTGCGAGGTAACACGAGCTTTCAATACTGTACCTTCAAGCATGTGGTCAGTGGTCTGAGACTCTGAGTAGTGGTGTCTGGAGACTGGTGCTGTTGTTGCTGCCCGGGGGAGCGGCAGAGGGCGGAGTCTGGGCCGGATGATAACGACAACCTCGACAAGTCACAGGGTGACATGGATTCATGGAAGACCACCTTGTCTCGGCCCCGCGGGCATTGCGGAGTGCTCAAAGACAGAAAGCTTATCGACTGGGGCAATGCTTCATCCCCACTGAAGGATGCACATGGAATCATGGATGTTCCCCCCTCCCCCATGCATGTATGTGACAGTGTCTGTCCCCTTTGGGAATCTTGGTCAAGGATGGATATTGATCAAGGATAGAACTGTATATTCCAACAATCAACCGAATTGGACCGACGGGGAGGTCTACAGTTATAAATTTATTGTCACCAGTTCCCTCTCTGGCTCTCACCACCGCGTAGTTTTCTATTTTCCCCCTTCTCCTCTCCTGACTTGCTACCAACCCTTCTCAGCCAGCGATACAGACCACTAACAAAAAGAACAATACCTGAACAATAACAATGCGAGTATTCCTCCTACTGCTCGCTGCTCTCGCTGGAGTGGCTGTAGCAGGCGAGGAATATGAGGTTCATGAACCACATTCGGGACATTCCGAACCAGAACCGCCGGAACCAGAACCGCCGACGTGTGACCCAGAGTGTTAAGACGGTCGAGCTCCGTGTCGCACATTCGGCAGCGTGGATACGGGGGTGGTCGTAGAGGAAAAGTGATAGTGCCCGGGTGTGGTGGGGCAATAGGGTGTTAAGAAGACGGCCGAAGTCCGTGTCTTCTTCCAGCGGAGGTAAGCCTGTCTATACAAACCCGGGGTTTTGGTCAAGTATATGCCTGCATATTCCAATAACTAACAAATTGGACCAACAGGGAGGTCTACGACTCTATGGTAACATGGAATTTATTACCACCTGTGTTCCTTACTACCGCGAGGTCTCTTATTTGCTCCTCTCCCCTCACGTCTCCTCTCTTGTCTTGCTCCCAACCCTTCTCAGCCAACGATACGGAGAAGACCACAACCACCACCACCACCACCACCACCACCACCACCAACCAACAACAACAACAAAAAAAAAAAACAACAATGACAACAATGCGAGTCTTCCTCCTACTGCTAGCTGCTCTCGCTAGAGTGGCTGTAGCAGGCGAGGAATATGAGGTTCATGATCCACATTCCGAACCAGAACCGCCGATGCCCGAACCAGAACCGCCGGTGTGTGACCCAGAGTGTTAAGACGGTCGAGCTCCGTGTCCTCTTCTAGCGGAGGTAAGTACAAAGACTACTAGGTAGCGTGCAAAGTAAGTAACAAGCTGATAGATTGCCGGCTTAGGATTACCACACTCTCTCCCTCCCTCCCTCTCTCTTGTACGAATCCTGTATGTCTCTCTCGGGGGTCATTTTTTCTTTTTTTTTCTTTTCTCCCTCTTTTACTACCACGGATCCTGTGTCTTTCTCGGACATCCTTCTTTACTTTGTTCTTCTTTCTTCTGGCGTGGTAGTGTCGAGGACGATACCGGCGTTGAGTTCCATCATACCGTGCCTGGAATCTCTCACGTGGGACGGGCCTGGACACGTTTGCGGAAAAGGGTTGTTTTGGGATGAGTGGGTGTTGTGATGATCGAGAAGAAAGTATGTATGAGCAGTGAATGGTGGGGATGTTGGCAAGTAAGGGGGAAGGACGGGTTTGCAGTCTGCCGAAAATTTATACCGAGCGATCGATTGACGTGGTAGGATTATGATAACGATGATGATGAGAATTATGTATCTTGCTGTTTCCCCCCCTGTACCCAAGTGCATACTGCTGATACTGATTTCATACTCAGTAGCTGGGATTTGTTTGAGCAAGTGCTGGGTCCGTTATCTGACACCCATGTCCATATAGGGGCAACGATTCTCTATGGACAATGGGCTATATCCTTCAGTTTCACGACAATGGGCCATATCCTTCACGTTATAGTAGGACATATAGGCGCAAGGCTGTCCACACTGATCGTATATCTCGGTAAAGGTATGCTATGTGCCCGGTGGACACTGTTCCGTTCGATTCCTGTGCTGCCTACCAGCCCGTATCGACGCCAAAAATCGGCAGGTGAGCATGTGATGGCACTTGCGGATCATGATTATCACTCCTGACAGACAATTGATTCCTGGTTTGATGTCAGCACAAGGATCGCAAAACCTGAAAGTATTACTTTTTACCGTGAAGAGCTAGGAAGATGGCAGCTGTAGTAAGTAGACATCCTACGACTACGAGGCAGGTTTCTTTCTGTTTCTGGGCCTATAGCTGCATAATCCAAAACACCCAGGCCTGTAAGGTAGGTAAGATACATACATGTACATACATATGTAATGTAAAATACGGTGTGGCGGTGAAGGAACTGTAAGTTAGATATATAGAACTCGTCACATTATTGCAACCCCGACTAACAGACCTAATTCTCTAGTGTTGCGCTGCCGTACGTATTTCGCGCTCTTTTTCTGTGCGCACGAGCTAAGATGTTGCAGTGTGGTTAAATGGGTCCTTAAATTCACGAGACCCACCGAGCCTGGTCGTAGCATATGGCGAATGGTCGTCGCCAGCTGCTGAATCGTGCAAGACCACCGATTGCGATCATGTTCGACACCTATCGAAGACGCCTGGTCCGACGCGTCTATATGGCCCGAAGTGCGAGAAGTGGTGGGGGAGGGAGAGGGAGAGAGAGAGAGAGAGAGAGAGAGAGAGGGAGAGAGATAGGGGAAGGGGAAGAAGAGGAAGAAGAGGAGGAGGAGGAGATATGTCTTATCACGTGCGCAGCTGTACGTTCGTTACCTACCTTATGGTCCTGTTCTTATGGTCCTGTGACCTGTCCTTAGCGATATCTCGAATGAATTTCGTTGTATCTGTCATAGCCTACCTAGGCTGTGACTGGCTGTCGCCGCTGTCAGTTCAAGACTCTCAAGACTCACTCAAGTCCAAGCTATATTATTACGCGTTATTGTCTTTAACAGACACGGTGCTACCCCCTACGCTAGGCTCCAAGCTCAGCAAGCTGAATTATGCCGAATTGCCGATTTAGATTTCCTCGTGACGTATCTCGCACGTGCTGCTCCTGCTTGATCACATCCCGGAGATCCGCAGACCAGACACACACATCATCCTCCCCATAACACCATCACCACATTCCTCCCCACCACCACCACCACCACCACCACCACCACCACCCTCCTCCTCCTCACGACCGCCAACACCACCACCACTCGACTGGTGTCCACCCAAATCCACGCACGGCACAATGGGCGCCCTGCTATCGCTGCCCCTCCTGGCTGTACCCAGCGTGGGCACCCTCCTCACCGCCGGCGCCAGTTGCTGTGGAGCGGCGACATGTTCCGCCGTATGCTCAGCCTGCGGCAAGTGTAACAACAGTGTCGCCACTCGAATCGCCTACGCCGCCATCCTCCTCCTCAACTCGCTGCTGTCGTGGGTCATGCTCACCGAATGGGCCGTCAAGAAGCTGCAAAACATTCTGCTGGATTATGTCGTGGTGGACTGCTTCGGACACGAATGCTTTGGCTTTGCCGCCGTGCATCGCATCAACTTTGCGCTGGGCCTGTTCCACTTCGTATTGGCCGTCTTGCTGATCGGTGTCAACACCTCCAAGGACACCAGAGCCGCGCTGCAGAATGGCTTCTGGGGACCCAAGATTGTCATCTGGTTGGGCCTGATTGTGCTCAGCTTCCTGATCCCAAACCGTTTCTTCGAGGTCTGGGGCAACTATGTTGCACTTGTAGGCGCCATTCTCTTCTTGCTTCTGGGACTGGTCCTGTTGGTGGATTTGGCACACTCCTTTGCAGAGTTCTGTATCGAGAAGATCGAAGACACCGATTCCGGTCTCTGGCGTGGCATTCTGATCGGTTCCACTCTGAGCATGTACTTGGGTGCCCTTGCCATGACCATTGTCATGTACGTCTTCTTCGCCAATAGCGGATGTAGCATGAACCAGGCTGCCATTACCATGAACCTCATCTTCCTGATTGGCATTAGCGTCATGTCCATTCACCCAACCATCCAAGCAAACAACCCGCGCGCTGGCCTTGCGCAGGCTGCCATTGTCTCCATCTACTGCAGCTACCTCACCCTGAGTGCGGTCGCTATGGAGCCCGATGATAAGAGCTGCAATCCTCTTGTCCGAGCTGCTGGCACTCGAAAAGCGAGCATCATCCTGGGAGCTGTAGTCACATTCATCACCTGCGCCTACACAACGACACGTGCTGCCACCTATGGTCTCGCCATGGGCGCCGCCAACAAGGGCTACGTCTCGCTGGACAATGAAGCTGACAGTCACGATCTGGTGGATACCCAGCCAGAGTCACGACGCGCCATGCGCCAGGAAGCCCTGCGTCGTGCAGTCGAGTCTGGAGCCTTGCCTGCATCGGCACTAGATGAGAGCGACGACGACGATGATGACGACGATGACTCAAAGAGCGGCAAGCACAAGAACGACGATGAAAAGCAACGTACACAGTACAACTACTCGCTGTATCACATCATCTTTATGCTCGCCACAGCATGGGTTGCCACTCTTCTGACACAAAACATTGGAAGCGATAGTACCATTGAGAAGGGCGACTTTGTGCCGGTCGGCAGAACGTACTGGGCAAGTTGGGTGAAGATTGTGTGCGCATGGGTATGTTATGGCATATTTGGCTGGACACTGGCAGCACCGATCATCATGCCTGATAGGTTTGACTACTCGTGAGATTTGTAGCGAATAGCCCTTTTTTTCTACTGTACCATTATGAGACGCACTAAAATACATCCGTAGCCGGATCCAGGACGGGAATCACAGTCTGTCCCCCATATCGACAACGCGCATATGCAAGTTGGGCATTTCCACGTGTAAACGGCGTTCAAGTCAGCGACTACTCATGCAAGTGATATGTCTCAAGCACGGTTCCTGGTTTAAGCGCCCACGCTACGTCGATCTCCACGTGATCACGTTTGAAGGATGCGGCGGGACCTCCAGTACCTGTAGTTACGCCTTTACCGCCTCGACCCTGATCAGGAGATGCGCATTTTACAGCGTTACGGTACCGAAATAGCATCGAGCTGGGACTGCACGGCTGAAAAGGGATCAACATCCCGTCACGCCTCTTTCCGACTCGCATCATAATAATCGAACTGCTCACATCTGACAGGCAGCGCCGTCATGGTGGACGCCAGCTTAATATTGACAGTGGTCTCCCTCATCATTGCAATCATTGCGTTTGTGGTTGCAACGGCACAAGCATTACTGCAGTTTGCCGGCAGCGCTGAAGGCTATCGACAATGTCGGGAACACGTGATGGGGGGATGGGGTGCGCAAACGAAAAGGGTGTTTGCCTGGGAGGAATTCCGGTTCAAGGTCATGCTCAGGACGCCAGTTCTGTTTGTCGCTCGGCCAGAAAACGATCGAGGCCCTATGGGCCCTGACCGACCGATTCACGCAATCACCGGCACGCTGGAAAGCTACGAGAACACGCACTGCAGGAAGCCCTCGCAGCAAGCCGAGGACCCCAGTGCCGGAGCTATCCGTGTGCATACTACCGATGATGAACTTGCTTCGTGGGTGATTTTGATGGAAACGCTGCACAAGGCCGAAGCGGAGGGGCGGAGCTGGGATCTCGAGCAAGCTCTGCAAGGACAGTCGAAGCCTCGTGGCCGGGTGTTGTCCACTCTGGTGGTGCAGGTGCAGGAGAAGCAACGGAGCTGGGATCAGATGCCAGATGGAGTCAAAAAACCGTTTGCCACCACGAACATTAGCCATGTGGTAGAAATTGCAGCGTTGCTTGGCTTGCAGTGGGTCAAATTCGACCAGGATACGTGGAATTTGCGAGCAGAAGGCAATGGCCTCATGTTGTTGTCGCAGCCGATCTGGGGCTTGGGCGTCAGCGTGTCGTTCTCAGTGACGGGGAAGACCACGTTCCAGGAGAAGCGCATGATCCCGTGTCGTGCTGTGAAAGCGCTCTCATTTGGAACGGTCGACACTACGTTTCCCGACTTACAGCTGAACTTTGAACCGAAGAAGGAGGCATGGGAGGATATGTATGTCACGCAGCGGACATTGAGGCGACTCAAACTGAATCGGAAGACCATGGAGCGATACTTTGATCGGAAAGAACATAGCGTTGTTCGATCCGTCAATTTCGAAATCATCGCCATGCTCGGCCAGGTCTTCCGCATTCCCGGAAGCAGCTTCAAAAGAATCCCCAATCCCACTCCCGACCCATGGCTCACCGATCTCGATCCCTGCCGCATTCACGTGGAGTTTCAAAACAACATTGCACGAATGATGCACGACGCGAACTCGTCAGCCACGGACCAGCTCCTCTGGATCCACCAGGTCTGGAACGAACGCCTGCAACCCCGGTGGAAAGAACGTGTAGAAGAGATCGATATCGACATGCGGAACGCGGTCCAAGCAGTCCTGGAACAATGCGACACCTATCTCCACACGTGCGGCGAGCCCAGTGTCATATTTGTCGTGGGCGCTCACGTGTCTGCCGTTCTGGAAGAAATCAACGATCCCCAATCCTTTCTCCATTCTCGAGAATGCGATACCGAAGCAGAAATTTGGAGTCACTATTTTGAGCACATTTGGGCAAAAGTCCATGCCTTTCCCGGAGTGTCTGTCGCAGAGGAGAAGATGAAGGAGAAGAAGATGGCAATGATCTCTTCTTCTGTACCGAGTGCAGCTAAGCTGAGGCAGGATATGTGGTTGACGTTGATGTGTCGGATGAGTTTGTGGTGGTTGTTGCATGACTTTGATGAAAGGGATACGTTGATTATCCCGACCACGGTGAAGGAAAGCAGGATGCCCGTTTACATACTATGATTTGCCCATGAAACATGTGCAGGAACTACTCGTTGTGGGAATGCTCACACCACCACCACCACCACCACTACTACTGTCACAGCGGAGTTGATATTCCCGGTCTGGCTGTTTCCAGTGGACGTGGTCTTTTATTGAGACCGATTCAGTAGAAGCGTCATGAAGATTTTGGATTAGTGACTACTTCTCCTGTTGCGAACAAGACTATAAACGGGCGATCCGAAGCATGAAATTTCTCGTTGAACTCAATGATGCATGATAGTAGTGCTGTAAATTCCTCTTCTGCGTCACAAAACAATGACAAAAGCAGTGTTTCTCACCGAGGTGTCCCACAACAGCGACGACTACACCACTGGGAAAGAATGCCAGCCAGACCGGCTGTTCCCGAGCATGCTCACACCCCCTCCCTTGCCCCCTCCCCACACTCTTCGCTTTCTTCCCCTTCATAACCACCACCATCACCAACAGAGACCGTTCTGCTTACAAGGCAGCCAGGACAGCCATTCCGAGCGCGCCGAGGGCAGCGCCGGCAGCAATCGGCATTTGTGTGGGGGCCAGGCCTCCCGAAGTCGACGTGCCGCTGGCAGCAGTGCCCGAGGCAGAGGCGCTCGAAGCGAGCCTGCTGAGAGTGCCAGACGCAGAGCTGGCGACGTTGGAGAGCGTGCTCGCGACACCGGCACGAGTGGAAGCCGCCTCGGTGATGCTGGCAATGGCCTCGGTGATGGACGAGCGGACACCGCCCGTGGCCGTGGCGGCAATGCTCGAGAGGGAGCCGAGAGCGGCCGAAGCGGAGGCCTGGGCGTCCAAGACCGAGGTCAGAGCGGCGTCAATGATGGAGGACTGGGCGCCCATGGCACTGGTGGCAGCAGCGTAGGCGGCCGAGTTGTACGACGCCAGTTGGTCGGGAGAGTAGTTGGGGTCAGCCGTGGCGGCGGCAGCAGCAGAGACGACCTCGGCCGAGATGGAGGCCACCTGTGGTTGTTGGTGTCGCGGTCAGAACTCGCTTGCTTTTCACGCCGACTACAAGTAGGACTACTACTCCTGCTCACGAAGTAGACATACCTGGGCAGCGACCGAGGCGGCGATCGAATCTTCAGTGTTGTTGTTGTTGTTCGAGTCTTGAGCAAAGACCATGGCGCTCAGGCCGAGGATGATTACGGAAGCCTTCATGATGTCTGGTGGGAATGCGTTCTGCCGGGAGATGAATATGATGGTATGGTACAGTATGTAGTTCGAATGTAATGGTATGGCGATGGTATACTGGAGACGGGAGCAGTGCAGAGGTGAACGAGTGACGGGAAGGATACAATGGCTGCGTAGGGAGCGTACGATAGCGTAGGAAAGAGAGAGAGAGGGAGAGACAGAACGAGGCCGCGCGAGTGGTGGTCGCTGCTACCTACTTATTCAACCCGAGAGGTACCTCTTCCCAGGTACTACTGGACAGTCTGGAACAAAGTACTGTATGTACCTTACCTTATTACCAATAGTGAAGAGGGAGCAAAAAAAAAAAAATAGGTGGACAGCGCATGCTTGACACACGCTGGCACAGAAGAGTAAACAAGAAACGGGCCCTATTGCTGCATACGGCATGGCGGCAGTCATCCGAGACTGATGATTGGATCTGCTCCGACTCTTCTCCCGCCTGGCTTTAGCACTTGCACGCCAAGCCAATTTCCGCACGGCGCATCCCCTCAAAAGTCTCCCAGAGGACCAAGACGAACAGGGGGAAAGGGGGCCAACTCTCTGCATCTGCGTCCATCATGTGCCCATCGGCCCGCTAGTCGGCTGCAGGCCTGCAGCACATCGGTGGGACCGCACATGTGCTATTTCGGGATTCGGAATGTCAGACACTCTCTCTACGCTACCAACAATAGAGCACATCCGAGCGGGCCATGTCACCCACCCAAATGTTCGGCACAAATCCAGATCAGTCCGCATCGCCATCGCGGGCCAGAAGATGTGAAAGCGTGAAATGCGTGTGCGCTCAATCCAGAACAATGACCTCCTGGTGCGGTGGCGGACACGCGCCTCGCATCGCAGACGGATTGCTCGCCTTCGCAGCAGATAACTTGCTCAGCAGTCCCCGTTCCCGTTTCTGTCGCAGTGTGGAAGCACCCGCTGAATCGTCACGTGCGTGTGAGATTATGCATGTCGATGTGGAGCTGGACGCACTCGCAGCGGACACCGCGGCTCTCTCGTCCACCATTTGCGGTGCAAGAGACGAGTGCCACTGGCAAGGACGAGGAGTCTTCGTGTCCTGTACACTGGAAATCTCCTCCTCGTCGGAGTCATCATCGTCCTCGAGATCTATGATGTTGATCGTGCGGAGCGATCCAAAGTCGGGCGTCTCGAGACGGCGGAAACGTGCAGGCGGGCTCGGCGGCGCTGCGACTTCACTGGTCTGGGACTTTCGTGACTTCTTGACAGGCTTGCCCTGCCTAGTGCCATCTGTAGTCTTCCGTATACGCTTCTTGCTGGTCAGAGGCCGTGAGGGATCCGTGTCGCCCACATTGCCCATGGCCTCCGAATCCATCGACGTGGGCTGCTTCCTCGGCTTCCGTGAGCTGCTCGTTCTCGAGCTCTGCGGGGGGCCATGATGAGGAGTGAGAGTCGGTGTTTCCAGATCCTCAGCAGCATCATCGTCATCACGCTGCTTCTTGTTCGGCGAGGGCTGTGATTTGTCGAGAGCACCTTCGGGAAGACCGTGCGTGAGGAAAAAGCTCAGCATGACGGAGTCCAATGGCTTCGTGGGATCGTACGGGACGCCATCGTTCTTCACGGTACTGCTCCAGTCTTCCCCGGGCGGCTCCGTAGAAAGGTCAATGTCGACTACCAATGCAGCATGGAACTTGATGTTCACCTGTGCCGGCACGCCGAGATCGGTGCCATCTTTCGCTTTCCTGCTCCGAGTACGCCTCAGTAGAATACCGTAGGAGCGATTCTCCTCACGCCGGGCGGGCGTGACGTCTCGACTCAGTTTTCGCGCCAACATCACGGGGGCCAGATGATTGAGGTAATCACGTGTCGAGAAGTTGTAATGATCACGTAGGACATCCCGAAGCTTCGACTGGTCCATCTGCCTCTCGCGCCACTCCCAGCCACCGCGAAGAAGCCTCAGGTTGCGACATTGCTCATCGGGGGAGACGACAGGGTTTCGATATCCGTTCAGCGCCTTAAGGTTGGGAAAGTCGGCGGGGATGCTGAGGCCACTACCGGAGTTCGCGAGGACGACAGACAGCATGTCCCGCCACGACTCAAGCTGTGCCCTCTCCGCGCTCACCACGAGCCTTCGAGCAAGACCATGCTTTCTCTGCACTACCATCCGAGCCGTCTGGGGCCCGCAGCCGCGCAGACCTTTGTCGTCGTAGTCTCCGCCCGCCAGCACGGCAAACATGACCAGACTGTCAGTGTCGAAATCGAAGCGCGGGAGCAGAATGTCGGAGCGGTATAGCTGAATGCGGTCCCAGTCCTTCTTGCCGGACGAGCTTCGGTGGGCCATGATCAAGGTGGTACAGCCAAACATGAGGCAGTCGCTGTCGTCGGACCATACGGCATCGACGACATTGAGTTGCTGGAGCCGCGCACACTCGGCTTCGGCCTCTCCCGGTGCGCGGTGATAGGGGACGTTCAAGCTGTCGAACATCTTGTGCAGCATTTTGACACACTCGGCATCGAGCATCCCACCTCCCCCGCGGCCGCCCGGCCTGCCCCATCGCTTCTTGCCGGGCCTCCGCAAGCCATCGGTGACGAACAGCAGCTGGATGTTCAATCGCCAGTATCGCAAGATGCGCCACAAGATGACCTTTTCGACGGGATTGGCAGCAGGCTCGCCCTCGCGAATCTTGCGGACCTGTGTATATAAACATTAGAATCTGAGTAACTGAGTTGAGTGTCGTGCATGTGCATGGCAGCCATTGAACCGGAAGACTCGCCTGTTCATCGGTCAGGTTATTGAAACGCCAGCAGGCTTCATCGACGGCAATGCGCAGCGGTCGGTGGTGTTTTGCAAAATGCGCGGCGGCGTAGTCGGCAATGGCCCATTCTTCGCCTTGGCCCAGCACATCCCAGAGGCTGATCGCATCATTATGTCAGCTGAGTGCATGTATAACGTAAGGTACAGTAAGGTCAGGTCAGGTAGGTAGATGTATGTTTCCGGGTGGTGGAGGAGTCGGATGTCTTACCCGTTGATGCCCATGGCCGATTTACCCGATTCCACGGGACCACTACCTACATGGAAGGTACCTTGGTAGTACAGAAGCAGCAGGAGCAGCAGCAGGAGCAGGAGCAAGAGCAAGAGCAAGAACAATGGAAGCAATTGATTAATTGAATGGAAGGAACAAAAAGGGCGCGCAGATGAGCAGGTGTAGGAGGTAGGGCAGCCAGAGCAAGGAACGGAACCTACCAGATAGCCTGGCAACCTGGTTGAGTGGAAAGGAAGGCACGAAACTCAAACTGGCGCAGCCCTCTCTCTCTCTCCCGATGTGACCTGTCAATGTCAATCAATGTCCGCCGGTCCCCGACACCCGCACTCCGCACTCCGCCCACCACTCCATCTCGTCGCATCTCCTCCCTCTTCCCCGCGCCCTCCTCACCACGGAGAGGACAAGATCAAGTCTGGTATATATCGCCACGTCGAGAAGGCCAAATCACTGCGTATCGACGGGACGCAGAGGATGGAGATGACTGCACCGCTCCGCTCCGCCCCGCCCTGGGAGCACCCACCCGCACGCACGTGGTCCATCCGGACTGGTATGGAACATGCCATATGCACTCTCCTTTTCCGCACAACGTGTATGGGAATATGGAGGTGAAGTAGGAGGGGAGGGGAGGGGAGATAAAAGAGATCGGAGAAGGAAGAAGGAGATATGGAGGTACCTCCTAAATGCAGGCGATAAGCGGCCGGCAGAGAGGTGCCGAAGAGGGTGGGTACTGGATCTTGATGGGCGAGCGGGAAGTTGATTGGAAAGCCACGCGACTATCGATGTGATCGGCGCTGAAAAAGAACAGACGAGACGTCGGACTAGACACGCTAGTGCCATCAACACGTCAACACGTCACCAGCGGCAGGCCTGACTGGCTGCTTCTTGCCATTTTCATGCCGCAATGCCGAGTGAGCTGCTGCTACTGCTGCACCGCCATTCCTCACTCTTCTCCATCCTCATGATGGCGGAACCACTCGCTCACCGGCTCTGCTACATCGGCACTGCTTTCGTTCACGCATCATGCCTTCTCCCCGACGTGTCGCCGATGTCGAGAGCACGGAAGAAGAACTAGAACAAGAAGAAGCAGAAGAAGACGAAGAAGAGGAGGAAGAAGAAGAGGAAGAAGAAGAAGTGGAAGAAAAGCGAGCCGACAGACACCTCCCGAGCCCCGATGAGAAAGGCTACACCAGCACTGGCACCGATGTCGATGGGGAGAAGCACGAGCAAGGAGCAGAAGAAGCCGCTCCTGCAGAGCCTGTCCGACCGACTCGAACGCGTTCACGTTCGCGAGGAACCTCCACATCTCACTCTCGCTTCCCATCGCAGCCCCCACTGCAGCGCCTGGCCTCGCATCTATCCTTCCGACGCCGTCGCAGCCAGCCTGGAGAAGCTGCATATCAGGTACACTTTGTCGAAAATGACCCCGCCAATCCGCGATCGTGGAGCCCGCGCTACAAAACCTGGATTACCATGCAGCTCGGCTTCATCGCACTCGTGGGATCCATCGGGAGCTCCATTATATCGCCCGCAGAGCCCGTCATCGCGGAATATACGGGAGTGAGCCAGGAAATCACCGTCTTCGTGGTGGCCCTCTACGTGCTCGGCTTCGCATTTGGTCCCATGGCATGGGCCCCCATCTCCGAAGTCTATGGTCGGAGGTGGTCCATCTTACCTGCCATCGCTGTGCTCGGCCTCTTTAGCATCGGCACCGCGACGAGCAAGAATGCCGCGAGCATTTTCATCACCCGCTTTTTTGGCGGTGTCTTTGGGAGTGCGCCCATTGCGAACGTCTCTGCCGCCCTCGGAGACATGTACGAACCCAAGGCGCGAGGCATCGCCATCACCTTCTACGCGGTCATGGTCGTCGGGGGACCCACGCTGGGCCCCATTGTGGGTGCTGCCCTGACCAACAACGCGAGTCTCGGCTGGAGGTGGACCGAGTATCTGCTCGCCATCTATGCCGGATTCATGGTCATCCTCGCCTTCTTTTGCTTGCCCGAGCTGTACAGCCCCGTGATCCTGAAGCGCAAAGCCGTCCAGCTCCGCAACGATACCGGCGATCAACGATATTGGCACCCTCACGAAGCTGAGAGAATGACGTGGAGCAACATCTTCACCAAGTACTTTTCTCGCCCCGTTCGCATGTTGGTGACCGAGCCGATGGTCGCTTGTATCGCATGCTACGCGTCGTATGTATACGGCATCCTCTACATGACGTTGGAGGTCTTTCCCATTGTGTTTCGAGAGAAACGGGGCTACGGCGCCGTCGTGTCGACGCTGCCCTTCCTCGGTGTGTATTCACTGCTCCGGTGCTTGTTTCCGAGTGACGGATTGCTAACGGACCATCAGGTCTCTTTGTTGGCGTGCTGTGCGCAGTGGGCATCAATCTGGCCAATCAATCTTACTACGGCAAAGCTGTCGCCAAGAACAATGGCCGTGCTGCACCGGAAGCTCGACTGCCGCCCATGCTCGTCGGTGGATGCCTCTTCACCATCGGTCTGTTTTGGTTCGGATGGACGGCAGATCCCAAATATCACTGGAGCATACCGACCGTTGCCGCGGGTTTCATTGGCGCGGGCTTCAACACCATCTTCCAGCAGTGTATCAATTACCTGGTCGACACATACGGCTTATACGCTGCATCCGCGGTATCCGCCAATACGTTCCTGAGATCCCTCATTGCTTGTGGTCTGCCGCTTGCTGCAAAGCCCATGTTCAATACACTGGGAGTGGGACCTGCTGCGAGTGTGCTGGGTGGGATTTCTTGTCTGGCACTTCCCGTTCCGTGAGCATCACACATCCTCTGCGCATTCGCGCTTGCACCGTACTGATGGGTGAAATAGGCTTATCTTCATGAAGATCGGATCCCGCCTCCGTCAAAAGTCCAAGTTTGCCCCGACGCCCAAGGACTGAGAATGCATCCGTCAGTAGGCATCGCTGTGATCTGGTCCTTGTCCTGTGCGTCGATGTCAGCTGTCGCTCTACGCGCCGTTCGGCTCACCACTCTGACACTGTCAGCGAACCGGCCGGCTACACTAGGTATTCGACGACCCCTTATCGGTCCCGAGAGTGAAATCATCCCGTACTTGTCACTTTCGTCCAAATTCTGCCATTCGCCGTAATCAAGCCATGTGCATCGATTGATCCATGTCGAAAGGCCTGGCATTGCAGCTGCGAACTTTTCAACATGGACCGGCAATACGTATGCTTGCACAGCGCTCCAAGAGCAGACCTACCATGAGATGAGACACATGTCGGCGGCTTAGCCGGAGGTGGTGGTTGCAGCTGATCGCTCAGTAATGCTTTGCCGGACCTGTCGGACTCACCATTCTGCTTTCACAGTCAATGAAGACGTTTGAAACTGCAGTGAGCTGGTTCGATTCGGGCTCTCGCTCGGCCGTGGCGAATAGCTTCGACAAGGAAGCCAGCACTGTCAAGGAGTTGAAGACCCTGCAATTCTATTGTGTAGCAAGAAAGAGGTGTCTTTCAGACGCAAAGCGCCAACTTGCTTCTGGGTCTGGTTATAGATCAGCTAGAAATACACTATCCGAATATCGATCAATATATGCCAAAGCACTTCGTAGCTGGCCTTTCCTACACTTGAGAAGCTATTGCAATGAAGAAAAGATGCAGCGCTTAGTCTGAAGCTCATGCTTTGTGCATTCGTGTACCGTCTTCGATCAGTAATATCCCATCGGCATTCTCGTCACTTGTCTTCATCGAGCTCAAGACCATGGGTGGTGGCGCTGCAGAGAAGTCATCCCTCGACACATGGCTACACTTGCCATAGTAGCTACATTCGCGGCAGGTTTGGAAAGGACTGTCGACTTTTCTTGATATAGCGCTGTGGTGATGATACGGATGAATGGTGAGGACACTTGTGGTCGAGGGTGAAGATGGAAGAGAAGGCCAAGCAAAGGCTCACTTGGCCGATTGGTGGGCTGCCGACAAGGCACAACAACCTCATCACGACTATCAACATCTTGCCCGAGCCGATTATTATTATATATATAGGTAGCGCAGTAATTGTATTTCTCAATGTAGCATGATCTTTGAATCCTCCATTATACATCATACTAGGTACTGTGTCATTTAAGTACAGTTCCCGAGTCCTTGTAAAACCACTCCGCTCTCACTAACAACACCACACCATGGCTGACTCCTCCGAGTTGCGAAAAGACTCCAAGATAGTCATCATAGGGGCCGGTGTCTTTGGCCTGAGTACCACTCTCCATCTCCTCCAACGAGGCTACACCAACATCCACCTCTTCGACCGGCAACTCTTTGACCAGAATCACTACGATGAAACGAAAGGAGCCGATGGTGCCTCGTGCGATGTCAACAAAATCGTGCGAGCTTCCTATGGCAGCGCGAAACTGTTTCAAGACTTGGCTTTTAAAGCCATGCCCGAGTGGAAGAAGTGGAACACTCAACTTGCTGCTACCTCCAAGGAAGACTTGCCCACCAGTCTGGATCCCAACATCCCCCTCTGGCATAACTGTGGCTTTCTCCGGATAGGCTCCTCCCCCCATGGGCTGGAGTCAGAGGAGCAAGAGACGCAACAGAACTTCCCCTCTGACCTGAAACATACACAATATCGTATCTCTGACCACAGGCGGATCGAGGAAGCAGTCCGAGCCGGTATCCCCTTTTCCAAGCTCCATCCCTTTGGCCGGCTGGAGCGAGGACTGCCCACAGACGGTATTCTCGACACGACCGCGGGCTTTGTTCTGGCTTCACGTGCCTGTGCTTGGGCATTGCATCTAGTTCTCCAGTCGGGACATGTCATCCCACACTTGGGACCAGACAATGCCCTGCAGTCCTTCATGACGACTGGCAATCGTATCACTGCTATCGTGACTTCTGGTCTGGAGAGACATCAGGCCGACTTTGTCGTCGTCGCTTGTGGCGGTTGGACGCCGTCTCTGATACCACAAGTGGATCGTCTTCTGGAAACAACTTCGGGGAGTGTGCTCAGCGTGCAATTGCCACACGACAGGCACGATCTGTGGGACAAATATAGTGAAGAGAACTTTCCTGTCTGGTCGTGGAATATGGGATCGTACACTCCTCATACAAGTGTCGGAGGCCTCTATGGCCTTCCTCGAACGCCAGAAGGAGTAGTCAAAGTCGCATTCCGAGGGGCGAAGTGGACCTCGTACACTCGCCACTCAAGCAGTGGTGGTGGTGGTGGTCAGCTGCTGTCATTTCCCCAGACCGACGCTGTCACAGTGCCCGCAGAAGCAATGCGCGTGATACGCACTTTCGTTGAAGAAAACCTCCCCGATCTGCTCGATTTAGATCTGAACAATATCAGACTATGCTGGTACACCGATAGTGTGGACAATACCTTTCTGATCGATCATGTACCCGACGTGGAAGGCCTGCTGGTCGCTTCCGGCGGCAGTGGGCACGGATTCAAGTTTCTGCCCGTGCTCGGTGAGCATATTGTCGACGTGATGGAGAACAAGGACACGGAATATAGCAGGCTATTCCAGTGGCGAGACGTGCCAGATGGTCAGCGAAACGGGCTCGAAGATGGGCCCCAAGGATGGCGCACGCTCGATAAACAGAGAATGGCCGGCAATAAGGAGTGGCGAGAGGGCCTGGAGGCAAGAAGCAGCAGGCTGTGAGGTCTCCACTCCCGCGTAGAGAGAGAGAGGGAGAGAGAGAGAGAGAGAGAGAGAGACGGGGTTGCCCTGGCCATGATCTTCTTGTTCACACCAAGTAAGTGGCAAGACATCCACCATATCGTGTCATCGTCTCTGGCTACAACATGATGAGGTAGACCAGTCTGAGCTGCCTACTGATCTTGTCTGCTCCGGCTATGATCTCACTCTGCGATCAATGCGTCCTCCCCACACCGGATATGCCACTCATCGAAGACGACGGTGTCGAGGCACTTGTATCAGCCGCACTCATCCCAACTTCATCCATAGCCTCGACCAAGCTCCTCAACGCCGGATGGTTCCCCACCAGGCTTCCATCCTCCACAGCGAGCTTCAACTCCTCGGCCATGAGCAGTAGAGCTTCAAGTTCCTCCATTCGCGAGGCTTCGAGACGTCTGGTGATGTCAGTACATGTGCAAGCAGCAAAGTCGGGGGATATTGAAAATCAAAGAAAGAAAAAGAAGAGAAAAAAGAAAAACAGGGAGAAAAAGATGTACCTGACTTCATCATCCATAGCCTTGATCTTCCTGTTTTGAAAGAACTTTGGATCATACCATCCTTCGAATTGGGAATGTTCTTCCTGTTCCCCGTCGACCATGGTACCTTGCGAGAGGGTCAGCAGTCGTTGTAAGTCATCACCCAGTACCATCATGTCATCGTTGCCAGTAATAGAAGCACCATTGAAAGCGCCATACGCCGAAGCCAGGGCTTGAAACCGCAATGGTAGGGTCTCCAGGACATAAATCAACGCCGTCGACTTCTGCGTCTGCTTCTGCTTGTGCTCCTGCTGTTCCTCGTCATTTCCCGTTTCCGCAGCATCGGTACCATCACCGCTACTGCCAACAGCGCTGTGAGGAGAAGTTGCCACGGAGACCTCGACATGACCGTTGCTGCTCAGACGTTGCTGCGACACTGTGGCAATGTAGTGAGCCCAGTATGTTACTTCAGACGTGATGATGTCGCTCAGGATCTCCAGTGTCGCTTTTGCGTCGACGTTGGAGCTAAAGGCAGCGGCAGAAGCAGAAGGAGAGCGTTCCTCTGTTGTTGTAGAAGGTGGCGGAAATACAGCAGAACTACGAGCACTCTTGTTTTGGCGAGAGACGATCCTCTCCCGCTGGGAGTGCGAGTGTGGTGCTAGTGGTGGTGGCGACGTTAACGGCAAAGGCGACTTTAACGCCAAAGACAGAGCTGACTTGCGCTTCGATCTGGCGGTAGGAACTGGAGTGGTCTCCGACTCTGAATCCGATTCAGAGGTCGAGGGCGACCGCGTCTGTGATCTGTCACTTGGAGGAGGGGCTTTTGGCTTGACTGTATGAGTGTTCGCTCGTGTCCGAGATATTGGTGCCGTCGAGTCCTGAGCTTTTGACTTGGAAGGAAGAAGCGATCGTGAAGCTGGCGTCGCAGGCACGCTCTCAGTGTTGGCTACCTTTAGCGGCGTGGTAAGAGAGAAAGCGGGCATGACGACGTTTGTGAACGGAGAGATGCTGTCTTCTTGTAGGCCATTTGATTGTGAGAAGTGATTATACGAGATAGGAAGCAGTGCAATATGAGAAGTGAAGTTTACGAGTCGTGGGGCACAACGAAGCCCTATCCAAAATTGTGAAGTGAGGCAACAAGTTCACTGCGCTCTTTTCCATTGTCATGGGCTAGCATACCTAGCCCAAGGTAATATCAGTTTCTTCCGCTGGGGCAAGGCATGTGAGCAGATGACATGACCTTCTGGTGAGATGATTTCGTCTACTATGGTGTCAGCCAGGCTGCAGAAAAAGACGTAGTAGTGCTATATTGGGGTATTGTGCAATAACTAGCAATCATTCAATCAGTCGAAACAGCCACAACTCTGGTGAAAGAGAAAGGGGGCCTTTTCCTTTGGTCACACCAACTTTTGGTCATCATTCCTCATCATCTCCGTTCTCGCATCAGCACCATTACCTTATTGCGCGGCTCCCTGCACACTGTCGACTTTGGAAATCGAGTCCGCACCACTGTCACTTCCTATCCTCGCTTTCTTCCGCGCAGGTCCCTCTTCTGCCGTTTGTTCTTCTTCTGCTCCTGCTTTGTCCCCTCCATTCGATAAATGTTGCTGTTGCATCTCGTCAACCACCCTCTGTAAATCAGCTGCTCGAGCCAGGGCAGCAGCCAATGCCGCAGTCAGCCGTTGTGCTTCCTCTTCCCGAGCATTCTCCCTCTGTCTGTATTCCTGCTCGTTGTGCTCTAGCTCCGATACTCTTCCCCGGAACAAGTCATTGATCACTTCCAACTCACTCACACGTGTGCGAAGAGTCTCGTTCTGCGCGAGAACATCTTGATGTTGTTGCTGTTGCTGTTGTTGCTGCGTGCTGGATTGACTAGTGTGGTGTCCATTACTGCTCTGGGCATTGGCTTGGGAAGGGCTGGGTTGTCGCAGTGGAAAGTGGGGTATTGAAGGGCTGGCGAAAGTGTCGGAGGGCAGAGAGACGGTGTCGAAGATGTGTTGAGGGGCGATATTGGTATGCTGCTGATGCAGGACGGGAGTCTGACTCCTGGCTATGGGGTTCGGTGAGGCTGCTCGGGCGTGCTGCTGCTCGTGCATGGCGCTACCCATGGGCAGACTGTGCTGATGTCCAGGCGGGGCAGCGTGCTGCAGGTGAGCGACTTCGGCATGGCCAGCAGAGTAGCCATTGCCCAAGTGCGGAAGTGCGGTCGCGTCTGCGCCTTGACTGTCTCGCTTCTTCGCCTGAGACGCTTTGACACGGTTTCGGCTTTTGATTACATCTGTCTTCAAGCTGATTGGTCGAGGGCGGCCGTGTAGCTTCAGGAACAGTCCGCATGCATTGCACAAGACGGAGCCGGATTCATCTCGTCGCCAGAGAGGTGTCGTCGAGGTCTGGCAGTTGGCGCATATGGGAGGCTGCTGACATGTCAGTTGCTGCTACTCTATCTCGTCATCTCGACTGTGGCGTCGGTGTCGTCGATGGTGGTGGTGGTGGTGGTGGTGGTGATTTGAGTTGTGGGAGCGTGTATCATGGCATTTCGCGCGGAACGCGAGATATCGATAGCGATAAGGAAAAGGCGCGCAGCTCAGTGGGAAAGTAGCAGTAGGTGCACACACACACGTGCTGGCGACCGTGACAGCGACTTACCGCGGAGCCGTTTTGATTGCCATAGCCAGCAGTAGCAGCAGGAGCACTTTGGCCCTGGCTCTGGCTCATGGCGGCGGTGCTGTTGGGGGTGGAGGAGCGGGTACTGCAAGCAGAAGGGAAAGTTAGTTCGCGCCTGTCTGGCCTTGGCCGAGCGAGCGAGTGTCTGAGAGATAAGCCCGCTCACATCCTGGTCGTCGATAAAGCGTTCGGCCGGTCGCCGCCCCGACAGACAGACGGACGGACGGACAGACAGACAGACAGACAGGGACACTCACCTCGCGCCGCTGTGGTGCGGTGTGTTCTTGTGCTCGTGGACAATGGGAGCAGGCGCACTGGCTGCGGCCAGTGAAGCCAATGTCGCTAATGATATGTCCGATCCTCCTCCTCCTCCTCCTCCTCCCCCTCCTCCGCCCGCCCCTCTGCTCCCACTGCTGAACGATTGTTGTCGCGGGTGATGAGCTGAATGTACCGAGATTGTCGAGGGTGGTCGGGCAATGGCGTACCCGTTGCTGCTGTGGGTGCTCGAGGTGTCGGGGTGCGATGCTGCGCTCGAGGGTCGCGGAGGGTCTGCAAACACCGATGCACGTCTCTGGAATGGCTGCGGCGCGTTTGGTTGCGCGTATTGAAGCATTGAATTGTTGTGTCGAGTGTGTCGCCCTCATAGGCGTGGGCGGAGCGTGGGATGCGTGGTGGGTTTGTTCTAGGAATGGCTATCGTGGTCGCGTACAGTGAGATGGGATTAGGATTACAGCCATGTGCGAACAGCAATCGATTGCCCGGCGCCCGCTCGATTGTCTCGTCCAGGCCGCAGGAGAGAGCGAGCGAGAGAGTGTGTGTATGTGTGTATGCGTGTATATGTGTGAGTGTGTGAGTGTGTGTGTGAGAGAGAGGGAGAGAGAGAGAGAGGAAAAGTGAGTGGATGAGGGTTGGAAACATGGAACGTATCGATAGCTCTCATCCACAAGTCGGAAATATCTCCTACCTCCTAGGCTCCTACTACAAACGCTCAATAGGAGAAGCTCGCACACAGTTTGAGATAAGATAAGTAAGGGCCCGTTCGCTTGTTCCTTATAGCTTCTAGCTAGAAGCTGACGCTACGTAAACTCTCGCTCTTGAATGTAGGTCGTTATAGCTAAACCTATAAGCCGGGGGTGTTCGCTTGTGCTCTTATAACTTATTCAGCTTATACGCAGAGTTCTGGACTATACTATATATAGCGTAGGCCGCCGCTACAGCCGCTACCGCTACCGTCGCCGCTTCCGTCCGTCTCTGCCGCTCCCGCTTTATCTCTCTATAGAGAGATAGCTACTACTATCCTTCCTTGCCCTATATACTTAACTATCTTATTACCTTCAAGTCTATTAACTACCGTAGCCTCGAAAATCTTAAGCATTGCCTCTAGCGACTCGACGACGTACCGTCTAATCGGCCTATCCCTTATATATACTATTGCCCTCTACCTTAAAGTATAGCTCCTAAGAAGAAATTAAACTACCGCTATACCCTAAAGTACGATAATCCTTGTCGTTCCTCTCGTTATATCTTCTTTAGCTACTCTACCTATAGAATAGATATACTAGTGTCCTTAGAGTTTTATTACTAGTATACAATACTATTAGTTAGAGGCATTGCTTATACTATATAATTGGTATTAGCTAGTATAAAGAAATAACCGTAGGATATTAGCTCTTTGATATTGTAAGGCCGGCTTTATTACTAACTATACCGATACCCTAGGTATAACGCTATATCGTTAGCGATCGTTAGCGTTTTTAAAACAGAGTATACTCTAGGTAACGAGAAGGACAGAGGTTTCTTCTATTAGTAGGACGTCTAGGAATTCCCTTAATAGCCTAACGGCTACTAGCTATACTAAGCAGTCGTTATTATACTAGACCAACGCTATTGCTATACGCGCTGTCTATACAAGGGCAACGGCTATAGTATATAGTATATAGTAGGTAGTATATAGTAGGTAGTAGGTAGTATATAGTATATAGTAGGTAGTAGGTAGTAGGTAGTATATAGTAGGTAGTAGGTAGTAGGTAGTAGGTAGTATATAGTAGGTAGTAGGTAGTAGGTAGTATATAGTATATAGTGTATAGTGTATAGTATATAGTGTATAGTGTAGTAAGGTATATAGTATAGTAAAGTAAGGTTATAGCGAGTATCTCTATAGAAGTAGAGGGATATATAGCTGCTACAGGTCAATACGAAGAGACAATAGCGATACTATAAGACAATAAGCGAGATAAAAATACTATAAGTAAACAATAGTTCCTTTTAAGTATAGAGAAAACCCCCTTTGTCGTAAATCGATCGATAAAGTATTATTTCTTATAGTATAATAGAGGAACCTAGGCACTATTGTTTTCCTATATTATACGCGCGAATCGTATAATTAAAATAGTCTACTTACTATCTCGTTAGGTCGACGACAACTTGTAATATATATATATTTCTCTCTTTTCGAGGTCGATCGATCGATATAGTAAAATATTAGGTACGAGAATAGAGGAACCTAGGCAGTATTATTTTCCTATGTTGTACGCGCGAATCGTACGATCAAAATAGTCTACTTACTATCTCGCTAGGTTAACAACAACTTGAAAAATATATATATTTCTCTAGTTTAGGTCGAGTGAAGTATAGATTTTGATTGGAATCTAGTTATTCTCGGTTGTTTATAGGCCTAGACTTAGACACCTATAGTATTCTATATATATAATTCTATCTACCTAAGATAGATACTATCGAGAGCAATATTCTAACTATATTCTTACTATTAATATCTTTACTTACCCTCGTCGGGGTTGTTTAGAGTTAAAGTTCGTATATCCTTAGCAGTATATACCTCCTACTATAAACGTAGAATATACGCTATTCGTAGTATCTTTAGGGGTTTATACTATACCTTCGGGGGTAGGTTTAAGCTTTATAGGTATTAGGTATACGCTGGTTTTCGTTATAAAAGTTGTAGTAGTTTTTATACTAGTATTTACGTACGTATCTACATACTCTATACGCTTATATACGCGCTTATATATACGTTCATTTGTACGTTTCTTCGGACGTACTTAGTAGTATTCGTCGTAAAAGTAGTAGCAATTGCTATTCTTCCTTCGTTTGTTAATTTGTTCGTTTATTCGTTAATTAATACGAATAGACGATAGTAATATAGGTATCTACTATATATATTATTAACTTAGGAATTGTATCCTTTGTCTTCCTTTCTTTATCGATAATACTAATACTAATACTAATACCAATACTAGTACTATACCTCCTATAGCTATATAAGTTATCCTAAATTCTACTTATAGTATATTCGTAGTATACTAAAAGGTACAGTTTCGCCGCTAACTCTACCGCTATTACTACCTCTACTATACTTGTATCCGCTGCCTCCGCCGCCGTTACTACCTCTACTATACTTGTATCCGCTGCCTCTGCCTCCGCCGCCGCTACTACTACTAAGGCCGTTGCCCTTAAAGAGAGGGTAGCTATCCTTGAACGTCGCCTCGAATATAAGACAAGTAATACGAACTCTCTTCGTACAGCCCTATCGATATTAAAGAAAGAGTTCTACGAGTACCTTACAAAGCTCGAAGATAACGACGACAACGATAGCGACGACGATAATAGCGACGACGACGATAGCGACGACGGCGATAGCGATAGCGACGACGACGTTAGCGACGACGTTAACGACGATAACGACGGCTATAATAATAGCAACGCTATCGAAGAAGATATTAAGATAGTCTTTAACGACGAAGATATTAAGATAGTCGTTAATAACGAAGATATTAAGATAATGCCTTCGTTCTTGTAGCAATTCAGATAGTTATTTAGACGGTTATTCAGATAGTTATTCGGACGGTTATTTAGACGGTTATTCGGACGGTTATTCGGTATTAGTATCGTTAATCTAGAGACGATAATTAGCTTGCATTCGGTTCTATAGTATATTTTATACTCTACCTCCTTTTATATCCTACCGAGGATTAGAGTTCTTAATGTCTATCCTTCTGTTCTACGAGTCTATAGATATAGACGTTAATAGTATACTTAATAGTAGCGACGAAGTCGCGAGCTATAACGGTACTCTCGATTTTAATACTAGTTTCGGTACTAACTTTAGGGCCGAATTCGACTTAATAGATTTATTTAACGTAACGGGAGAGTCGGGAGATACACTATATAGCAACTAGTCTATATTACTACTAAGAGAATTAGTACCGCCTATACCTCCTCCGCCTATACCTCCTCCGCCTATACCTCCTCCGTATATACCTCCTCTGCCTATACCGCTATCGCTACTATCGACGATAATAACGAAACGAGCGTCTCTAACCCCTTCTAACTCTATTAGTTAGACTAGTAGCGATACAAAACGCCGGAGGGCTACGGCTATAAGAATCAGATAGACTTTAGTAATAGTAAAAAAGCTCCTAGAGTTAATAAAAGAGTACTCCTACCTACGCGAGGGTAATAGATTTAAGTCGTAGGTATTAAATGCTATAGTTAAAGCGATACGCGTCTATACCGCTAGCGAGATACAGAAGGCGCGCCTAGATATAGAGAGGGTTACGAGTAAAATACAGAATCTCTATCGTAACTAGAAGATATAGACTTTCTGTCTTAACTAGAGTAGATAGACTAAGGATCCGGTTACTAGCTGTCTATCTACGCTAGATAAAGTACTCGATGCCTTTTTTAAGAGATATAAAGAGTACGAGAAGTTCTGTACCAGACTACTCGAGTATAAAGCCGAGTTAGACGTATTGTTTCGCGGCTCTAGTACAACTAGCGACGGTATAATTAGGATTAATACTACGGCTACGGATATCGATCTAGACAGCTAGTCGTCTATAGACTTAGCGTCTTCTATCTCGCCGACGAGTAATACTACTATAGACAGCTTTGACCTACGAAGGGCCGCTATTATAAATAGTACTCGGGTTACGAAGAACGTAGGAAGATAGTTAGCTCGAGAGGCAGTAGGGGGAGGGATAGAAGGTCTTATTACTACCCTACGCGAGGGTATAGAAGTACTACGTCCAATACTACTACTACCTAAGTATTAGTTAGCCGAGTTGTTAAGGACAAAGCCGTTTAAGAAGATCGATAGACTTAATAGACGCGTAGCTACGAAGGAGTTAAGGAAGATAGGCATTACGGAAATTAATTACTTCCTCGGTAAGGATATAGAGGATTAAGTTAAGCAGATAGAGAGTATTGTTAGGCGACTATTCGTTGCCGACGCGGACGAAGAAATCGTTAGACCTAGCGTAGACTAGGGATTGTATCTATTTACCTATTTTCGCTATTTTCCTATAGTCGAAACTTAGACTTATAGTCCGTAGGGGCAGCCTTATTAGCTTCCTCGTATCGATTGTACTTAATATAGTCCTTCTATATCTACTCTGCTAGCTAGTCTCGAAATATATCTATATTAGTCCTATTACTAACTACCTCGACCCCTTCTATAGGCTAATAGCTATAGTAATTATTCTTATCGGCTACGAGTTCTAGTAATAGCTCTATTACGCTCCGTATAGTAAGGAAGTTGTATAGCGTAGTATACGTATATACTAGTCTTACTTAGATAAGATAACTGAACTCTAGAGCAGCCTTAAATATTTGGAAGCGCCGCTTAAGTACCCTGAATATACGCTCTACTACGTTCCGTAGCGATAAATATTAGAGATTAAATAGCTCTTTAGAATTCTCCGGCTTTAATCTAGTAATCTAGACTTCTCGTAGATAATATCGTATACTACGATAGGGAGTAAGAGTTAGAGGACTGTTTGTATAGCTAGTATCCGCAAGATAATATATCCCGTCGGGTATAGTAAAGCTATATCGTAGTACCGCGTCGCTTAAAACTCGACTATCGTAAGCAGATCCCTCCTAACTAGGTAATACGAATGTAAACATTCTGTTATAATCAACAATAGCAAGTATATTCTATATTAAATAGCCCTTCCGGTTCCGGTATCGATAAGTTTCTTCTAGTTTATAGTATATATTAATATAACTCCTATCTAGCGACCTAACGGCGTTCTTGAAATATAGCTAGTATTTCTACTTTTTAGGTCTCTACTATAGTACGTCGGTATCCTGCTTTGTTACTAGCTTAACAACTACCCGGTAGAGTTTAACAAGCTTAAGAAGTACCGTATAGAAGAGCCTATATACCGTAGATATTAGATAGCTAAATATCTCGGCTACGTTATAATAGGAACGGTTCTACGCAACTATATAGAGGAATAATAACAGCTTCTGCCGGCTAGATATCTCGTATCTATCTATAAGTATAATAGTACTATAGAGTTCCTCGAATTGTCTAGGCATAAATCGATAGAACCGTCTTATTCGTAGTCGCTAACCTATTAACTCTCGTAGTTTACGCTCGCTAGCAAAGCGATCGGTATATATTGCCCGGATACCTCCTAGTATACGGTTAAGGACCTCTCTAATAGCTTGTAGGGCAACGACAATAGTAACAATATAAAGCCGGCGCGCTATAGCAATACGGCGCTCTTCGAGTTTATCTATATTATCTATACTGTCTATACCTCCTACTATCTACCCTGCCTCTTCCTCTATATTAATACTGCCCTACCGTCTGTACTACCCTACTGTCCGTACTACCCTACTGCCCTACCGTCCGTCCCGATAGCGTTAATAGCGTTTATTATAGGTCCTTATACTTAGAAGCGAGAAAATAAGGTTAATCTGGCTATAAGACGATTTAGCATCTTTTTTTACGTTAAGTACGCAAGCCTTACCTCTTTTATAGCAGATCGGCGCAGTATCTATATTATAGCTAAAAACCGGGCTTCTAGCTAGAAGCTATAAGGTGCACAAGCGAACGCAACCGTCTTATAGCTCAAGATGGCCTTATAGCTTCTGGCCAGAAGCTATAAGGTACACAAGCGAACGGGCCCTAAAGTGTCCGCCAGGATCATTGCGTGTGCCGTAGATGGCAGCGAATCGAACCTTGTTTCGTGTTTGACAACGCTTACCTTATAGGCTTATTGGCCACGACGAGTCCGACGACTGTATCGCTGGCGTAACCTTAAGAGAAGCACAGTACCTCCTTGCCTCCTACATCGAGTAGAAGCCCAGAAGGTGCATCGAAATCGAGTAGAAGGTCACCTCCTAGGTACATCCATTGTCAGTACAGCACAACCTAAGGCTCACAAGCTGAGTCGTCCCGTCCCTAAAACCTAAATCATTGCGCGCCATCACAGCCGTCCATCGCACCGTGTCTATAAGGTACCTACAGATCGCCGACTACTGCTGCTCCTGGCCTACCTACCTGACCTCCTACGCTCATGACTGCCCGGAGCTCATAACGACGCCTCCTGACTACGAAAATGCCGCCGAGCACTTGATCCTCGCGCCGCACCCGGGGCAGCAAGGAGTCAAGGCCATTGCTTCACCATGCCCGCCAAACGACCAGCTGCGTCCGGCTACGCCCGCATTGCCCAGGCAGAGGAAGAGGAAGAGGAAGAGGAAGAGGAGGAGCAGGAGGAGGCCTACAACTCAGACACCGAAGATCCCTTCACCGATGCCGCCGCAACAGCTGTCTTCTCGTCGTCCCCAGCCAGCGGAGCACCACCGCGCTATGGCCCCATCCAGCCGCGCCGTCAAGGCTCCATGCGCATGCCGGATGGGAATGGCGCCCTGAGATCAAAACACACCACGGGACGAAGCAGGCGAGCCAACAGCGGCGTGGACATCAAGGCAATCAACGCGCGCTTGGAACGATGGGCCGATGAGATCAAAGACCGCTTCACAAGGCGAAGGGTCAAGGGAAAGAGTGCCGAAGAAGAACATTTGGAGATTCATCACTCCGTCTTCCATGCGCCTGATTGGGTACGGCCTGCAACGAAGGAAATGTTGGAGCACGATGCTTCCAATCATGGAGAGAGGCTTTCGAAATTGGAGTTTGACGACATGGTCGAGTCGGTGCGGACTGCAATTGAGCTGGGCCTGCATCCAAAGTTGATTGCACAGGGCAGCAGTGGCTCATACTTTGCGAGAAACAGTGGTGGGAAGACCGTGGGCGTTTTCAAGCCCAAGGACGAGGAACCGTATGCCAGTAAGAATCCGAAGTGGTAAGCATGACAGACATGACAGATAGCATTGCCAAATGCTGAGACATCTGCTAACCTGGGGGCCTCTGTATTTTCTAGGACCAAATGGATCCACAGAAACCTGTTCCCCTTCGCCTTTGGACGTGCTATGCTCATTCCCAACTTGAGCTATGTCTCAGAGGCTGCAGCATATGTCCTCGACTGCCAACTGCGAACGAACCTGGTTCCCTACACAGATGTCGTTGGTCTGAGCAGCAAGAGCTTTCATTACGACTGGATGGATCGGAGAGCATACTACCGAAAAGGGCGACCGTTTCCCGAAAAGTTGGGATCGTTCCAGGTCTTTCTGACCGGCTTCAAAGGAGCGACCGAGTTCTTCCAGGAGCACCCCTGGCCGGACCTGAACAACGCGAGCTTTCGAGGCGCACCGGCGAGGAAGAAGCGGACTCAACGCTGGGACGCATCATGCCGCCCGAGCAGTCGAACCACCAGCAGGCCCACGACAGCGACTACGGATAGCTACAATACGGACGATGAAGATGACGATGCGGCGAATGCTGGACAGCCGACGGAGTTCTGGACCACAGAGCTGCAGCAGAGCTTTCGAGAAGAGCTCGAGAAGCTTGTAATCTTAGACTATGTGATGCGGAACACAGACCGCGGATCAGACAACTGGATGATACGAATAGATCGTGACACGAATACCGCGACGATAGTGAAGGAGCCACCCAAAACAGATGGTGCAGTAGAACAGGACGGCTACAACCGACGCAATGAGAACATGAATACTTCGCCGCCATCAGGCAACGGGCGAGAGAGTGCCGTACCCCGGATCGGTGCCATCGATAACTCACTTTCCTGGCCGTGGAAACACCCGGACGCATGGCGCAGCTATCCATTTGGCTGGCTGTTTCTTCCGGTAGGCCTGATTGGAAGGCCATTTTCGGAAAAGACCAGGAGGCACTTCCTGCCACTCCTCACGTCTAAAGACTGGTGGAGTGAAACCCAAGTGAAATTGCGCAGTTGTTTTGAAATCGACGTAGACTTTCAAGAGAGGATGTTTGCTCGCCAAATGGCAGTGATGAAAGGCCAAGCCTGGAACGTGGTCGAAACACTCAAGACGCCCGATCATGGCCCCTTGGAGCTCACAAGAAGGAGTCGTGTGCACGTCTGGGATGATCTGGTCGACATTCCCGTCGCAGTACCTCTGGCGCGAGCGAGTGAGGAAATGCGAATGAGAGCTGCTGCCGTCAATGCCGAAGAACATAAACGTCGCGCTCTAGCTGCAGGTACGCCTGCAATCGACATCGCAGAGGACGAAGAAGAAATGGATATTTCTGCTGCACATCCTTCTGCGTCAGCACTCAACATTGCGTTGTTGGATCACCTGGGCACGTCGTTGCCGGCGAAGATGGAGAGTACGATACAGACCAGTTCGAATCGGTTCAATATGTCCCGTGAAAACTCCTCGCAGAATGTCAACGGCGCACAACGTCAATCCTCCGCTACTGCCGCCAAGGAAGTATCACCGCCTTCGCTCTTCACTTCACCTTCTGAAACACGGAGTGTTCCACGCCCCGCCCATCCCTTCCGCTCTCGAACTGGCGAGCATCGCCATCGAGTATCTCTCGACGTGCCACGAACGCAATGGCTGTCCTCTCCGAATACATCGAGATATTCGAGAAGATTCTCCGCCAGTCTTGGTAGTGGTAGGCACAACGACAGTGAAGACGATGGTGATTTGGGCTACGCTGCCACGAGTGAACGGGAGGGTGCGACAAGGAGGGTTATCGTGGAGCGATTGGAGATGGTCAAGAGTAGGAAACCATTGTTTGAATGGTGTTAGAGGGGCGAGATCACTCGGTCAATTGATTTCCTAGCCCAAGGGACTTCAGGCAGCAGATGTGATAGTGAGGAAAAAGGTATCATGATCGTCTGCACAGCTCGAGCCTGATTACGCGAATGGATTTATCAGATTGAGAAGTAATGATGAAATGTGTCCCCAGGGTTGTGCGTGGCGTATTGTCGATTGTCAAGGGACTCTCGACGCCATTGCGAACAGTATGAGCTCCACCAGCAGCGGTTCAGAGAGTCTCGCAAGTGCAAATGGACAAGTCCTGATCTCTGCACACTCTCCATCATCGTCATCGTCATCAGCAGCAGCAGCAGCAGCAGCAGCAGCAGACTATGCTTGCAAGAGGGTACTTTCGACACAGGTTGCCGTAGTCGTCATCAGTGCGGACTTGGGTCGACCTGGTCCCGGGCGTGAAGACGCTCGCCGGTCCTTTGGTGATGAAACGAGGAATGTCACGGTCGAGGGTTTTTGAAAGTCGACGACCACGCCTGCGGAACAAGAATTGACGAATCAATGGTGTGTACTTCGAGACATGCATGAGTGCGGTGTAGAGAAATGATAAGGTCTGCCGGCGATGCTGCCCCCGGGATATATTTCTGAAGTCATGTCAGAGCATGCCAGCGAAATCTCTGCTCCCTCCTCATTGTTGGAATTAATGCTCGCAAGTCGAACTCCAAGCCGCGCCTGGCTTCTGAGCGAAGTGAGGGCAAGGTCCAGTAGGATTGTCTATACAGAGTATCTGTACGTGTCCAATCTCGCATCGACGTGCGAAGGCCCTGGACCACCTGATTGGGCACGCCCGAACAGGTTGTTATACTCAGGTAGCTGACTGCATATATCAGAACTCTCTTCGTCTGATGCCTACCGTGGACCTCTTACCTATGGAATGCAGGACGGAGTAATACATGCATATTTATATATATTTATATCTATATGTGTGTGACCAAGCCTGCGTGTGAGTGCAAGGACTTGCGGGCATACCAGATCCCCGAGCTTCTACCATCGTCGCGGCTGCAGACTCACCTCATTCTCTTCACTGCCGGACCAATCTTACTAATCTCGACCAGCTTCACTCCGTTACTAGTGAGATTGATGCGGGCTATCTTGTGCACAGCTCCGTCCTCACAGATGCGCTCTCACATTAGATTTGACGCCACATCCTCTCTTCTCTACGACGACGACGATACTCACTCCATCGAACAGGATGGCGCCGCAGTACGATCCGGAATGGTCAGCGGTATGTACCGTATCGGACTGTCACAGGCGTGCTGCACATGACTAAAACGTATCGTAGTTCGAGACTCAGGTTGGAGAGAGACCTATGTTGCCAGGCTCAACCGAAGAGACAGTGGCCGCTTTCAACAAGTTATGCACTGCCATGGCCCGATTGTTACCAGAAACGGACCCTGGTATCACAACGCGTAAGTCGCTCCGGAAAATCAACCATTTTGTTCGTCCCAAAACGAGCTTGGTTTTCCAATATGTTTTGCAGGCGACGAAAGAATCAATGCACACATCGCCGTCCGCGTCTATTACCCGCCCAACCCGTGCGAATTCCTCCCTCTCGTTCTCTTCGCACACGGTGGAGGTTTCACTGCTGGGAACCTGGACACCGAAGACCATACCTGCAGAGTCGTGTGTGCAGAGGCCGACTGCATTGTGGTCTCCGTCGACTACCGAACCGGTCCTCGCATTACGATGCCCACACCGATCGACGACTACCAAGACGCCTATGATTGGGTCATTCAAAACGCAGACGCGTTAGGGGCAGATACCACCTCTATTATTCTCCTGGGCGGTTCAGCCGGGGGAGCTCTGGCTATTGCATTGACTTATCGACTAGTACGACTCGGCCAGGTCCCTGCAGGACTCGCAGTTGTGCAGCCCATGTCTCTCCACCCAGATGCTTGCCCTGCAGAATATCAGAGTCAGCACACATCCTACCAGGAGAATGGCGCGGAGGATGTTCCTGTGGTGAACACACGCTCCGTAATGGCAGCCTTCCAGCGCTCGAGTGGCTTGCCTCCTTACCCAGATTGGACTTGGTTTCCACAATCCGGTGGTGCAGACGCGCTTCAAAACTTTCCCCCGACTTATATCTTCAACACGGATCTGGAGTGCTCTCGAGATGACGGTGGGGTTCTGGAAGCGGAGCTGAGAGACGCTCATGTGCCTGTCAAGAGGGACATGATGACGGGGTTTCCGCATTACTTTTGGGTGTAAGTCCTTCTAGAAGTTGCCTCTTCTTTTCTGCCAGTCACTCCATTAGGCGCTGAAATACTCGTTGATGGTAGATTTCCTGTAACAAATGGCGGGGCCGAGTTCAGAGACAGGTTGGGAAATGGTATACGATGGTTGATTCACCAAGCAGAGCTTGCGCAAGGGTTGGGCACACGGCATATCTAAAGTGTTCGCCGCCGCTACACGCTGCGGTGTGATGTCCTATGGCAGTTTTCATAGGAATTTTCTAAGAGACGTTATATATTCTATTGAATAATAGAATGCTCTATCTATCTGTTCTATATAGGTTTAGCCTGTCTTTTGGTCTATCTACTAATTAGGCTATAGATATCCTTCTTATAGAAGCAACAGTATTAATTAGGGTCTCTAGAGCTTGTTTTATTTATAGGCTTAGAGTCTCTAGAATCCTATCTTGCTTATTTTAGACAATTTTCTTTTACATTTTTAGAGTTTAAAAATAGACCTTTTAGGTAATTCTATACTTCTATACTTCGATTAAGCTTAGAGCTAAGAGCTAAGGTTATAGTCAAATATATTAAGTAAACAACCCTATGTACCTAAATCTAAGACTTACTTAGTAATATAGTAACCTAAGTTCTTCTAAAAAGAAAACTAAGAATACAAAGTTAGTAAGGCTCTATCCTCGGCCCTAGACAAGAGGAATTATAAATAGTAGGCCTATAGGCAATCTCGCGCTAAGCCTAAGAACATAAACTACTCTATACTATAGGTTTTGCTCCTACTTCTAGTATTAGCTAATCATAGACTAGAGAATAGCTATCAACTTTAGCGACCTAATAGTAGCGTTCAAACTTGGCGACCTAATAGTAGCCTCTAACCTAGCCTTAACTGTAGTATAGCTATACGCTCGTTCTTAAGCTACTGCCTCTACTTGTCTTAGGTCTATATAGGTATTTAAGATTATAGACACTAATAATTGTAATATGTCCTATAGGCCTACCTGTTAGTAGTACAGAATGCGTACTAATCTTATATATATATATATTCTATCTATATATTGTATATAGAGAATACTACTATAAGAAAGTAGGTAAATTAGATACTACAACAATTCTCCTAGCTACTAGCGACGCTAAGTTGTAACCTAAATACTAGTCCGTAAAGCTAAGAGAGCTTACGAATAGTATATAGAATAATACCGCTAGGTAGGTAGAATAAGGTCTATTTAGGTCTAGTATCTCTGTCTAATATGTCCTACGGGCCTGCCCGTTAGTAGTACGGAGTACGTACCAATCTCAATTCTTATACGCGCGCATGCGCGCGCGTATATCCTCTGTCTCTTCTTCGAGGTAGGCCTCTTCTTCTTCCTCTTCCTCTTTCTCCTTCTCCTTCTCCTTCTCCTTCTCCTTGTCCTTGTCCTCCTCTTTGTCCTTCTCTGTGTCCTTGTCTTTGTCCTTCTCTTTGTTTCTCTCCTTGTTCTTCTCTTTGTTCTTCTCTTCTGAATTTGAATTTTAGAGCGCGTTCGCTTGTTCCTTATAGCTTCTAGCCAGAAGCTAACGCTACGTAAACTCTCTCTCTTAAATGTAGGTCGTTATAACTAAAGCTATAAGCCGGGGGTGTTCGCTTGTGTTCTTATAACAACTCGCCTTATATACAAGGTAAGAAACCTTATATATAAGGTAAGGACTTATCCCCTATATAGTATAGATTATACTATATTAGGACTAGATACTAGAAGGCGGGGAGTACCTGTACCTACCCGTACCTACCCGTACCTACCTGTAATAAAAATGGGTCCTTATACTTAGAAGCGAGAAAATAAGGTTAATCTGGCGAGAAGGCGATTTAACGCATTTTAGCGTACTTTTTTACGTTAAGAACGCGTACCTTACCCCTTTTATATAAGATCAACGTAGTATCTACATTATAGCTAGAAGCCTAGCTTCTAGCGAGAAGCTATAAGGTAAACAAGCGAACGCGACCGTCTTATAGTACAAGATAACCTTATAGCTTCTAGCTAGAAGCTATAAGGTATACAAGCGAACGCGCTCTTAGGTAAAGTAGCCTATAGGGCTAGGTAGGCAGTTTTTTAAGGTAGTAACGCATTGGGCCTATCCGTGTTGCCTAGTACACCCCTACAAGCGGTAGTGTACGGGTTAATAAAAATTACGTCTTAACGATAAACTGAATTACCCTACTACCCTAGCCTATTCTATACGCGTTGTCTTACCTACCAATTCGTCTATTACCTGTAGGAAGGCATAGACAATAACTTTGCGGTGTACTACGTACGCTCGAACGCGTTGTATACCTCTTACGTACTTGTTAATTCCTGCAATCCTCGCTCTTATATCTGCTTCCTCTGCTCGCTTCAATACCCTACGTACCTTATATAAATTACTCTCTTCTCTCTCTCGCTATATCTTACGTACCTTAGATACTAGTATAATACCTCCTCGCTATAGACTCGAACGTTTGATCTAAGAGCGTACCCTACGTACGTTTTCTACGACGGTTAAGCAGCAGAGTTCGTTAATTGCTTCCGTACCGTCGATTGCCTATATCTAAGTACCTTTCAATAGTTTAGAAAGCTCTCTTTTTAATAACCGTAGTATATCCTATTAGCTAATATACTTAACGAATCGTCGGAGTAAGCGGACTGTCTTCAGGGTACTGAATTCGTCGGTAGATAGCTAAGTATCGACGGTATTCGTAAGCTACTACTATTCTATCTCTACGCAGAAGTATCCGATAATATACTCTACATTAATAGGCTATATACTAGTCTTCTCGAACGTACTATATAGGGTACTAGCTTTTAGGGCTCGACGCTAGAACCGCTCGAAGTTAGTAAGGAACTCGAGTCGATTATAATCGCTATATCCGAATCGAATAGCCGTATTAATAGCCTTAGCGTACTAATACTTATATAGTTGAAATACTATAACGTCTAATAGCTATATAATATAGGTAGAGTAGGCCGGTAGAGCGACCGGAATAATAAGATACTTATTATAGAATTTAATAAACTCCTTTATATAGTAACTACTATATCTATCTATTAAAAGCACCCTCTTAGCCCTAACTATACTAATACGACTATATTTCTTAAAGTGCTTAAGCTACTCTAGGTATATAAGATCGTTCGTATACCCTAAGCCGCTTACTCTAACTATAGTGTCGTCGTTAAGATTAGTATACTACGTAGCTATATACAGTTTGCCCTATAAGATAAGTATAGAAGGTACCGTAGCGCCGGCCGCTAAGATAGCTTTTACGTACGTAAGGCTCTTACGATTGTTTACGGCTAGTAGGAAGTTTCGACGCCGTAGGTACTATATAAGTACCGTCTGCCTACTAGCGATACTAATCCGGAAGCTAGTCTCGTCTATATTCTATAGATTCGACGTAGTAATACTATTCTTAATATATATATAGCGGAACTTAGTAAACTACTACTTAATATCGCTAATATCGTACATAGCCGAACGTAACGCGTCTAACGGTATAGTCCTTCTCTTAAACTATTCTAGGTAACGTACGAGCTAGCGTAATACCTATATAGCGCTTACTATAGGTAGCGGTTCGGTACTAACGTAAGTTTGTACAAGAATCGAATTAGCCGATACTATAAGCGACCGTATACGTATACTAACTCTAATCTTATCGCAGCGTTCAAGATATCGAATTAGAGCCCTCTCCTATATATTATCAAGCTTGCGATTCGTCGCTATATACGTATATTTACTCGGAATACCTAGGATTCGGTTTCTAAGGCGTTAGTAGTAAACATCAAACGATTTAGTAATCTCTATTATTAGTAGGTATACTGTATTATTAGCTATCTATTCTATAGCTTCGGCAATACGCTCTTCTTCCTTAATATAGGCCGCTATATTGATTGACTATAGAAAATATAAAAAAAAACACGTGTTGAGTAGGCTAGGGTAGTAGGGTAATTCAGTTTATCGTTAAGACGTAATTTTTATTGACCCGTATACTACCGCTTGCAGGGGTGCACTAGGCAACACGGATAGTAGATTTTTAGCGCGCTCTACTCTAAAGGATCGCGCCAATTAGAGCGTACGCTTTCTAGGATTTCTAGCTCCCTTTTATAGATTGATTAGTACTCTACTCCCCCCTGCACCTGACCTACGCTGCGCTTCGGAAGGTTTAGAGGTCGTTCCGTACTAATAATAGTTTTAGAATCGACCAAAACTACTACTATTCTGGCTAACTAGGCTAGGAAAACTTCGATAGCAACGTAGCAGTTATAGAGCTAATTAGATAGTAGAGATATAGTATTAATAGCAGTAGGTAGGTTTTTATGTATAGCAAGAGTATAGATTTTATATAGTAGGAGGCCTCTTAGGGTTAACCCTAAAGTATGTAGCTTAGGCATACCTCTTAGCATATAATACTAATAGTATTTCCTCTATACAAAGACATTTATAAACATATATACGAACATATATATATACGTAGTCGTAGTATATAGAATAGTATACTACTAATAGAAAGATAGTAAGATTAAAGTTGCTAGAGCGATAGATACTAAGTTTGTAAGTATATATATTGTTACTGTCGCTGTTATACCTTCTAGTATATCAAGAAAATTCTTCGTAAGCGGAGAAGTATACCTAAGGCCTTATTGCCTAGGGCATTTAGGTTTAACTCTACAATATAGTAACCGACGATAATAGCAATAGACTCTATACGCTTTTCTTTGCTAATCTACAACTTATCGTACTCTTTAAGGATAACAGCTATATACTTTTATTTAACTAATACTAATAATTTATATATGATTTACACTACCGGCCTACTATTGTACTAGACTTAGCGTTATTATAATGCTAGTATATATACTTGTACCTAATAAAGCCCTTCAAGAGGTATAAGTAGGTATTTAGTAGTATTAACGAGCCGGATCTTATTATTTACTACCGCAACTATATAGCTATACTCTATGTATAGTATATAGATACTATAGTAGAGGTATAGGCCTATAAGATCTTTAGATAGTAGAGGAGCGAGGATAGTATATAATGCGAGCTCGCTATCGAGTTCCTTATACTATATAGAATATATCGCTTTGTAAAACCGAGCAGCTCTTTAAAGACGCCTACTTAGCGATACTTATATACGCTATATACGACGATACTAGCGACAATAATACTAGTAATAGTAAAAGTATTATTGGTAGGTAGAGGTATATATAGATATAGGGCTTTGAAAATGGATAGCGAGTACTCGTAATAATGTACTAACTCTAGTTCTTAAGATAATACTATTCTACGATAGCTATATTGACTACTATATATACGTATTATCTATAGCGTAGAATAACTCCTCTACGCGATTTGTTAACTAGCTATTCTACTATACTATTAATACTATTATTAACGTTCTAGTAGTTATAAACAAGCAGTTCATATAGCTACTATAGTAACAAGCCGTTATATAAGCGTAGATTGCCGCTCTCGCTACTGATCGTAATAGGATAGTACATAAGGTATAACTTAGACTATATAGTCGAACGGAATTCTCTGGGCTATAGTTAGCTAATACTAGAGATAGTAGCAAAGCCTATAGTATAGAGTAGTTGGTAAGTTCTGTAAGGGGTTCTAGACTAAGATGGTATAGGTAAGAAGCTAAATTCTTTAGTTAAGAATTTGTATAATACTATATTATGCCTTTGGTTAAGCCTTTCGATATATATATATTATTGCTACGATTATTCTAAGCCTTCTCTATAATATTTGTACTAGTATACTATATATTGTTTTCGTGTTCTATCGCTATCGAGCAAAAGTTGGAATTTAAGTTATACGCTAGCGGTTGTATATACAGAAGTTGCAGCCTTACGCTTTTGCTTAGCAGGGTCCTCCCGAATTTTAAAATCTACGCTTTAGCCTTTTATTAGTGCCCCGATATACAAATAATATATCAAGATATATGTAGGGGCACTGAAGCGTCCTCCCGCCTTTTATAATTCATTCTCCCGCCTTTTATAAGTCCGCCTATATAGTAGTATAAGTAATATATATATAGAATATAATATCCTGGAAAGTGTAGCCTAAGGCAGAGAGGTGTACTATAGCTATAAGGGCCGGCTTTAGTACTGAAAAGTCGTAAAATACGACCTATCGTTTATTACATATCGCATAGTACCTAATTATTTCTAGAAATCTCGAGTCTAGATAGGTATTCAAGAGACAAGAAGAGAACCTCGGCTTCTTTTTGTTCTTATTCTCGATCCCGTTCTTCTTTTTATTCTTGTTCTACTTCTCTAGAATTTAGTACTTTTTCCGGGCAATTATATGCGGCGGGAGCAAAAATTCTAAATGGCGGGAGGCCAAATTTCTTGCTTACAGTCCTTCGCTACCTCCTACTGCCTCCCTAGGTACTTTTGAGAGAACTGAGACAAGACAAGGTCCCTAGGCAATTACGAGATCGAGACGGAGATCGAGACGGATATAGGTATAGGGATAGAGATGGAGATAGAGATAGAGATGGAGATAGGCACGGCGCGATATGAACACGGCGCGATATAGACATAGCGAGGTACGGCGCGATAGGCACGGCGCGATATAGACACGCGATGGATATAGCGATAGACACAGCGATAGACACAGCGATGGACATAGCGATGGACACTACGCGATAGACACCGCGCGATATGAACACGCGTACCTTAGGCAAACTTGACCTCCCGCCATTTAGAATTTTTGCTCCCGCCGCATATAATTCCCCCTTTTTCCTTGTTATTTTATAGAAGAGCTATTATTATTAGATCTTCTCTTCTACCAACGAGGTCTTTGATTAGGATGTTTATTGAAGTTTTGGATTCTACGTGCTCTTCCTCTTTATAATAGGAACAATACTTACTTAGTAGAGTCTATAGGACCTCCTTCCTTTAAGATTTTCCCCTGATTTCTAGAAAGTTTACAGAGTAGAAGAAGTAAGGAAGGAGTTATTATCGTCGTTTAGGTTGTTAAGAGATCTCTATGCCCTTGGAATTTAGTTGGTCATAGAGTTGTCTTATTGTACTAAAAAACAATTCTATAGCCCTAGCGTTTTCTGGGATCGTTTGGAATAGCTCTAGAGTTGAAACCGTTACTAGAATAGAGCTCTTATAATATATTCTAAACATCCTTAGCTATGTCCTTATTATTAATTTATAGAAGGGGCCTTTCTTCAACGCCTAACTGAATAGTAGCCAGTGCTTATCTTCTCCGTCTTCTAATACGCCAGAACAGCTTTTTTCGGTTAAATAGGACAATATTCTTAGTACCTATACTTCTTAAATGTCTTGTTATTTCAGGTGCTAACGGATAATGGTTTTATTGCTTAGATCTGATATATTAAGAACTCCGGACTTCCTTTTTGTTCTTCAAAAGAAGATTCTCGAGCTTTTTTAGAGAGAAGATGCCTCTAGAACCCTAGATCTTTAGCTTTACGGTCTCTACCCAAGATATATACCGCTTGACTAGTAGGTCCTACTGAGGGTTCCTAGTAAACTATGTTATTCTATCTCTCGATAGTGCTGCGTAAAAGAGACTACTATAGGCTACGGGCTCCCTAGAAAAGTCATCTAAGTAAAGAGAGAAATAGAGTAATTGAGAACTTTGTTCTAATATAAAAACTGAGAATTAATACTAGCCTTTTTTAGGACTCTCTAGAGAAGGTCTCCTATAAAGAACTGTCTAGAAATTTCGAATAAGGCAATTCGCGAAATAATATTTGGAAAGGCTCGGACTAGGGAATTACAAAAGGTAGGAGCATAAAGTTTAAAAGGCGGGAGGGCTTTACTAAGTCAAAGCCTAAGGCTGCAACTTCTGCGTATATATAACTCAATTTCCAACTTTGTTTAAAAGCGACAGCGAGACAAGGTGCGAGAGCGATAGCGACACAGGGCGCGAGAGCGACAGCGAGACGTAAAGGGACCGCGAAACGAGAAGCGATAGCGAGACGAGAAGCAATAGGAGGACGAGAAGTAATAGTAGGACAAGTTGTCGTCGTATTTTATCGCTATCGAGTATAGTTGGAATTTAGTACGCAAAGTTGTAGCAAGGCCCTCCCGCCTTTTGAAATCTATCCTCCCGCCTTTCATAAATGCCCCTCGTACTTCTTTAGATATAATTTAGAGTATCGTTCCTATTTAGGTCGGGCTTATAGATACATATACAGCTCAAATTTGACGGATTTCGCGATAGCGGTATACTACAACGACAACGTCTATTTGCGATACAAAAACAGTATACTTAGGAATCGAGTAGTATATCGCCGTTAGCGCGGTCACTAGTATCTTACTCTCGGTCTTGTTTTTAGTCTCGAAGTCGGTATAATTAGCTCGGTTTAGTATAGCGTACGCAAGCCAGTATATATAGTATATACTACATACAAACTTTATAGTCTATACGTTCTTCTAGGTAATATATTAGGTAGTAGGCAAAACTCGCGTGATTCAGGATAGTAGAGTAGTATAGTTTTCTAGTCTATTATTCAAGATTTCTTTTTTTTTCAAGCTATATACTACCGCTTATAGAAGTCTCTACTACGCAATATATAATACTACTAGAAGCTTCTATATACTTAAGCCTCTATATACTTCAGCTTCTATATACTTCAGCTTCTATATACCTAAGCTTCTATATACTTCAGCTTCTATATACTTAAGCTTCTATATACTTAAGCTTATATTATTGGCGGGAAATCGCTTATATGTCCTTAGAGGTAATTAGTTATACCTCTCTAGAAAGTTGTTTCTAGAGTGTTTTAGAAGATACTAGAGGCTTTGCTATAATTGGTCAGATAATCTGAATATACAAGCATTATGTGACTACATGGGTTATAGATATATATCCTGATTATGTAACCACTCTAGAGGCCGAGCAGATTTCTTCCTAACCTAGGAAAAGGTTATAATCTCATAACCGCTATAGTGAAATAATATGATACCTTTGAATTTGATGCATTTAGTGAAATTATTTTAGAATAATAACAGAAACACTATTCCAAAAGCCAAGCAATAATATCTACGAGCTAGATAAAAAAAGAATCAAGTCCAATTGATATCTCTAATCAACAAAAAAAAAACAAATTTTAGAGAACTACAGAAAAAATACTCATCCAAAACTCTAGAAACTAGTGAAAATTCTCATATTGTAAAGGCTACCGCTAAGGCGGACAATACCGTCTTAAAATGAATCGGGTGCTGCACATAAATCTAAATTCCCTACTCGTAATACAACCGTTAGAATTGTGTCTACCTACTATCAGATTAAAGATGGCAAGGAGCATCCGACGTACGAAATCACGCAGTCAACTAATCAACTCATATAGTCGCCTATGCTGTCGAATCTATACACGGGATTTCAAGTTACAACGTATCCTAACGGACCGGCTGCTTACTAACAATAGCGGACTGAGATACTTATAACTTTATATACTTACTAATACTATATCCTTAGACGATAGATTAATACTAATATAGTAATAGATCTACTATCTCTATTAAAGCGTTAAGTCGCTCTAACCTTTTAAAGGTACTAATATCTAAGCCGTAAGCTTCAAGGATAGGAATCTATTAGATACAACTTTAATAAGCCTGTTTAGAAGCTAAACTCAATAATGCATTCTTTTATTGTTTTCTTAATACCTTCTTCTTTACGCGTTACAAAAATTGGTATAGTAGAGGTTTCCTTTCCCATCTACCTATTATTAGTTTCTATAATCTATTTATTACCTTACCTACTAGACAAGGACCTACTACTTGTACGATGTCTTACGCCGAGATAGCGTCTACTTATGTCTTCTAGAGGCGATTGTATAAGGCTATTCGAGGATCTAAACAATTAAACGATAAAGAATTACTATCGTGTTACTATAATAGCTAGCGCTATTACTTCGTAAGTACATTAAGTATAATTACAATAGCGTTGTAGCGGCTAACCTACTTATACTATAGATAAGACGTATATAGTATATTGTTACAGTTATACGTGCTCCGGTAAAGACTTATTTTAGTACGAAAACTAGCCCTACTAGTCCCCTAAGATATTTGTAATAACTTTTTATAGATATATAGCAGAATGATCATAAATAAGCCTTATTCTAGAAAATAGTGACTAACAATAACGATAGAAAGCTCTAGGGTCTATACGATTTTTACTAATCTACAATCTAATAATCTATTGTTCTATTTACAGATAATACCGATATTATTACACAAGACTAGGACTAGCACCCTTATATTACTTTACGTTCATATTATTACTAGACTTGGCGTTATCACACCAGTAGCGTATATTCTTAGATCTACTTAGACATTCGAGGTAAAGATAATATACTACCTCGAGAGGTAGTAGTAGGGTAGAAAAGGGGGAGTATTTAAGATTGAAGAGTAATAAAGTATAGTATTCCGGTTATAATATATCATTACTAGGGTCTCAAAAATATAAGTATTGTCAAGATTATATTAACTAGTATTTGTATATACTGTCCTCTATATTATATAGAATATATTATTTATACAATTTGTAAAGTTTATACTATGAATACGTCAATGAATATCTAGAAGCTATATCTATAAAGAATACAACCGTTGAATCTAAGACGTAGCGTATATACTAGCATATTTATAGAAGGACTGTAAATAAAGCATACTTATACTAACTTAACTATTTCACTTGCCTAATACTATTATATATTAGAGCAGATAGTATATACTAGGTTATTAGTAGCAGTAGTAATAGCAATAGCAATAGCAATAGTAATAGCAATAGCAATAGCAATAGTAATAGTAATAGCAATAGCAATAGCAATAGCAATAGCAATAGTAATAGTAATAGTAATAGTAATAGCAATAGCAATAGCAATAGTAATAGTAATAGTAATAGTAATAGTAATAGTAATAGTAATATTAACTCGTATACTACTAATAAATACGCTTCGACATCTTATTAGGTACTAGCTTTACAAAGCAAATGCAATACAATACTACCTAGTAAGCCTACTAACGATAACAATAATATATAAAAAAGCTCTAGAAACTTCGAGAAGGAATTATATAATATTTCTTAGAGTCTCTAGAATACTTTACTTAAACTGGTATAGTACAACAAAAAAGAAGGAAGGCTATACTAGACGATAGTACTATAGACTTATAAAATAAGGTTAATAAGATTCCGCGAGCTTAAGTAGTACTTAGAGTATTGCTACTAGAGGAATACTAGTAGGTATATAAAGAGTTCAGGTATAGATAAAGTAATAATACTATTATAAATCTTATATCTTCTACTAGTAAGGATACCTCTTTATATTTAGCCAAAACGATAGTATTATGTTATCGGTAGCGTAGAACAACTCCTCTATATAGTTCATTGATAAGGCATCCTATTACAGTATAAATACTATAATTACAACCCAAGCCCTTCGATACCTTACCGGAGGCTATAGAGGAGAAATTAGCGTATTATACTATAATTCCGAAATTTACTATATTCATAGTAAGCTTTACCTTAGTACGTGTTATATTAAGTACGTATTAAGAGTAATATAATATAGTCTTTGTGTTGAACAAACATTATAAACATTGTAACCGTGTCTATATATACGGAGAGTCTCTATGTATCGTAGAATATTATATATTAAACAACGGAAACAGTGTTAATACAGTTAGAGTATATAATATAATGTTAATACAGTTCGTATATCCTACTACGTATAAACTTAGGTGCCTACCCGACCTGCCTACCTCAGTACGTACTTTACTTTATATAACGGCTAACCTAATCGAGCTTAGAAGGAAAACTGCTTTATTGTACCTATACTACTAGACTATTATTAAGGTATACAAAGCGACCTACTAGATATACTTCTCTTAATTACTATACACTATAGCAGAGGTACTAGATTAGCTATTGCCGTAGCTATATCCTATCTAACTTTACCTAACTCTACTACTATAACTATCGTATCTTTCCGAAGGTAACTTACAAACCTCTTTTACATTATCTCTTTGTATTACCTCTTATAGAGTCGTATTCGAGTTAAAGGAGTGGCCAAATATAGTATTGTTATTATCCTCCAACTCTTTACTATTATACTTATTTATATTGCCTTCGGTCTTATTGCGAATCGGTATAACAAAGTTAGTAATATTAGACTTACAGATAGCGGTACTAGTAGCAAAGTGCGTTAGATAGTAGATTATAGGAGTCGGAGTAATAGTACGATCGTTAAAAGCGCCGTTAAACCCAAACTAATAAGTACCGAAATCTCTGCCCTCGCCCTAGCCTCTACCCTAACCTCCGCTCTAACCTCCGTCCTAACCTCCGCCTTATATACTGTATAAAACAGCGTAGTCGTCTCCCTTAATATCCTCCTCCTTAATATCTTTAGTAATATCCTTGTCTAGCTTATCGGCGTCGTCGCTAGTACGTGTATTAGATATCTAAACTAGGGCCTACTTCTTCGGTAGTCGACCTATAGTAATATAGCTCTATATAGTCTAAGTAAAGTCGCGCTTCTTACTCTCCTTTACGTTACGGAACTTCTAAATAAGCTATTAGAAGTCTATAATATCGACGTCGTTATATAGTAGAAGTAAGGCAACCTTAGAAGAATTTGAGTACCTTGTTCTAATTACTAATCTGCTTACGTACCTCTTAAATAAGAAGGTTCTTACGGATACGTATAGCTAGCTATATTAACAAAGAAGGCTTAACAAACTACTTACCTAGTTTAGAGCTACCTTTAACGTTAAGATAGTTCTTTATAAAGTAGAAGTAGTAGAAGTAGTTTATAGTAGTAAAGGCATTACTAACTTTAGAGGCAAAGCTATTATCGCTAATCTTAAGAAGAGATAAGTCCTATGTAGTCATTATACGAACACTTGCTACGAGCCTACTTATAGTTAGCGCTATTAGTCTTAATACGCTTACTAAAGACAAAATAGATAATATCTTATAGGTTAAGGTTAATATAAATTAAGTAGAGTATTCTAGCGGATAATACGATCTAGTTTAGCAGAGCAGCATAATAAGAGAAATCAACTTGCCGGCTTTCTTACAAGTTAGAGTCTAAATATCTTGTATAAGCTTATATAGCTCCTAGCGCTTTAGCTTGTCAATAATAAACTTATTAACAATACCCTTACTTAGAAGACTTGATAAGGACAAAGACTACTAGAGACCGCTAGTACCTAGGTATACTATAGAAGCGCTAACCTTTAGTACCGATGCTAGTACCAACTATAGTACCGATACTAGTACTAGTATTCAAGGTAACCTAACAGGCTAATACTAACGTTAAGTAGAGCTACTACTAGATGCGAAGCCTATTATACCTATACGCTAGGTAGAGGGAGTATATACATTGCTAGATTACTAGCGCGTCGCGAGCGAGCGCTATAAGAGCGCTACTAAATATAGGTCGATATTCTATTAGTTAAGGGTAGTACTGTAGTTATAGCTAGTACTAGTAGGATCTAGATACTACTACTCTCGGCTATTGTAGTTATAGTACACCAAAATTATAGTTATAGTGTACCTCTGCCTTAGGCTACAACTTTCTAGAACGTTACTTTCGTATATATCGATTTCGTCCTTTTCTATTACTTATATCAAACATTAACATATTAATACGCTAATACTACGCTACAGTTTAATACTCTACGTAGTAGTTATAGGTAGTAGTAATATTAATAATAATGCTAAATTAGACGCCGCTACGCGCTTACTAGTAGAAACTACAGATTAGACAGAACTTTAACCCAACACATTCTGAAAGTATAATAAGGACGACGAGGAGGATAATAAGGATAATTAGAGCGAGCGCGCCGACCCCGAATACGACCCATAGCCGTTTATCGATTAGGTTGCTTATCGCGCGCTATAATAGAAGAGGGATTCTATATATAAACGCGCGAGGATAGCTTCGAGATAGTTAAAGAGGGTAGCTATAAGTTTAATAAAGCCGGAGGTTATTATAAGATACGCGAGGTCTGGTCTAAGGGGGTATAGAGTAGTATACTTAGTAAGACGAATAGCTCGCGGCCTACGATACGGCTAGAGGCGAAGAGTAAGAAGGAGAATTTAGTAGGTAGATGTATAGACTAGGCAGAAACCTAGTCTATAACTACCTTTAGCGCGGATAGTTAGATATAGCGAATTATAGACGATAATTCCGTAATAAGGAGGTATACGAGTTCCTTACTAATACTTAAAATAGTAGTATCGAGCTAAAGCGCGCTCAGTCTATAACTTTCAAGCAATTCTACGGGCTAACCTATTTCGGGAACTTAGTAATTATATAGGATATCTATAACGAATTCGCGCGGACTAAGGCTAGTAATATAGTCTTTATTATACCTATAAAGCGCGCGATGCAGATACTAGATAATTACTTCTACGACTATCTAGAGAACAGAAGTACGCTTATTTCCCTATTCTTCGTATATAAAGATATCGTTAGTATCTTTAAGGATAATAGCGGCTCGCGTACGATCGCGACTAAGCGCTTATTAGGGCTCTTAAGACTATCTTTCTATCTATACTAATTGTGCTCTGTTTATAGTATATACCTAGGGCCGTCAAGGCTTAGGCTGTGTCTGTTATTAGCTATAAACCGGATAAGACGAAGAATAGGCTTACGTTAGAGGGCAAGGATACATCTACGTAGAAGATACTATATAGCTATAGCTTATAGTACTAGTACTAGCTCTACTAGTACTCGGCGCGAAGCTATATATATAGAGCTACTAGATCTAGGTTATCCAGTATAAGTACCTCTTATAGTAGCTACTAATATAGCTTAGACGCCTATAATCAACTTATCTAGTAAGACTCTATTAGTATTAGTATTCATATTAGTATTAGTATCAGTAGACGAACTATTAAACAACTAGCTTATACGCTATAATAATATACTACCGCAGAAGCGTAGACGCCCGAATAGGCTAAGCTATCTATCCGGCGTTTAAAGGTATAATAAATAGTATAGATAGAGTATATACTATCTACCGCTACGGACTAGATACTATATACTCTAATATAGACGATTATACGCTAACTCCTATATAGAGCTCGCTAAATTAGAGTACAGCCGAATTGCTAGAGGAAATACGTACATTACGAGTATAGAATACTACTATATAGTAGTAGTTAAATAAGCTACTTTAACAACAATCCTCGCAGCTACTCGAACTAGCGATGCTAAAGTACGATCTATATACTAATCCGTAGAGCTAGGAAAGCTTATAGACTGTTGGATATAGGACGCTAGCGCTAGGTAGGTAGAATACATTAGTAGGTTACCAAATTCTAAAGATACTAGACCTAGACAGGCCGGAAGAGATAAGAGCGTTATACTATCGACGACAGTCGTACAATCGACCGAAACTACTACTATTCCGGCCGGCTAGGCCGAGAAAGCTATAGGGTAAGTATAGAGCTAATTAGACAATAGAGATATAGTAGTAGTAGTAGTAGTAGTAGTAGTAGTAGTAGTAGTAGTAGTAGTAGTAGTAGTAGTAGTAGTAGTAGGTATTATAGAGATAGTAGTAATCGCGTTATTATAGTAGATAAAGCAATACAGCGATACAACGACAGTATAGTAACGGCAAATACGGAGCTATTTATAGGCCTAAGATATAGTATTAGTAGTAGTAAGTATTATAGAGATAGCGGTAATTGCGTTGTACTTATATATATTATTGCCGTCGTATAAATTATATATAAAGATACATATAGTAATACTATAGGTACAGAAAGTAACGTTCTAGAAAGTTGTAGCCTAAGGCAGAGGTATACTATAACTATAATTGTAGTACACTATAACTATAATACCTAAGTACTCTAACTAGGTATCTTCAAACTTATCTTATTAGTCTAACTCTTAGCCGAAGCCTTAACCGAGCTATTTGTCTTACTAACCAAACTACTAGTTATCTTACTA